ATTACATAATCTACATAGATTATATGTACCGTCATAAGGGTACTGAGGGACACGGTCTAGTGATCATAAAGACGTGAAGGGCATTCGTTCATCACATTATCGATATTACAACCGTTGTTACATATGAAAGCCAATTGCAACAAGTCAAGCATACGACAACTATGCCTTACCAGCTATCGTTGAACTCTATCGCTTTTTAGAGCAATAATCAGGTTGCTTACTCCGTTGTAGCCATTAGGCTAGAAATCAGCGTAACAATCTCTTTATGTAATGAATAATCTGATTAAATTACAATATCTATAAAAAAAGATATCTGTCTTGTAAATAAAACTATAAGGCTAAATAAAGTACGAGCAATAATTTTGCTTGGCTAAGTCCCTTGCTCTCATAACAATTGTCGCATTATAATCGTATACATTTATTATCTTTTGAACATCCTCACCTTGCATTAGGTAAGATAGATATTATATCATCTCAAATATTATATCATTTTCAGAAAGGAATCATTTCCGTTAATCAAAAGCTGTGAGGAAGAGATGGGAGTTCTAGTTGATTGACAGATTTATCAAGTGGGGTTTTCATTAAAACATTATAGCGCAGTTTGGAATCATAAAGCAGTTTAGATAGCATGTGTTAACAAATGGAGCATGTTTATATCAGTGCTACGTTTGTAGGTGCAGGTGCTATTGCCGCTGTTTAATTACCATTTTTCTTCCATTCATTCATTTCACTTAGTTTTTTGGAGTGGTCTATTCCTCCTTTTTCTTTAAATTTACTTACTCTATTTGAGACAAAGAATGCTGATTTAGTTGTTCAATCAAATATTGCACGGAAAGCTGAATAAAAGGTTGATTAATGGGCTGCTTATTCAAGACTTCACTTTTCTCGTCAGCAAAATTGTAATAGGACAAACTTTCAAGACAGTGGTTCCCTGTTTAGTGAGTAGCTGCTGTATTTGATCAAATGGTTACTGTGGTTAGAAAAAAAGACTTTCTGTTGTTGTAACACATCTCCCAGCAAACTAAAATATAATAATTAATACTTAACACCTAATAGTAAATTATTATTCATCGAACAATACTCGGTAATGGGGCTTTTTTGAGGAATTTACTTCGACTTTTTAAAAATAGCATGCAATTACTATCTAATTTTATCCCAAAAATTAAATGGTTTATAAGATTTAAGTTAGAACGGAATAAAAAATTAGGAACAATGTTTTCTGGAATATTTCTGGAACAGGGAAATGTATAACTACTGAAATTACCATAATTCAGGATGTGTACACATGTTGTCTAGTGTATGCCATTTTATGAATTAACTGATAAAATCCTCTCTATTTAAACATGTTAAGTGGGGAAAAAAAATTTTTATTGACATGTAATTAACAATATATAACAATATATTTTCGTATCTTGCCTCTACAATGCAGGTCAAAGTTTTAATACAAGGAAAATAAGTTTTTACTAACCATTTATTTTGGGGAATTATTATTACTGGAACATCGGCATATAACTATATTTTATAACTGTCGTCTTCAGTAACTGTTCATAACGAACTCTCAAGGGTCATGAAAATTTGAATGATTTTCAATCAACGAAACAATAAAAATAAATGCATGTTGTATGGTGCATGAGTTGACATGACATGGAGAAGGACAAAATATCCACGTCGGCTGGCTGCATGCATTACTCATATCTCGCAGTTCTATAGGCATTGTCATTGCATGGAATGCCGACGCTCTGTCCTTACCAACATGCAGGAAGGCACCATTTTGTTACCATCAGTGCTTTCCTACATGCATTTCTTGTCTTCCCGTTTATAAGACCATTTGTATACTTCATTTTCGGGTCAACAAAAAGTTGCTGATCATCACTTTTATAATATTAGGAGTTTTGTGATACTCGATCCATACATTTTTCTCGCTTATAATATTAAACTTTTTAATCCAGATTAGTCTTTCACATCATTCTTGAAAACATTTGAGGCTAAATTCAAATATTAAAATACTAGTATGTACACTTGGGGCTCCTAAAATGTTTTTTCTTTAAATAAAAGAAATCATCCTCCGATATTATCAACTAATTCTACTTTTACTTATTATCGCTAAAAGAATTGTTTGATCATCGAAGTGTAGTATTCGAAGTATGTATGTATGTGTGTATGTTTCTGTGTATGTATATATATTTATCTGCCTGAGATCTTGTTTGAATAGTATGTGTGCATGACTAAGGTGGGTCGTATCGATGACGATGCCGGCATAAAAGTGCCACGCAACATTTCCGACCTTTGGTTGTAAGATATTTGACATCGTTGCGTACGGTTTAAATAAATATCAACTCACAGCAATGAGTTTTCGCCATTAAAAGTGATGCATGTGCAGACATATATATATACTCCTGGCTATAATACACATGCATACATGCATGTATATATATATACACACAAGTACTTCGTACACAAACCCAAAAATAGCTAATTATCGATGGAAATGTAGTGAGCACCCTGTGTAGAATTTATAGAAGTGTTTTTAATTCCGATACGATTTGTATGGCGAATGAATAACTTGAATGGGTAAGCTAAATAGTGAATTGAAAATTGACAAGAGGATAATTTCATCCCCTTTCTCAAATTCTTTTGCTATCACATTAAATTTACCAGGAAAATTTCAGTAATCCAATTATTTACAGCTTCTCATCTGTAGAAAAGATTATTTCCTTCAACATCGTGGCTCTATTTTTATTTAGTATTACTAGTATGTCACTACATTCCATAAATAATTTGAAATTAAAAAGATTTTTATCTCTTCTGTAATTCTTTAACTTCTCTTTCATTCTGCAAGCTTATCCTTTTTGATTTATAATTGCCTTTATTCATATAGTCTTCGTATGAGTTCCGAAATGGACTCAACTTTTCCATAAGATAATTTGAACAAATAAGTTTCTTCGGCAAATTTAAGCTGAAGATATTGTCACATATTCTCAGCAACTGATGTAATATTTTGTCAGTTTCGGTATGAAACTGATGGAACTAGAAATTCGGACTATACGTTGTACAGATTATTACTGTCTTCAGAAGTTGACATTATACACATACACAGTCCGTTCCGTGTATTGATCGAAAGTCAAGAGCGATCGCGATCATCAGCTTGTTGGCAATATTTGGTAAGGAAGGTGATGTCTTCTTTATCAGTATGAATGCTCCCATATTTAGCAGTTGTAAGTAAAATTTCTTCCTTCAGTTGCTTCATTTTTCTACATCAAAGTACAAGAATTCATGCGAAATAGTTGTCACTGCTCGGTATTAATTAAAGAGGAATATACATGAGAATATCTCGGTATGCTTTACTAAGGTATATTCAGAATCAGTATTTGGAGATGCAGTGAAGTTTTACCCCCAAGATTCACATATGAGCGCATGAGAAGGAAGCAGTAGCTGGGCGGGGCTCGTCGAAAGACACATTTGTTGGGTTACCGGATGTTGTTATTCCGTTTGCGGTGGCGATCATTTCTACTGAACATCACTACTCCCAAATGACTGATGGCTAACCCGATATTCGAATCACTTTCTTAGTGCTTCGTATTTTTGGCGGTGAGGAATTCACCTTGTTTTTTGTGAACTATTTATTTGTGTGCCAGGATTACATGAAACCCTTGCTTGCTTACCGCTGATGCTGTTTTTGACCAATCGGCATGATGCTTTCTATAAATCTAAGTTCAGCCTGATATATGGGTCATCCATCCTGTAATTAAGGAATAATCAATGTCTTCAGTAAAAAAAAATTTTAATTCAAAAAAAATTTTTTTTTATTTAATATGATTATTGCATAAAAGAGATGTGTCGATTAATTTATTTTGCTTCCACTAATGGATTTTTAAGCTACCGTTTATTCATTCATTTACCCACTTTTTTTCACATATTTTATTTTATTTTTTCACATACTTTCAAAGTATACCTATTTCACGTTTATTGATTACATTGAGCGTATTACTTCTTGTGAGTGATTGCTTTTTAGCATGAGAAATTGATTTAATTTTAAATTGATCTGATTCTTTAAGGACCGTACAGTTATGTCATAGCCTGTACAATTGAAGGAAGCTGTTCGTCTCAAGCAGCAAAACTAAAGCTTTTCATTGCTAATAAATAAATTTTTGAATAGTTCGTGGAAGGAATTATTTTCATTGGTGGATAAAGTGTTTTTCCAAATTCTTGAAATTGAACGGATAAATAAGTAGGAGTATATACCTACGTTTCAATAGCTTGTTTGTGTGTGTTTTGTAAGTAAGAGATTGATGAGAACAAAATTTAATTTTGCTCGTTTTCTGTCTTATTCATCTATCAGCTTTGCATGTCTTTCATGACGGCAGCCTTGCTTTTTCTGCCTATCCAAGGCTATAAGTCTATAAGCACTGTGAAGTGGCCATTAGTTATCGACTTTTCAGTCCATGTAGAGCAGTGTTGAAGATGTCGTTTCCTTTTTGTCTCCTCCACGTGTGTGTCAATACCATTTAGGATAAGTTCTAAAAATTCCTATCAGTAGGTTGACGGGACATGTATATCTGCTGCATTTGTACTGTTGCAAGGGGAACGATTAATCCATGTAACATATTATTCTCTCACTGATAACAAACTTTGAAAACTGCAGAGCGCAGTAGTCATCTTATCAGGAATATGTAAGACTTTTGCTGTGAATGGTATACCGATAAACAAATTAAAACTTGTGTGTGATGACTTATCATCATACGTCGCAACCAACTTGAATTTAAATTTTAAAATTGGTTTCGAACTCTTACTATGGATGGAAATACAAGCAGAAATAAAACTCCTTAAAGCTTATAAGCAGCAGCACCTTTTTGTATGTATATTTTTGTTTACTCGTTGTTTCTTGAGATGATATCGTTTGGGACATTAGAAGTGTCATTTTCATTCACTTGGACAGTGAATATACCGGAAAAGGAGAAATTTTTTTTCCAGGTTTTTCTTTTTTAAAACAGACGAATGTTATGGCATACAACGTTACTGGTTTAATCTTTTTGACGTTGCTCGTACTCTTCAGTTGTGCGCAAGCTACCATAATAACGAAAGGAGGCCGTTTCATTGTCGATGAAGGTGACAACGTCGAATTACCCTGTAATATACGTAACATTGGTATGCTTATATTTATTCCGCAAATGAAATAATAAACTTATATAAAGAAGCAAAATAAAACCAAATTCTCAACAATAAGGAGATGGCATTACAATTAATCACTCTTTGTCATATGTCAGGCATCAAATCCGTTCCAAAAATTTGCAAATTATGAAAGCTTTCATAGTAAGCAAATCTAAAATTGCAATAAATTGTAGCGGAAGATACAGTAGTGATATGGAAACGAGGAGAACTTGTATTGTTCACTGATGAAGAAGTCTTTCATGAGGATCAACGATTTCAACTGCGCAGGAAAGATAATGTTAGTTTCTACTTCCTAAATTGGTTGTGACACTTAACATCCTTGTACTTAGTTTTTTCTACTTTTTTTTTTAAATATTTAGATTTTAATTTTATAAACTGGTTTATAAGGTTGAAATTTGAAGTCACGCTATATTCTTTGATGTTTTTCTTATATCACAACTTGAGCAAGAAGTGATTTATTGAGTATGACTTGTGTTGCAACTTTGGTTTGTTATAATTAGATGCTGTTACTACCTTATATGTTTCTACACAAACAATAAAGTATTTTTGGAAATTTAATGGGAATTTCCTATTATCAACAAATTTCATTACTTACTATTTACTGCCTCATTAATTAAATAAAGCTATCTCATAAATTTCGTGAAATTAGGTGTTTTTTGAGCAATATGAACATGGGAAATTTAATTACATTATTTTCTTCAACTTTACGATTTTGGGAAAGTAAAGATTTCAGCGAACAAAAACATTTGTCAGGACTTTGAACTGTAATTAATTCCTCCTTGTTATCATGATGAATGCACATAATCGATCACCGAATCAAGATCACTTTGAACTGTAATTTCCTGATGCTAATAACAACTACCAAGAAATAGATTATACCTACTCAATTATTTCTTTTCCTTCATGTTATTTATTATCCTTGTAAAATCTCCAGTTTCCAGCATCGCTCCAGTCACTACTTTTCATTTTAAAATTATAATTCCAGAGCTTCTTTACTCGCACTTCTTATTTGCTGCCTTTTCGCTGTTCCCACAAATAATAACAGCTTATCGTATTATCAGGTTATAATCTTTCCTTGTAACTTTTGCTTCTTCTCAAAGGTGTTCTATTCTGTGCTTTCTCTTTTTGAGATTTTTATAGGTAAGACTGTTTTGCTATACTTTTCATTCTTAGTTTTTGCGCAGTCACTTGAGAATGACAGAAATAATAGTGAGAATTTGGAAGAAAAAATATGCAGATATAAATAACAATCATTACTTCCAACTACGAATCAGCCAGTCTTTCAAAAATATTTTTTTCACATCTTTCATTGACAGGAATCATATTTACTGGAATGTGTTTCTGGTATTTGTGTCAGCAGTTTTGCAGAATTTTATATTAGTTATCGAACGAGTGGAGCCATATGATGGTGCCAAATATATATGCGAAATAACATCACCTGAGATGTCAATAACGCATGTATTGGAAGTGAACGGTGCGACTTTTATTTTTTTTGGGTTTCTTATGATTGCATCTAAGCAAGCATAAGGGCATCAGAAGCCCAGTCTAGAACAGGAATAGTGTAAGTAGAATGCACCTTAAGCAGATGATGAAATTGAGGTGCAAAAAACGGGTATTAATAAGTTTCTCTATTCCAAGTTATAATTTGTAATTTACAGAATTGCTGAGTATCTAGGCTATTCTAGTGAAATAATGTGATCCTAATAGGTGTGGCCATTGTTTCCATATTTATTTCGCAAATTTTTTTCTTGAGATAAAAACTTTTTTAGTACGTCCTATGGTTTCTATATCGCCGGATGCAAATCCCTTGCTGATGAATGTTGGCGAGAACGTGGTCATAAAATGCTCAGTATCTGGTAATCCACCACCAAAAGTTACATGGACTCGGCAGGTTATTTACAGTTTTGTTTTTTTTTTTTTTTTTTTTTTACAGTTTGTTTACAGGGACATACAAAACTGTGGTTTTATTTCCCGGTAATCTTTGGATTGATTTGAAATATTCTAAATGATTAAATATCAAACTATTGGACAGAATGGTTCATGAAAGATTTTTTGAATCCATAGTTCATCCCTAAATTGTATCCTTGTCATTAGCGTTAGCGAATATATGATTCATTTGTAGGATGGCCAAAAAATGCCAACAAGAGCTACATCAAGAGATGGACAGCTCAGGATAACTCGTGTGACAATGAATGATAGCGGTATCTATGAATGCACAGCATCAAATAATGTCGGCATCGATGCGCATGATACTATCGAAGTCCTAGTGCAGGGTAATTTTTCATTTTTTTGTTTCAGATTTATGAAGTGATCATGTGTATTACCTATAGCAGTGAATTCAGCAAACCTACAGATATAATCCAGAAATGTTGAATTAAAATTAATGCATTCCACGTATCCAGAGCTAAGTACTCAGGCTTAAATGATTCTTAATTTCATCTCCTAACTTAAACTTATTCCAATAAAATTTTATTGAACTCATATACTAAGTCTCATATTCATGAGGAAAAAATTTCAATAAACATAAAATTTCTAGTTTTGTAAGTTTTCTCGCGAGTAATTTTGGTGTGAACTTGGAAAACAGAAGGGATTATTCAGAAACCATCTTTTGTGGTACGAATTTAATTGTGTAATATAGTCTTTGCAAGTTAATTTTTTTTTAACGAAATTAGCTGTAGAAGCCATTTGATAGTAACCCTCCTTATCCTTATGTGTTCAGTGATCATACCGCTATTGATATCATCTTTAAGGAAGTGAACTGAATGATATGAATCATCCATAAGAAAGGAAAAGAATTTTACAGGTCTAAGTGGTTTTTAAAATTTATACATAGCGTAAAATGCATTACGGAAATTTTTACATCCATATTTACATATACCCATATTTATTTAAAAGCTTCTGCATAGAAATTTTGTTTACTATATTGTAAGTTGTTGTGTGAGTTCTTGAACTAGCTAAATTCACCTTAGAAATTATTCCTTACGTAGTACCTCTCAGCATAAATACTATCGGAGGTAATGACAAATGTTCCCTCTCTTTTATCAGACTCACTTATTTAATAATATCTTTTTTCTGAAGCAATTTTTTATAGGAATCTTGAAAAAGCAAATTTAATAGTAATGAATCCGTTGTTTGAATCTTAAGAAGAAACGCAACTATTAGCATGAGTATGACATTAGCAACAATGGTAAGGGACAAATGGAAAAGATGAATCAAAGTAAATATCTGAACTCATTAAAACTGGTTAATGTAACTTGGATTTAGTTTTGCAAGTAAATTAATAGAGGAAATGTTCTTAGAGTTTATTTTCCGCAATAGTTTGCATTTCTGCTTTTATTGGAGTAAATAATAACAAAAGTAAACTTTATGACTGGTTGTTTGCTACAAAAAAAGCACTCTATTTGATGTAAAATTCAGTTGAAATTCGGAAGCTGGATTGCACTTAGTTAACTTTTTAATAGGTAAAAATTTTGTTAACTAGCATGGTGTGATTTAAAAGGAAAAATAAATGTGCATTTTCTGAAAATGTCAATTTTTTAATTTAAAAGTTGTGTTGAAAGAATTTTGCAATATTAGACTTACTTTAAAAAACGATATTGAAAAAATGTAGGAGTTTTCGATTGTTTTAAACATTAATTCCATAACCTTTTTAAATTAATTGATTTATTGTATTGTTTATTTCAGCAAATCAGTACGGAGCGCATGAGCCGTGTGAGTTTGCATACATTTCTTCACTTTTTTCTTTGTTTTAAACTAATACTTGCATGCTTTTATCCGTCTACTCGATCTGTTAGTTAAAATTATTTCCTTATATTGTTATTGAATATTGAATGTAGACTTCAATTTCTAACCTCCAGTTCGTGGAAGTAATGAAGAATACTCCCAGTTATTCTTGACAAGCCTCTAAAAGTGTTTTCAATTAAAAATTTTAGTTGTTCCATAATGTGATAATTTGCGCTGGTATAACCATCAGTTGATGATATCTAGGAATTTGATAATTAAGCATCTTAAGCAAAATTTTTTGGGAATTGAAATTTGAGTCTTTTCTGTTCGAGCAAAAAATTTAAAGTTTGTCTCCTTGTGTGATGATTACCACACTAAGATTTCTCTATCTTTTACGGACAGTTAAGCAGAGATGAATTTGCGGGCGCAACAGATTATATGGTTTCATCCTTTTTCATTCTTTTTTGCTCTTAATAATAAACGACCAACAGTAGGCTGTGTTGCGAAAAGTAAACAGATGGATTCATGAAGATTGATGGTCCGGTCACTCGTCTTACCTTACATCCTATTTCCATAGACCATTCATTTGTTAAAGTCAGTACATTCTTCTTTAAAGACTAATGAATAACAACCGATTCCAAAATGAAAAACAAGTTGAATGATTACTTTTGCCTCACATACATCAAATACTGTTTTCATAAAAATCTTTGTGACAAGGATTATCTCATCTATATCAATTTTCATTCTAAACTTTGTTTGTAATGGTATATAGCGGAAGTCCGATAATGTGTTATTTCGTTTATTTATATTTGCTTTTTCTTTTCCGTCTTTCACATCGTCTTCCACACCTTTGTGTCACATTATTTTTGTAGATCTATCCTACTCTATGCAGTGATGTGTTATTATATCATATTTTGTTAAGGTGTAACTCATTTATTATGTCGGATTCACAGGGGCGTCCAAGATACTGAAAATTCATAAATTGTTTGTGATTTATTCTAAACGTAATCATGGCGTGCTCTCACTTTTGCACACAAGAATTATTACTTTAGTTTACGTCATAGTCGCTTAGTATAGAATTTAGCTTCCATATAACTAGTCAAGACCGAAAGGTTATTGACGTCTGTTTAATCCTATATTGGAATTAAACGAATTGCTTTTGAAGCATACAAATATTATTGCCAATACTGCATGTGGCAAGACCAACCAAATTACCTCCAAAATTCCGCCAAATTTTAAAGTTGCACACGGTTTTCACTTCATTAGTATATTTTGAAACTTGATTTGCAAATTATTCATTTCTACTTTCCACATTCCAAATGCATCACATGGATCAATTTGGAATCCGTGTATTTATTACTACTTTTTTTACATGCATTTACACCAGTACATTTTGAAATTTAGACATTTAATTGGGAATACATTCATTTAACTCAACTGATAATATACGTCAACACAGCTGTGCGTTTTTTCTTATTTGTTATTCCCTGTTTTTCTCACTCTGATATTTCTTTGTTCACAAATAAAATTACAGAAAAATAATTTAACGGAGTAAGTTTTGTATTTTTAGCAGCACCTTGGGTGGATTCAGTATATACATATATGCCAGTAAGGTTAGATCAAGATATCAATTTAACCTGTAAATATAACGCCGAACCATCACCTCAAGTTGATTGGATCTACAATGGATTCACAATTAATGTTAGTGATTTCAATTCTTTGTTTTTTCTATTGTTAAGAATTTTTTTTGTGCGTGCATTGTAAAGGAAGGATAACTTCACGGTTATTCGTGTTACAAGACACCAGGAAGTAGATACCCTTTTTGTTGAAGTCTCTAAATTGCATCGAGATATGTCGGTTTTCTTGAAAAGAAACTAAAACAAGCAGCTCGAAATTCTCTGGATATTAATTCTGCCATTTAGATTGAGCGACCGTTATTTAAGGATGGTAAGAAATTTTATGCAAATGTATGTTTCTTATTGTTTAGTAGTAGGTAAATAAGCTTTAAAATCACTTTGCAGCATCCACTGACACAAATTTAAGCTTTGACAGCAAATTCTCAAATCACTTTGGTAACTGTAATTTTTGGCATGGATCATTAACGGCACATCCTCGTCATTTTTTCCCTTTATATAGAGAGCAAATGGCAACTCGTATCTCTCGAGCAGATGTTGCCTTTTTTTCGTTTTCCTTATGTCAGTCACGCATGTGCTGTTTTCTAGGATACAGAGAATGAGTAAAGAGATTAGATTCGAATGAACTATAAGCAGATTAAATAGCTCTTATTACTAATGCTACTGCTATACCCAAATGTGAAACAGAACAGAACAGCGCCATCAGGTTACGTCACCAATTCATCCATCAGCTCACAGTTACAAATACTGACCGAATAAGGAGATAATGCTGTTAACAAGTTGGAATAATCAAAGATTGACCTTATGCTGCTATAAATATTACACATATATTTTTTTCATATGTTTAAAAAGTCCATTGTTATTAAAAAGCATAAAAAGGTAGGATGGAAGGACAAATGTACGCTTGTTCGTTTCCTGAGATAAAGACGAAGAGCAAATGAGCACTTTTTCCTTCTGTGTTGATTATTCAATTCATAAACAAGCAAACTAGACATCGAATGATCTACCTTACATGACAAAGTGTTGTTAGATCAGAGTAGTACGAACTGATGTTTCACATTTAATGACATGTTAAGTCATGTAGAACTTATAGCTCGTAGCTGATGCTTTGTTTGCTATAATTAATAATTAGAAGAATAATTAACAGTTTTAATGAGAGTCCACAGGAAGAAAATTCAGTTTCAACCCATAAGACCGATAGCAGATGTGCTTCAAACATCATTGTTACTTCAGATGCATATAGATATTCTTAATATTTATTGTTTAGATATAATGGACAGCATTTGACCTTTACAAATGCTATAATTACCTTAAATCTTCTAACTATTTCCCACCTTTGGTATTACAAACAGTTTTTTTCCAGTTTTCGGACGACAAATTCAAAGGTTTAATACAGTATGCTGCCAGACGGGATAATTACAGTGAATCCATTCTAGCAATCGAAAATATCAAGGAAGATAATTTTGGTGATTACACATGTCGTATAGCGAACAATCTTGGTATAAAAGAGAAAACCATTTATGTCAGCGGTTGGTTCCTTGCTTAATCATTTCGCCGACCAATTTTTTGGATTTCTGGTGTTTAGAAGCAATAGAGTAAGCATTTGGAGTGCTCAAGATTATGAATAGTTTATTGAAAACCTGTGCTAAATAAATCTAACTTGCCTTAATAAACCAACTAATCGATTTCCAAGAATATTAAATTATGGTCGAAAATATGACGGTTCATTATAATGTTATTGAGAAAATGATTTATTGGTCCATAAAATGAGTGGAAGAATAATAAAAATTACCCCCTGTGGCAATCATTTTTTGTTCTTTAGGTGGGCAATTAAGTATTTAGACCATTCAGTAAGCAGATGTAAATTGTGCAATACGATTTCGAAATAATTGTGGTCAAAAAACAAATTGTCCTTTTTTTCTTTCAAGTCAATCAAAGCTGATTTTATTTAAAAAAAAAAAAAAAAATCTTCTTAAAATTTTTTCTCGTCAAATTGATCTATCGATATGTTTAAAATGCAGTTTGCAAGGGAGATGGAATTTTAAATTTGAAATCGAAATATTGAAGTTGCATTATCTTGCAGGTCGACCGGGACCACCTCATCTAAACGCAAGTGGAATCCGGCTTTCTTGGAGCGTACATTCGATGGATCCAGTCATCGAATACCAAATTTTATATCGATTCTCCAACGATGATACATGGCAGCAATTCAAGTCAATAAGAGCGAACAAAGGTTGTCTGTTTGAAAATTTCAGATTTGACCGGGAACTGATTTAGGAATTTCAAAATTTTCATTTCTCTTTTCTACGTTGAATATATATATATGGAACAAATATTGAATGAGGATAATTGAAAGAGATTAAATGGTTTCAACATTGTTTGAGTTTAATTAAAATAAGTGAATGATGTTAAATTTTCAAAATTTTTTGAGTTTTTAAGTATGATTAAACAATTCAGAGGAGCAAGATGGTGATATTTGGAGCGGAAGCGAAGATTTAGTTTGGCTACGACCAGGCTTAGAATACGAATTACAAATGAAAGCACGAAATACACTAGGGTGGGGCTCTTTGGCTCGATCTTATGTTATAATGAAAATACCGCCCTTTGACAATGTGACCAGTGACAGTAAGTTTTTCATTCAGTTCAATTACTACATCAAAAAACTTGTAAATCTTTCCTCTTATATGCTAATGATCATTCATGCAGTCATTTATCACGATCTTAATTTTTAGCTGTGCAACTCTTCGGTCTAATATTGAAAAGCTAGGTGCTGTGACACATTTTGATAGGCTTTAAAAAAAGTTCTTAGTTAAATTGTTCGCATTGGTTTGATATAGCTGAAATCCCTATGGGTGCTGAGAATTATAATAGTCATCTCGTTTTAATACCTGATTATAATACCTGAAACTTTTTCAGTTACGTTACATTCTGCTTTGAGATTAAGTATTGACATCTCATGCACTACTGAGATGTAAATTTTAAATTTCATAATCCTGCTGAATTTTGCAATGTTTTTCTGCTGCCTTTTATATTTTCATTTAAAGTTTGAGGACGATTTTCTTTAAATGTTAATTTGTTCCAATCTAAATATTCTAATGCACTACCAATGTTCGGCAAATTATTCACATTTATAATTAATTACACTTACAGAAAAAGTAAACGCAGTAAAGCGGATATATGCTTCACGATCATGTTTGTCCGTCGTTTCATTTATTGCTGCATCGATTTTCCGATTATGATTTTACTTCTTTCATTGATATTCAAGTGATCAGTATTCTAATTGGTTCAGTCAATTACTGATATTAATTCATTGGTCAACAGTTTGTGAGTTAACGTAGATTTTGTTTTTTGCTATTCTATGGCGTCGACATTAAGTTGAAGGAGTTTGTATTTTTGAGAATTGGTTTTTGTAGTGATCTTAAAAAATAATCTGAATTTTGTTCCACAGACGAATCGAACCATAAATACACTAAATACATATGTGTAAATGAAGTCTGTGTTCTTGCTGATTCAGTATTGTTGTCCGACTTCTTAGTTCAATTGTTTGAATCTCATTCTTCACATTTTTTGTTTATTATAATTCATATCTCCTTGAAACTCGTTACGTTTAATATTGATTTCAGTTTGATCATAAGTATTGAATCTTCAGCTCTATTTGAGATAAGCGTTTGCAAATAAGCGTACTGAATTTGTGTAGTTCAGAATTTGGTATATTGGAATTACTTCTTTGTTAGAAATATCCAAAATTTGCTTTTTTTTTCAAAAGAAATTTTTTTTGGTAGAATATATGTCATACCTTTCATCAAATTGATGAATGATAATATGATTTATCATTTCCACTCGCTGCAGGATGACATTACAAGCAAATGGGATTCCTCATAGTCATAATTGTGGGTCATCTTTTAACTATTTGTCTGACAAATATTAAACTTCATATCGATTTTTTCATGGTTTTGTTAACTTTGTCGTTGCTGTCTAGTACCACGAGGCGCTTTCTAGGCGCTTTGTGCTGGATCATATTTCATATATCACTCCGTCACTGGTACGTAACACTTCTCGTCCATTCACTAAAACCCTTAAAAAGAATCAAATAGTGCTTTATTTATTTTTATTTTTTTTCGTCTAACCGATTTCTCAGTAGCAAAAAATTCGGACAAAGGAATATCACTTATTTGTAATAAGCTATAACAGTTAGTAATGATTTTAAACGATAGGAAAAAACTTACTGAGTCAGTCTACAAATAGATTATCAAAAATACCTCTTTAGCATATTTTGCTGGTTCATTTAGTCAAGCCATTTTAAAAACAAAGTTTTCAACATGTTAGATAATTGCCTTCGCAACACATATTGTATAAATCAGCCATATGACGACACATTTCAGTTGTCCAAATATTTTTTCTCATTATGATGGTCACTTTAAAATGCCCGTGTTGTTTTCTTAAAACTTTTACATCTATCGCAGAATTATGGATGTTCGATCATATTTTGTCTTTTGTTATATCGCCATTACAAAGCATTATTAACAAAAATTAGTGAAAATCTGCCACAGTCAGTTAAGGTCCAAAAGCCAAAACAGTATTATCTGGCACTTTGGAAGTCTTTTAGTCGCATTACTGCATGTCCCTTAGAAATGCTTGCTGAACTTCGGTACCAGAAGTGTCATGAATAGCTGATATTTCTTCAACAGTGACTCAATAAAAAAATAAAGCCTCGGAATATTCAGTAAGATTCATGTCACTATTCTACATTGACCGATAGGTTTAACTAACCAAGTTTTTAACTCGGCCATCCACAAATAGTTTGCTGTAGAAATGTGTTATGTCAGATAAGAAATAAGTTCATTTAATCCGAAAACTTTATTTTTTTACAAAGTAATGGGGAGTTTAGTTTTCACACATTTCATTATGTTTTTCTAACAATTGATATCACGAACAACAAATTACATGGTAGAATTACATTGTAGGTGGTCACAATCCAATAATAAGTCGGTTTATAATGTTTGAAATGAAAGCAGTAGGAGTTAATGGCTTGCAGTCAGTCCAATCAACTTCATGCATCCAATTACCGATTATTCTGAAATATACATAGCTCCTGTAGATCCATGTTTGGAAGTAACTAATCAATGTTTAAAAAAAAAAAAAAAACTAGCTCAGAAAATTCGTAGATATATCCCTCATTTCTAAGGCGCTGTATGAGTTCATTTCTGTAGTTGGCATTGAACTGTGCCAAGTCACGAGTCATAGCAACTAGCGGGAATTTCGTCCAATTGGTAATTACGATATACTCGTATTGTCCACTTTCAGTATTTTTTGGTCCTGTTATCACGATTTGATCTGAAATTTAATGTTCAAATTAAATGACTAATGCATTAGTTAGAAGGATGCTGCGGTTCATCGTCACAGAGCTTTTAAAAATAACAAATGCCAAGAACTGATTATACAGAGAATTTAGCCATTGCTTCACTGTTCGTTATAACTAACTATCAGTTTCCTGAGGTTATTTGTGCCATTTGAATATTACATTAAATAAATAACTGCTGCACTCGGTCTCCACCATAATTCTCTAGTGTCAAAATTCTCTCAGTATTTACTGGTACTAATATATCTAGTTTGAAAACAGCCAATTTTAATATGACAGTGTTAACATGTGGTGGAAGTAACCTAATGAATTTCATTTTAAAAATGTAAAGGTCAAGAGAAGATATCTTCAACTAACAAGGACATGGATCTTCCTGGACATAAATGTAAACTTTTTTGCTGTGTATGATGCCGTAACCAAAGCCCATTTTAGGAGTGCCATGAGGACTATTGACGAGGAAGGAATCCATTGTTGAAAAAACTGACGTATTTCTCACTTCTGTCACATTTTTAACTGCAACTATTGCTTTCATTAAAAAATCATGACGCGAAAGCGATTACAGACTGTGAGGGAATATAGGACTCATATATAGCTATGAACAATTTCTCATTGAATTTTATTTCTTCTTAATTTAAATTCTAAATTTAAACAAATATTTTGGAGAAATTAGCTGGAGAAGTGAAAGAAAAAGAAGGAAATAGAGGCTAACACTCAGTAGTAGGACAATAACGATCATGCACTCCGGCCGTAGAAATTACCTGCAAAAAATTGTCCAGTCAATCATATGTGTAAGACAACTATGATAGACAATGAGTGTATAGCATTCATACTTGTCTTCTATACAGATTGACTGGATGACTGGTTATCACTGGTTATCAAATTTTTTTTCTCTCTTAACAGGTGTAAAGAACCTAATAAATCAACAAATTTTTTCTAATACCAAAATAATCTGTTATTACTAACAAATTTCAGAATAATCACTGCATTTCAATATATTTTTCATTTTCACAAACATATTTTTGCATGTCTCGTCAACTCATCACTAAAAAAATCATAACTAAAGCAATCTTTTACCCAGTAATACTTTCCCATTAAAGAGTTAAAATCGACTATTGGCGTTTTAACCAAATTAGAAAGGTAATCTTGCACTCCAGGTATGAAACGAACGAAATTCTGGAATAAACTTGGTGAACGCTGGTTAACGAGTGGCGTTCGACGCAGTAAACAACCACCAATCCCAGGAAAACTGCCGATAACACCAGGAACAGATGGAATACCATCAAGAAGAGTTACGTGCGGTAGTGGTTTCTGTAATCTGCAGTGCGATATTTAATCTACAATATTTAATGCGTACAAATATGCAAAGATAGACTAAAAATCCTGAATTTACCAAATGTTTTGGGGAAAATAAATGCAGTTTGAAAAAATACACATTGTGCAATAATTTTCCTTTTATACTTTCAAAAACTGATGAGGTTTTTCTTTTAACTAGATTTCATAAAAATCTAATATATAACATTTGAAATCAGGGATACGATCGAAGTGTCAATAACTCCTATGAAAAACTGCTTGCAATGTCTTCTGTGTTATTATTCAAAATCATAAGAATATCCCAACTCTTTGCATTCACCTTTTATTGAATGGATTGCTTGAATTTTGCTGCAAACCTTGAATGAAACTGATAAGAGCAAAACTCTGACTAAAAATACAAAAATTGCGAGGAATCTAGTGCTTTCTGTCATTTTGTTATGAAAAATAATAAGAGAAAATGAAATTATACAGTAAAATTTAATATTGACTGTCCATCAAAATGCCTTTAAAATGATCTCACATATTAGTGTAAGTTAATTTAAAACCAAAGACGAATCTATTTTTTCCACCTAAAAATGAAGCAAAAATGATAAGCAAATAGAGTGATGCCCTTTGTAAGAAAATCTTGTAAGACTGCAGATGTAAAATCTATTGTAAATTTGATAAGCAATATGGATATAGAGAAAAAATGGGATTGTTTTCACCTGGTAATATCATCAATCGGTATACGATCACTCACCGTACCAGTTCGTCCTGTATTTATGCCAAAAATATCCAATAAATTGTTATACTGCGTCAAAATCGGACAGCAGCACTGAACTATGAAGACAGCGCTAAGGATATCTAAGTTAGACGGAAAGGCCATGATACCTCCTTGGTTTCACCACATTATAATAATGATGGATATTAACCGATGTGATATTAGTTGGAATAAATTTCAGTTTACATTTCTATACTGCCAACTTCATCTAAAACGAGCAACTGTGAATGGGCAACTCCATGAAAATGGGAACCATTAAACAAGAAATTTGCAGAAATGGGTATATAGACTTTTAAAACCAGTAGAAGTGTCCGCAAACATGTCAAAGATATCCGTGGAGTTCAATAATGATTGTTTATCATTTAGTAAAGTTTCATGATATTCATTTCATTCATTTAAACACTTCATTTTTTACTTGATTTTGCTTATTTTTTTAAAATACCATCTGATTAGTACATGTCACTACTGCAAGGATGGGAACTTTTCCCTCTGAGACGCCCATGAAACAAATATAAACTTATGATATGAGGAAATAATAAATTCAGACATTAAATTGTAACACTAAATTAGATCAGAAAAATTGCAAAGACGGAAAATTACAGCAAGTTAGAGGAAACTTTCACCAATAACTATATAAACCCAAGCCTATAACAACTCTTCATTAAGACATCAAATTGGAAAATTAGAATGATTCACGAGAAAATACCTCGAATATGAAAAAAAAGTCTCTCACTATCAAAAATATAAGGAAACTGACAATTTTTGAAAATTTTCACAAAAACAGTAGAATGTTCAATGCGCCAAAGCTTCAAAATCACCGTTGGCAAAAATTTTAATTCTTACCAGAAATTTTAGCTTTTTTCTCATAGTTTTCAATACGCTAATCATTTTATTCTATGCAATTCTTAATTCTCATTGATTTTCAGGAAAACTCTAAAGCAAATATTAACACGTCTTACAGCATGTTTGTTTTGTTTCAATAGCAAATGCTAAGTTACAAATTAGATAGATAATTAAACCAGTCAACTTGATACACTTCTTAATTCTGTTCTGCTCCCAATTCATGCGACCGAAATAGACACCTACATATATTGAATTTGCTTTACCTGTGATCTACCTGAAACCAGCATAAGTCCTTCCTCTGTCTTTGCTTTTTATCTCTTTATTATCCCTTTTCATACCCACCCACTGTTCCATATCCACTTATTCCGTTTTAATTTGATGTCACATCTTCTCCGTACATTCAGATGAATAAAGAAGTTAAAAGGGACCAACCCATATTCCTCCTCTTTTTCGACTTTTTCATTTTATCCTTATTTTGAGTTTTATTGGAATGAAGTTTAAGTTGTTTCGCGTCGAGTGTTAATCCTGTCAAGAAATTTCCTTATTTTTATGAAACATTTCTTGAAATTCTATACGAAAAAACTTCGGTAAACCAAGAAAACTAGATGTTTTAGCTTCTCTCTGCTCTGATTATATGCACAAAAGCAGCCTTTTGTGCCAGCTGATATAACTGAGACATGACTTCACATTACTACCCATCTTAAAATAAATTAGGTTCATATTCAGACACAAACCTTATATGATTCAATTACTTTTTGTATGTTATTGTGCACAATTCCAAAAACTTTATTCTATAACAATTCCACATCAAAATGTATCTTCTCGCAGCATATTTAAATGGTTATGTTGATAAAAGTTAGCTCGGTTAACAATCCGTTAACTGTCTCGAACAAAACATTTTGAAGAGCTTATGGAATTCAGAAATTAGAAATGTGCATGACAGCGTACAGAAAGTAATTGAATCCGATCGACTCACTATATGAAAGCGTACAGAGCATACTCCCCACAAAAATTTTGATTATGAATTTGAAAATCAGTCTTTTGAGTTGGTTCCAAAAAAACGAGTAGTGAGAAAACAAACCTACCTAACTTTTGAAAAGACTGCACAATGTAATATTTTTGAAGTGGATTTTAAAAACAGAAGCACAGAAAATTCCACTTTAGTGAAAACTGCTTTTTTTCGCTAGGCAAGCAAATTGGATGCATTTGTAATTCGCAAGAATAGATCAGTCGTTTCAATTTACACGGATACCATATTCACCATTTCTCCATTGGAAAAGGCTGAGCTAGATTGCTATGCTCATTGATCAATAAGCACATGAATTCACCGGAATTAAATCTTTCGTTTTCTCCTATGCTCTTTTTCCTTAGTTTTAGGCAACCAGCTTGCTCCAGGATTTTGTCTTATCATTCAACAAATTCCCAGATTACCACTGATTTCGAATGAGATAATACTTTTAGGTCAACGTTTCAGCGATTACCGTGTTGATAGGGTCAGCATTTGTCTGCTCTTTTTTAATAGTTTAGGTCCTATTCAACGTCTATTTTACAGATTACCAATGGTATATTCATTAACTTTGTCACAATAGATGATCCGCAATAATCTTACTGAATCTTATGTTTTGATCTTGCTATAGAGATTACAATATTGCAGTAAAAAACAAAAAAAAAAAAAACGAAATGAGGTTAAGTTTCATTTGAAATATTCCTACCAACTTTGAATTATCACGAGCAATTTAATTAGTGATACTCATCCTTATGGAAGAAAATTTTCTTATCACTTTCACCCATTAACGAGTAATTTTTGTGACCACGGTGCTCATTACGGTGTTCTTCCATTCGACACTCACTAAGAGTGAGATAGCGTCGCAGTATACACCGCAATAAGTATCGTAACGCTTGTACGATTAATGGTTGAGTAAGGATATTTCTGACCATCTTACATGTTTCGAAATTTTTATTTCTTTCATTAATACTAAATTTTCTGTGAATGCAAAACCGCTAAGAATGAGAGCATTTTCACAAGAATATGAAACAAAGGTGACAACAATGTTAAGGATTGGAATAGGGAAAAGTAATCCACACTAGATGGAAAAACATGAGGGAACTGAATAGAGAACAACAGTACAAGTCAACAGCTCTAAAAGCCAAGAAAATAAACAAGAAAATAAAGTGCAAGTAAGAGATAGGTTTTGTGACGAAATTTCCAAATACAGAACGGAATGCCAAAACTTGCTCACTATTACTAGTTACAGATTGTTCAAGATTGGAAGTATTTTTCTTTGACAATAAACATGGAACACAAAGAAGTAACAACATCTATTGATAGAAGACATGGCTACCACAAAAACTATAAGACATTTTCGTACATATGATAAAATAAAAAACACCGATACACCAACTCAAATACAATGCTACATCGATTTACATCAATTTAGTTCGTCTCTCCCAATCAAAGGCAAACAGAATTTACAAAGCTCCTCACAATTTATGGTAACATAAACTGCAATAAATTTGGATTAAATACATAGGAAGAAACACCTTTAAAAATATATATGAAGTTAAAGATAGTAAACGGTAGATCTTGCGATGCATTTCCAGAAAGAAAATGATACAAAGACAAACACAAACTCCCTGACATAGACAAATTACAATTGCCGTTAAGTGATATTATAGAAAATGTATGGTCATTGAGAATAACATGCATTTAACATCAAATAACACGATCCAAAGCTGCAATAAACACCATAAAAATACGAGATCATGTACTATTGATTTCTCATGAAAATTATTGTGACTATTACTCCTGCTAAGAAAAATCAGCAATGAAACTTCACGCTACAAATGAACTAAGTGAAAAACATGCCATTTAGACTTGTAAAAATAAAATTAAATCACTAAATATGATGAATCAGGGTTAACAGTAAGGGCTTGGACATGCAGGGGCAGATTGCTTGAGACTTAAGTTTAAAATATAAGTGAAAGTATCTAAAATGAAGACCGAAAACGATGATTAATTCAGCTAGAACTCGCACCTCTATTTTCTCGATCGAACAGATCTGCTGTATAATCCCTGAACATTTTGATCGCTTTCACTGTCAACACCTCACTGATTCGCAGCGCATGTAACAGCGTGGCGAAATGCTCGCGTATGTATCGCCCGCGTGTTTGCACATGTTCTAATAAACTATCATCATTTTGGGTAGGATCTAAGTAAGGCACTGTCACCGATGAACCAACATGACTTCCATCGCTTCCATTCCTATGCTGTGATTCTTCATTCTTCAACTTTCCAGTAACAATTCCTGAATCTTCAGAAATTATTGCCGTAACATCATTACTCATTGCACTTCTATTTTCTATATTCATTGTTGTATTCTTCTTCAACAGACCACAGTCTGCACAGGACTGAATTGACATTTTCGCTGTTCCCAATCTTTGTCGTTGTCTATTATGCGATGGTTGCTCCTGATCAACATATGCCGAATGTAATTCTTGTTGTGAGCAACGTTCATATCTAAATTATTCGAGCAGAAGTATCTAAAAAATTTAAGAGCTGCAGGATAGTTAAATTAGTCCATCGTTCGAAAACACGTGAAAAAACAAAAATTAGTACGAAAAATATATTCAACTTACCGAAATGCTTTCATATCCATTCCAAATTCTTTCTTGAACATCGTATCCATTTCTGCAGCTGAAAAATGTGGCTCAAGATCCTCCAGCTTCGGCTCAGGAGTCGGAGATTTTTTTTTAGAATGTGTAACACTTCCGCGTTGACGACCGCGACCTCTACGTGACTGGCTTTTGCGCGCCCGTTTCATCCCTGACCGAAAACGTTTTGGTGGACGAATACATTTCTCCTTAAAGCCATTATATGGTTCAAGAATGACTGGGTAAGTTGAAATTAGCTATGATGAATAAGCAGATCAGTGCCCGCACAGTCAATAGCTGGTAACTCCATTACAATTACGAAAAATGAGACCACCCAAAAACAAACATATGAGAAAGATGCCCTCTTCCAATAACCGAATCACAACATCATAACAAAGACTTGATCGATCTTAGTTTAATCCAAAAGTCATTATGTTCATCTAACATATATTTTATTACATGAACATTTCTATCCTCAAAAAAAAAAAAAACAGACCCGGAACAATTTGAGCGTATAATTCATTGGAGGATGAAGCTTCATTGATATATTTGCATCATAGTTTTTTGAAGTTGGAATAATTTTCGGAGGAACTGCTTTAGTAAATGACAAAAGTCGACTTTGCCATTTTTCTTCTCGAACGCTTTCATTGTCGTAAGGCTGACAGTCCTTAAAAAAGTATACTATAATAACCTAAGACCAATAGTGGTGTGTCAATTAAATCATAAAAAATGCAATAACACGTAATATAAAACTGCAAATAAATTATATATCCCAGAAAATTTTAGACCTGCATTCCTTCGCTGCTAAAAAAAACTTAATCTCATTAAAGTTACTGCAAGGTTAACGGCTATGGCAGAGTTCAGCGATCCACTTCGTGTTAGAATGACGATAATTATGAAAAAAATACCTCGAATTGATCTAACAATCACATCTTCAGCCCAAAACTACAAGAGTCCCTGATTCAAGTAAATTCATTAGAAGTAAACTAACTTCTTTGTGACCATTTATCAGTTCGACATAAGATGTAGGGTCACTGTATCTAACAAGATTAAGCATTTGTTTTGTCGCTTCATTTAAATTGTCATGTTCAGCCTTTCGCACGTCGGATAATCTCTGATGAACTGCTCGCATATGACTGAAAATTCCTTTTTAAAAGACACAATTTACTACTAATTGTATTGAACTGATAGCCAAGTCCGGTCATCATATGCATAAACTTTTGGAATGAAGATGTGACGACTGAAAATTCTAACCATTTCTGGATCAGCCATGTGTAAAAGAGTAAAACCGAGGACGAAAAAAACCTGCTGTAATACGCATTTTATGATATAGATACTACATTATGAAAGCAAGGTATGCAACAAACCTTAAAGAATGCAAAGTCCTCGAAAGATTTTTATCTCCTCCAACTCGTTTCTTTTTACGATTCAGTTCATTCTCAATATTCATAAAGAAAGCATCATCCGCATCTACAGCTTCTGGCTTCCTTTTTCTATTAAAAGTGTACTGGCTCATATTGTCATATAGAGCAACAACACTGTTTGAAGACTGAAACATAGGCTACTAACATAACTGCAATAACAATTACTATCAATACGAAACATAGGTAGAAAGACAACGACTAAAAAATGCACTTAAAATCTAAAGAGAATACGACACCCAAAAATAAAATAACTGTCACAGGTCTAGACCTAAATTCGTTGAATACAAGAAGTGAACTCTAGTTTAAAAAATTACAAAACTGATATTGACCAGCATTAGATAACGAATAGCTCAGAATATAAGATTCATTGAATATTTCAATATGCTATAGGCTAAGAAAAAACTAGAACAGAAAGTCATGTTTCTTTATTCATGATGACATGTGGAACCCAACAAATCAACCAACACTAGAGGATGCAACACGCAAAGGTGCAAATGTCTTCAGTAATTGCAACACAATTCGACTTATGTTTACAAAATCGTCATTTTTCCTTTTACTAGATTTTCTGAAGAGAATGAAATGCTATACTTGAGGTACAGAGTGAGATAGTTCAAAGACACCAAATCGGTCTGCAATTTTGATTTCGAACAAATGCTCATCTTTCTTTCTCCTTTTTCTTCCTAAATGCCATTGTTCATTTCTTTCTTCTCTTCCTTCTGTAATATAATGCATGATTCCCCTTGATGTCAGTAATTTGGAACCAGTAAAAAACGAATCTTTAGTAACTGCTCAAGCATTAAATCCAGAACAAGTTTATCACCTATATCATTTTCGACAACAACTTCAATGATTTCCGCTAGAACTTCTGCAACGGCTTGTAGCATTTCGGTTTCTGGATCACGTCGACTCATGCAACCAAAAGACTGCACGCCACGAGATAACCTAACACCTGTTTGTATGCATCTCTGAGATGACGTATGGCCAGTTCCTACTAGGCGACTGTTCGCTCTATGTGTATAAATATCTAAAGCTTCTTCCAGATATTTGTAGACGTATACAGGTCCATTATCAACATTCTTCTCAAAAACATTATCAGAGGTTGACGGTGAACAAATCGGGTAATTTTCAAGGAATTTCTCTGCCTGCTTTTTGGCTGCCGTAAGTGAATAATCATCCAATGAAGCAACCTGTAAATCATCCAAATTCTGGGCACCTAATATAATTCAACATTTAAAACCAATACATTAATATGTAATGGATTATTAACATAAGGAATTCTTGGGTACAAACCAAATGTGGATTTAGTTCAACATCGGCTGTTGCTGTGTGTTTTGTATTACGGAAATGTTCCTGTAACATCCAACGTTTCATATATATTCGTTTCATTATACGTTCGCAACCGGAAATGCGACCAAAACGTTGCCAACGGTCCTTTAAACCAGAACAGAGAAGCATTTGAGCAAAGACTTTGCGATTCTATAAAAATAAATATTTAAATAAAAGTGGCTTTCCACCCTCACAAACCTAATATATATAAAGGTCATCGACAAATAGTTCACCTTATCCTGAACATAACAAAAACAACAGTTCCTTACTTTTTCATAAAATATGTAAAATTCTACAGCTTCTTTAGCATAAGTATATGCATAGATGTCCTTCTCTTAATCGTCTAACAGTCACCGATTATTATAACAAGAAATTTTAATCATATTAACCATCAAAAATACTGAAAGCATAAAACTTTCAAGTGGTTCGAATGCTACTAATTTTTCTGTCAGCGCCAAAAGTAGAAAACCGATGAACGTAACTAATAAACTACTATATTAACCACTGAAAGCAACGAACTATTGCGTCTCATTAGAAGTTTTATACAATTACTACACCTGTTCAGTAAATTGACGACAATGGATTTCATTTTTACCACAATCATTTTGAATATTCGATGTGTCTCCCGATGTGATGACACTTTCTGATATAGTCGATCCAACAGCTTGTTTTGCCGTCACTGTTGCCTAAAACGTAAAACAAACATCAGATTATTGATATCTGAACAGTGAACTACAGACAAAATAACTAAGGGATATGCTTAGTGTAGCAAAAGAGCAGGTATAAATCACAAATAGTTTGAATTTCCCTCTGTCCTTTCCACTATTAAAAACAAAAGACTTACACGAGATAAGGTTTCATCTAAAATAGTTGATGGATCATTTCCATTTATCTTGTCCTCACCAAAAAAGCAAAATGTTGCTGATATATCACATGAACTGTGAAGAAACCGTTGATTGTTTGGGTAAGGATTACTTGGGACAGTCATTTGTAACCTGTAAGAAAGTTTTGTAATTGTAGAACACAGAAAATGAGGGTGGAAGCAAACGAATTATTCAAGCTGCAACTAAAGGAAATGACATCAATCTACTTTTCGAATATTCCCAGTTGTTCATTATAAATCTAACACAAACTTCAATAGTTCCTTCCCTAAAATCGAACGATTAACTGTATTACCGAATAACATACATGCAAAAAAAAAAAAAAAAAAAAAATTATTTGTTCCGAAGAAAATATTTGAAAGCATAAAGGAAACAGCTTTTACAAAACTGAACAAAAAAATCACCCAAATATATGACACATCAAGTACGCAGTATCCTCTATTTTCTGAACTTCTGCATCTTCCATCCATTTTTCGTTTGCCTGAGCTTCTATCGTTTTTGCATCTGCAGAGTTCATTTGTCCATACTGAAATGATGCCCGCTTTTCATCGACAAAACTACTCACCGGCCATGAATTGGAGTCCAGCTCAACAGCTGGGATTCCTAATGCAGATAATTTATTCCGCGGAATTATCTGTAATTAATCAATTCCTTCCAAAAAATTATGTGTAAAATTTAAGCAAGGCATGGATCTGAAGAAACTAGACGAGAGGACTAGACTTGATAAACTTCTTACGATACATATTAGTAAAAAATGGGAATTCTGAAATTAGTTTCAGGAGGTGAGGAAGTTAATGAAATTATGATAGCATTCGTTTAAAATAGTTCAAAATGGTAGCAAATATTTTACTAATAAACAATAAAGGCAAACTTTAGTTTTCTTCATCCTCTTCACCTTTGTATAACTGTCGGAATTATTCTGTTGGGGAATTGACGTTGAAACGCGCTGCTGAAACGACACCGTCCCTGTGCCATTATCTATGTGTACTCGACTGCGCCGTTTCGGCATTTTTTCAGGCACTGGATCTTCTACTCCTCTAAAAAAATTTTCCTGTATTTTGATTCACCTGAATTACCTCTAAAAGAACACATGCAAAATGCTGACAAATGATAAATTCTGAACACAACTTCGCTAAAAGAACTTGATGATCAAGCAGTCTGATGAAAACATGAAGCGCTAAACATTATTCCTGGATAACAGTCAAAAGGAATGATTTAGCACTATGACAGGAACTACTATGTTGTTTTGGAAGGCATGTATCACTAATATAGCAAACATACCGTGATTCACAGTTAAGATCTGCAGATTTCCAAGTCAGTTCATCTTTCACAGTAACGAAGGAGTCTCCAACAACCCGTTCAGTACTTATAAGTAACTGAAATATTTAATAAAAACCTTATTCAGAAATTTAAATATGAGACCAGAGAAATAAACCACACCTTCATTTTTTCCGTATTCGTGCACTCGAAATTTTGCTTTCTCAGTCTTTTTCGTGGTGATACTTCCACGGCTCCAGCAACCGCAACCTTAGATACAATATTAATTACGAATAAACAAATTTGTGATAATTCATGGATACTAGAACATTTATTCTAAAAAAATGCAATCTGTCTAACCTGATCTGAAAAGTTCTTCGTGTTTTGCACAATGTTGCCAATGAGTAGAGCAGGCGTTTTCCTAGCAAAAATTCCACGAGTATCAGGTGATATACACGGTGCTCCACTCAGTATACGACTGTCTGTAGCGTTCGTGCGTTTGAAACACATTAAACTGAAAATGAAATAGAAGATATTGAATGACACATAAGGATGAGCTCCTGCAACAATTAAAAGTTGAAGGAAAAAACTCGCCTTGAATTGTCTTTTACTGCAGTTAAGGGGGACGCCACAACTTCCTGATATGGGTTTGCATGAGCTTCCGCAACAATTAAGCGACGCACTGCAGAGAGAGGGCCTGAAAAAACCGTGAACACGTCAAGAAATACAGAAAGCTTCATATAAAATGGAAGTAGTGAAAATATGAATATTTCGTAGAATGTCTCAAAATAGCCACTATAAAATCTTTTGTTTTAAACTCTTTTACTATAACATCAAGTTACTGTACTTGAACTCTTTCACTGAAACATCAAGTTACCTGATTCGCGGTTTTTGCGCAAAATAGTAGGTCGCGCACTCGGTCCAGGGTAGGAGGTACCAACTATGCCATCATGCTGTCCTGCCGAAATAGGAATACCTGTATCATGCAGTGTAGTAATAGACGCAGTAGAGGCAGTAACAGGTGCAGAACACGTTATGTTTACAGTTGGTGCGGGTATCATGACAGGTTTCACATCCGCTCTTTCATCAGAAATACGTGTTACTACTTTCGCACCACGCAAGAAGTCCTGAACCGAATTTTATAAAATAGAGAGAAGTAAATTTTTTAAAAGAAAGAAAAATTTTTGTCTTTCCCCATCCTTCTGTCCAGTATATAAAACTTGCAGCTTCCTTAGCAGATGTTAGAAGCTAATTTATGCTCTAGGGATGTACAAATATTGTTTGCAATAAAAATACTCATTAGAAAAACAACTTCTAAGACGCATCAAATAAGATAATGAAAAGAAGACGCTGCGTTCCTCAGCAGCTAATACTTGCTTACAAGCTAGAATTACTGAGATAATACGAAACGTACCGCACTGCTTACAACTGGATTAACTCGAATAGAACCTCGAACCGGTATATCACTAACACCAACAACACTTCGACCAGATGACAAATAACGACTTGAAAAGGATGAAATGAATATACTAAATTATCTGATTCTCAGACTAGAATACTATATAACGAAAGCAAAAGAAAAGTTCTACTGGAAAAACATATGCTATAAAAATCTAAATACATGGATTCTAGTACAATTAAATCAACTATGAAAAACAATTACAAAATATGAACTTCAGGTAGAATGTCATACCGTGAATCGATATTCCCACAGTTTGCAAAAGCGGCTGGAGAAGACCGAACAGCGCGTGATTCCTCCAATTCTCGAGCACGTGGCGATAAAGGAAGAACAGGTTGCTGTGCACCTGCTAAATGTAAATTATGTTGCTGCTGAAGATATACAGTCGTCATAGGGCTACCACTTAACTGGGCAATGTCATCTAAAAATAAACATTACTTAAGAAAAAAAAGAACGACCAAGTAAGTATACGATGTATACGAATGTGATGCCATACCATTATTGATAACATATTAGCACTAAAATGTTCAAATTGACAGCCACTTCAAAATTTTCAAAGCATTACAGAAAACCCTACTACAAAGAAAAAAAAAAACCTCAGCTTGCTTTAAGCCATCATTTTGATGATGAAACGACAGCATCTTTTATACAAATCCTAAACTTCCTTAGAAGATGTTGCACATTTTCTTTTTTCTTTTTTGACAGAAATTCATTCCACAGTTACGAAAAACACAATCATCGCCTAAACTAACATGATTTCAAAAAGGAATGGGCAGCTCCAACTGGACGTATGGTAACTAATTTAGAACGACCAGGAACAGCAGCGGCGCACTGGGGAACAGAAGAAACTGTTGTTCCATAATGTACCACTTTTTGACTACCATTTGAACAACCTGCTGGAAATGGCGCATTTGCTTGGCTCCTTATGTACGTCTATAAATAAAAGTGCTTACCTAACAAACTCTACATAATAAATAATACACACTGAGGAAAAAATGCAATAAGCCCGCTTCATATAATAAGGACAACAAATTCAAACTAGTGATCCTCTAGAAATATAGGAACTAACCTTCATAAATTGACGTGAATTCTGCTGCAAAGCAATACTCGGCACAACTGGAGTAATTCGAGCTATGGGAACATTAATTGACTGTTGAAAGAAACGTCGACCATCTCTCTTAAAATTGAGAAAGGAATATTTAAGCATTCGATAACTGAAAAAGCTTAATCATCTGTATGAGCAGAAATTGTGAAAAAAGCAAACAAAATATATTAGACTTACTCTTTCCACTTCGTCAACAGACGGCATTGTCTCATCGCAAGTTAAATCTGAAACTATAATAATAATAATAACGTGCCACGACCACGCCAACTTTGCAATATCAATTTTGTAGTATGAAGGTCAAGTTTGTCTGAAAGAAAATCGAAGACACAATTTTTGAACTTACCACGAGACATAGTAGACCGTTCTACGACGAGCTCTACATCAAACGGACAAAAGTTTCTGCAAAAGAATACACTTCAAACCACTGACCGAAAAGTTACTATACTACACAAACGACAAACGGGTCACGGAAACCGAATAGTCAAGCTACAAAACGCGAAATGTCGAAATCCCCCCAAAAAAATGATAATTGACTGTAAAGCATTTAGATTCCAAATGTTACAAATGAAGTGCAAAGGAGATGAAGGTTTCAAAGAGGGATAATGAGGAAGTGATGAGGAAGTGTAGATAACATTAATTATCATCTTCACGAAATTATGGACGACAATACAATTCAGGTCGAGATAAAGAACAGCGTCGCTAAGCACATAAAAGCAAAGGATGTATAATGATAACGATGAACCAAATTTCAAGCAATGGACAGGATGCGAACAACCTTGTAAGATGGGTGTAACAAAACAACCAATACTATAGGGAAAATGCAATGATGAAGTGTGCTTCTTAATTGTAGCATCACCGTATGTGTTTGCGTCACCAACCTTGTTCTTAACCGGATGTTTCTGAAGTAATAGCGGGAAATATAAAACGAAATGTAATCAAGAAGTGATATCCGGAAATAATGCACTGGAAATTGCAATAGCCAGTGAACACAAATTTCACGCGACACAAATTCACGAGCAGCAGAAAAAGAAAAACGACAGCAACTATTGCAAATATTGCGCCCACTCGATGCTATTGAATTTACTGACAGCTGCAATTCTGATCTCGTACTCTCTGCAACCAGCACCTTCCTCTCTGTCCTATCCTCGTCTTTTCTATTCATGTGGGGAGAAGAGGAGATACCAGTTTTGCTGTTTTATTGAGAGGCAGAGAAAAGAACCGAGTGCTGTGCAGTCCTCATGGAAGAAGGTAAAGGTGCTTACAACTGTTGCTGGTAAATGAAAGGTGGTACCATAAAAGGTCGACCCACGTCACGCATACCTCCTTCTCCTCTTTCTTGTTCAATTCGGTATCCATATATCTTCACTGAGACGAATCATCAAACATATTCTTCATCTTTTCACTGAGATTAATTCTCATTCAAGCACTAAGTTTCGTTTTTTGTTTTTTGCTAGCTGCAGATATTTCGGGGAAACAAATTGTAAAAGACGATAAAAGCATGCTTCATTAGTAAAGTGTATGTTGATGTTACACACAAAAACAAACAGTTGTCGAAATGAGTAGTCAATAAGTATTTCTTACTGAAACGGTCGATAATTTTGACGTAGTACGTCGATCGTAGAGACTGGCAGACGACGGCATGCGGTGGGATGGTGGCTTTGAGCGGATGATTGCGAGAGAGTCGCAGAGAAGCGTGGCGATAACGAGAAGTTTGTGTATTGCCTTAGAAAAGAGGTTGCACGAAGTTCGATGTATTCTGGGTAAGGGATCTTTTATGATATGTATCGTCACTGGATGGTATAAATGGCTAGTAACTTGGTCAATTCATTCACATTATCACTTAATTATGGAGGCAAGAGGGATTTACTCAGCTGCCAATATATTTGTTTAGTGTTGCGCTTTGTGCCACAAAGACTAAATCGTAACTTTCGATAGTTTAGCTCCTTTTCCGCTCACTTGCATGCTAGTACTTCGTCCTGCATGTTAATCTGTTTGCATTCTCTGTCGTAAAAATCATCCGCTCAGTGTACTACAAAGTAGTACCAACTGAATTTGTGATGAGTTCATAAATAGAAATTAGTTCCTATGGCTTTTTAAATATGCAAACCCATACAATTATATAATAACATCTGAAATAAGAGCCAAGTTTAATAAGCATAATAAGAGCTAAAAAGACATATTTCCTTAAATTCATCACCTAAAGCGAGACTTGTAAAATACAGTTCCCAGTCTCATATTAGGTGATAAATTTCATATATTAACGCAGTTGATCCTGACCACTTCAGCCAAAATTAAGACATGGTATTCTATTATTCCTACATAAAGTAGCTATTGATTATATCATAGCAAATCAAGAAGGCAAACATCTGAAATGAAGAAGATAATAAGGAAATTGGAATTGTCAGTGTACAAAAACCCTTTCACTAAAAGTAACTTTAATGAGCCAGTCTGAGAGAATTTTCCAATTTTTTTTTTTTTTTTTTGAGTTTGAATTCTATGTTCAATGTCATGCTCTTATTAAGTCATTAAACATGTAACATTTCCTTGTACCTCGGTAATATACGTAATATTACTGTTTTAGCATAAGTTATGTATGCAGTATGTTAAGCCTTAAATTTCTACTTTCCACATTACAAATCACCTGCATATTCCGATAACGAAAACCTGCTCCTTCCCATAATTAACTACGGACAACAGAACTCCCTCAAAGGATTCGAAATCACCGGACTTCTGTTCATCTCTGGACTGAGCGCTAAAAAACTTCATACGGCTCTTCATGTGAAATTTATTGTCCCCAGTTAAAGGAAGTAACGAGAAACATCTGAGTCAGAAACGTAGACTGCAAGGCTTTTTTTTCGAACAGTTGGTACTGTTTGGTGTTTTTACTATAGAAAGGATTTGTGTGTTGCTTTGAGAAATTTCAAAGTATGAAATATTACACTCAAAAATGATTGAGAATTCGAAGACAATACTTCGCTCACTGTCAGTGCAAATGAGAAATGTTTTAGAATCAATAACTTGTTTAGTACTTGAAGCCTGAAATTTTTCCTTTCATTAGCTTTCTGTTTCAGAGCGGAGAAAATTTGGTTTATGATGACACTTGTACTCGATGGAATAGCACCTGAACAGACGCTGGTCCTGTTGAAATTAGAAGATGGACGTGATCTTCATCAGGCACTGAGGGCACTCGATTTTCGAGAGGTGGTATTACTGATTATAAAACTGATACTGTATGTGCAGGCAATATATTTGTGGAATTCAAGAACATTCAACCTTTCAGTGCAGCGTCTTCGGGTCTTCACCATGCGAGATCCTCTGTATTCCAAATCGACATCCTCACACTTTTTCACTGATATGTGAATAAGGTGGAGAATAAATTGATACTTCATATTTCACTTCATTTTCTTTTCCCTTTTATGTTAAAGTGTAGTCTTCAATTCTTCCCAGTTATTATGTTTTGAGATTGGTTTTAGCAATTTGACAGTGAAAGTCTTTTTACAGTTTTCATGTCCCAAACACTTAATCTTTTTTCCATTTTGACGAGTTCTTGTCTTTACCGATGATTTTCTGTCTCATGTGGAAAGCTATATTTTATACATTGTAAAACATTTACTGATTACTTTCGTGCCAACTTACTCGGTGTTTACTTCCTTCAAACTTCATTACATGATATGTCAGTACTTTCTTTCTGTGCACTTTCAAATTTGTATTTGCGAATCTAGGTAACAACTTCAACCACTATCGTTGTTAAGGTACCTGTTGGGTTTCGTATGAGGGAATATACTTGCGAGGAATATACTACACTCATATTATCTCCATAGGTTATTGTTACCAATAATTGTTCCAGAAATTGTGGAACTGTTACTTGGCACTGTCTTCCCCATTCTTAAATCCTAAGCACAAAGTGAGTTCTAGTACTTTTTTATACCTGCGAGAACTACTACATCCCTCTTTGAAACTATGCGATCGTTTCTTGGATTGCGATCGTTTCTTGGATTGGAGATATCCTAACATGTCTGAATATGCGTGCGTTATCTCTCAGGAAATATTCGTCCCTTACTTTCTATAAACTCCATGCGTTTGATTTTCTTTTTTATTTATCTTATTTATTTACTCAACATTTACTTGTTTGCCTGTATTCCTATCTGTAAAATTCCACTCAAAATTCTTTCATCACCATGTGGTCGTATTTTATATGATCTTTGATTTCGTTATAGGACTCCAAATATAATTATTATCATTTGCCGTGGAAAGACGCACGCCGGATAATTTCTGAGGTTGTAATTTGTTTGGCAGAAAAAAGCACAACAATTCATAGGGAGCGAAATTTTTGGGCATTAAAAAAACCTTTATTCCATATGAAATAGTTTTCCTCACTCTCACCAAAATCGTTATAAAACGTCTCCATCTTTTGATACATTTGTGAATAAAGCAGTCGGTTATTTATCTCTTAATAACTTCTGCAAGAGTCCACAGAATTGAGAATATGTGCCTTCATGGTTTATTCCTATCGATAAACATAACAGATTTTATTCCTACCGATAAGCATAAGGATCAGGTAGAAATTATACATCTAAGAATTCACGCTCACTACTGGAAAGATCTGTTGCTATCTTAAATTGTTCTTTTGCTTTGCTACATTGTGATTTCATTAAAATAAATTGACTTAAGCAGAATTAATCTGCCAATAAAAATATCAATAGTATCAACCTTGTTGTGTTGGAACTTCTGGTTATGTTAAAAGTGTAGGCTGCATTTTTAACAGCTTTTCTTGAGTCTTTTCAAAAAGAAACATTTAATTGTTTCACCCACTTACTAGTTGTTACACAAAAGCTGAAAATGCAGGATTATTTTTATGAAGTTAAGATTCTTTTAGAACTGTGTTGTCGATATTAGCAAAAATGGTTTACGAATTGTCGTGGATGACCAGAATTGTGTTCAAGGAATCGCTTACTTTAAAAGCGATTTATTTGCAGAGTTTATTCTAAATGAAGATGTTGTAACGTTTCGCATTCCTCTCTGTATTTTTATGGTTATTTTTGTCCACTTCACGACTTACTTTTCCTTTCTGTTACGTTTTTCTATTTTCATCGCTTTTCTACGAATTATCAATTTGCCACAGATATTAAGGAGTGCAAAATATCGAGTTACTACAATATAAGTACTCTCCCCTCTTTTATTTGTAGGAATGCTTAAGCGCCTTCGGTGCTGGAGTCAGTACAGTTCTGAAAATGACTTACGATGGTTACGGTGAACCTCTCAAAGTCATGCTCGAAAAGGATGAAATTGTTGCAAGATGCTTGATCAAAACACAGAATCCAGAAGTAGTAAGTGATTTCCAGTTTTTTTGATGAATTTATTAAACTAAAACAAAGAGCGAAAGATATTTCTGATGTCAGCATGCAAATCAATTCAGGTACTTGATTTTGATTTCAATCCTGCCAGAGTTGCTGCAAAAGTTATAATGAAGCCATGGATGCTGAAAGAAACATTTCATGAGCTTGATCAGAGCAGCCCATGTGTTGGTTTCAGAGTTGACCAGTTTTCATTGAGTGTAATCACGAAAGGAGATCTGGGTAAAATCAAGGTTCATTTTACACTTAGGTATCATATGTAGATCTATTTTGTGATACACTTGCAACACTACGTAGTTTTTCGATAATTGAAGTTACGGGTCGCGAGTATCCGACGACTTTCATTATGTTTAATTATCGAAGTACGTTGAGCCTACATTTATTTGCAGACGAAGTTTCCACATTATTCTGAGCAAATCGAACTGTTGGAATGTAAGCAAAATGTCGAGTTTATCTATAGACTGAGTCTGGTAAAGCGAATGACTCCTTCGTTAGACATCTGCAGTAAGGTTAAGATATTATGGTATAAGGGTATGGTCACTTAACTTTCTATAAAAACTGACTCGATAAATTTCGTGAAAAGATATTTTATTGCGTGACTTTTTTTAGTTGTCTCTTCGTATTGATCATCAAGGGATACTGTCTATACAATTCGTGGTGGAGCATAATGGAAACAGCCATATCTTTCTTGAATTCTTTGTAAGTTTGTTTTTACAATATTCCATACAAGAAACTACCAAAATATCTGGAGATTGCAAAACAGATATAGCTTAGGAACGGTTTTTAAAAGAGGTGATATGGCCGAATTGACTAATTCCGTAATGCTAGAAGTCAGCTGCTTAACTTTTCAGTGTATACCTGATATCCCTACATCAGAAGAAGAAAATATGTCCATGGATTAATGCTGCAATTTATTTGGATTATGATCGCTTTGGAAGAAAATGATTGTTACAATTTTTTCGCTGCTTAAAACATAGCAAACCGGTAGTTTGAGCTCCATGAAAACAAGTTATATATCTCTTGCAATTGAGCCTCCTTAAACATAATGTTATGATTAGGAAAACAGTGAGGAAGCTATACCTAATCTGTTCAAAGATTTCAGGTCAGAATTCGTTTGGTTTCTTAATCTTAGCTTTAATAAATTATAAGTGTTTCATTTATTTGGAATATTTATCATCATATTCATCGGTACATGTTTTACATGACCGTTGACAGTTTTCCATCATAAAACTGGAAAACAATCCTTTGCAGAATCCAACATTTTTCCAATGAGTGCAGAAACGTTTCCTATCACTGCACAGTTTTTGCGTAGAAGATACTTCAGCAGGATTTATTTTTGAACTGATTAGCTTTCTCCATGCAGTTCCGAACGATTGTTTCAATCTGTGATTTTCAAATCTCAATTTTTTTAACATTCAGCGAACGCTAAAGATTTGAGTGAAACTCACGAAAGACTAAAAGATTATAAGTTAATTAATAAGCCTTCACATAAATCCATGAAGGTATGTACTGTATGTACTATCAGTGACCGGAAAGTCCTGATTAGACATATGCTACGTGGAGAGGTAGAAACTAGGAAATCAATGAATTGAAAAAGAATAAAGATGTCCTATTCTTACCACAAACCCACCTGCTGAATTTCTTTGTTGTCGCCTCTGTTGTCATAGTTAGGGTTGTAGTTGGTAATTTTGTTGTTGCCGCTGTTTTATTGCTCAACATCTCTATTGATTTGCAAAAACCACATGATTTTGAGCAGAAAGCCTGCATGAATGCATTCGAAATTGTACAGTGACCATTTTGCAGAAGTGTAAAACAATCTAGCCGTTGGTCTACACATGGCTGAACTGAAATCTTGCTTTAAATTAACTGGGATGTACAGTATCTGATTCTGTTAAAGATATAGTGAGCCTATGTAAGAAGATTTCAGTGTATTATTAATTATCGCACCTGTGAAATTGCTGCACATGCCGCAGCTTTTTGAGCAGTAGTGCTTCATCCATCGCGGATTACCTATACACCATCCTGAACAGTAAGAATGGAGAGTATCATGAAAAATTATATATCAGAAATAGTATGCCAACCGATGCACAAAGGGAGGGTGCTAGTTGTAGACCTACTGAAGAATGTACAGCAACAATTAGAAATCAGAACTGGTCAAATTATTCTAGTACTAACACCGTAACTTAAAACATTTTGAAAGTATCGTCACTGAGTGAAATCTTTCAAGTGATAGAAGTTCCTAATTGACATTGAAGTGAATGACTTCAGGTTTTAGGAATTTATAACTCACAGAATTACCGTAAGTGACGAGTTCGTCGCAATCCGAACGAATGTTTTTACAAGACTCAGTTATTATCAGGTGTATGGATGCATTTGTGGGTTCCTGACTGATTTCAGATGCTGTAGTTGCTACTATTCTCTGTGTTTCAGTTACACCTGGAACTAACAGAACTGGGGGTTCACTGTTTCAAAAAAAGTGGGATCAATTATTGGTATTATGCGCAACTTTTAATTTAAATCTTAAATTTTGTGCTGAAATCTTGATGCAGTCTTCATTCTAATGGTTCTATCATTCACATCAAACTTTTGACCTCTTTACTATTGATCTGTAAGAAAAAGATAAATTTCAAATATTTACGTAATGAACAGTTGTAAAGTTTATTGATTTTGAATATATCGAGCGTGCTGAAATTCAATCGCTGACCAATAGAAACAGGGATTTTCGGCACTAACGTTGGTTGACCATTGCGACTAAATGCTCGAGGTCCATAATGCATAATCGAATCGTAATCATAGTCAGCACCGAGTGAATCGACCATGCCGTGATCATATTTTTCAAATTGCCCTGCAAATGGGATAGCGTGATAGCGTTGAAGGAAGATAGTAATAATGAACAAAAAAATCCTAAATAAAAGAACAGGTTAAAACAATGGAATTAGAACTAGTGTCGCTTTATTTGTACAAGAACAATCAGTTGAAATGTACTACCAAAAGAACTAACCCTGCATTCCAGGTTGTATATTTCCCCAGAGCACTGTTATGTGCTTATCTCGATCAGTTCTGGACTGTTCATGGAAAAACCCAACCGCGTGCATTAGTTCATGCATTACGATGCCCTTTTGTATGCACCCCGTACCCAGTGATACCGCTTGTTTACCTCCTAATAGCAAAATTAGTAAATTTAGGGAAACTCTGTTCAAAGTATTTAAATTTGTGTGGTAAGAAAAATGTTTTAAATTCATTTCATGCCTTGTACTTCGGCATCTGCTTCATTACATGATTGTAGGCGGAATTTTAAGTTCATATCGGAACATCATATGCGATAAAAATGTGAAACAATTAAAACAAGAATTCAAAGAAAAATAGTAAGAAAAGGTATTTACCAGTTTTTCCAACCATTGAATAACAACCTCGATCGGGCACTATGTAGATATAATCATAATCCTTAACAGATCGTGGTACCCAACGAACACATGTATGTTTCATATATTCCTCCATTGCGGCTGCTATTATTGACCGACTGCAATCTACCATTATTCATGCATTAACATATCATATTTCATTTTTATTATTAATCGCTGTGAATAGAATTCAAGATGATATTCTGTGTGCTAAATCTAATTTCATAAGGTACAGAATTCTCTTTCATACGATTTTCATATGCTTCGGAAAGAAAGAGCACATAAAGTAAATGTTCTTCAGAACATTCTGAAATCATTCCAGTACATCGCACTCAGTTTGTTGCATCAAAGATGTATAAGAGTTAATTGGAGAATAGCATCAGTTCTCGAAAAATCTCATCCAACGAATTGTTAAACTTCTTATTCCTGATTAAAAATTAAATGCAAATAATTTTAGCACTTTTCAGTAATTTTTAAAAGTAATGAGAAGTGTTACCTATATGGACTGTATTGGCTACTTATAGCATATGGTATTCGGGCACTAGGCCACAGTTGGTGTCGATTTCGTACCGCATTATATAGTACATTGTTTTGTGAATTTATATCGTCGTTATCAACATTTCGATAGATCTGAAGATATGGTGACGATAACAAATTGAATAATGTGCAAAGAGTATAATGGCATATCGTTTATATTATCTAATGGGCACTGCAAAGCTGCATTTAATTTTCAAAATCGAAGTACATGTAATGAAATATTCAGTCAGGAAGAATGACCTTTTAAAAATATATACTATATTTCTGAATTGTGATTAAAATTTCAACAAAAAATACTATGCTAGAAAAGTCACAAGACTGAGGTTAGCAACGCTAATGTTTCCAAATAAAAGTTCAAAAAAAAAAAAAAAAAAAAAACAGTGCTGAAGCGCTCGAAAAATGAGCTTACATTTGCCAAATCAATGACATTTATATCCATATCACCCTCAAATTTCTCGGTGTTATAAAGAACCCAGTCATCACTATTTTGCCAGTGATCATCAAGCTCTGAAGCCATTGCGAAGTCAGTCGGCGTTAGGAATGTCTCATAATCAGCCTTCCGCCGATTGAAATACTATAATTGAAGTAAATACTATAAATTTTTGTTTTTTTTTCGGCCTGGAAAAATAGCAAAAAACAACAACTTAAACTATATTTTTTCAAAATTTGTTAAAATAAAATTTTACTTGTTAAAAAAAAAACTATGTGTTATATTCAGTATTAAATTTTGTATAGGGAATGTATAATGCATTTCATACATATATTTTCCGTTTAATGACGTTTGTGAAACTGACTTCACAGTGGCTAAAGCGTTCATTATAGCCAACCTTTAAATCATCCACATCATTCATTGCAGTTACAGCTGTGTGTAAAATTGACTGATGTGCAATGACATATAAACTTATTTTTAGAAAAATCATAGGTCTACGCTTCGCTGCAAATATTACTGATATACTTTTAATGAAACACTCCTACGATAGTTGTAGGGAATAATGTGAAAATATTCTTCGGAATTGAACCGCATGACAATATTAGCTATTATCCGTGTAAAAGTGATGAAATTGTAGCAACTGCAGTGCAACATATCTCATATTCTTCTATTCACGTGTGAGTGCTATTTATTACTCTATCCACTGTTTTATCAGAAATTTAAAAAATTTATTACAGATCTGCAAAATAAAAAAAGGTTACGGGGGAGTTTAGCGAACTGTTTGGTGTAGTTTTAAGTTATTATTTGGAAACTTTTAAAAGAACTGTTGTTTTGTCGTTTTTAACTCCTCATATGAGATTAATAATATAAAAATTTAATCAAAACAAATATTGCTAAATTTCTATTCTTGATTAAAAACATTATGTTTGTCGATTTTCTCCTTTTTGTTGACGTAAGAATGAGAGGGTCAAATCAAGCAAACTAAAAAAGTTTCTAAACAGAAGCAAAACTCGTACATCAAGTTAAAGTGGACTTAAAATAAAAAGTTCATTTTTCATTATGAAAATGGCTCTACTCCTTCACTTAATATAAACATTTTCATTTCCATTTGCTTTGAATGAAAGATTTACAACTGATTTAGTAGCTATAAATGTCGCCAAATTTAAGTAAAACGTTTGGGGAACAGAAAAGAAGTTGTTGGGAATATACAGACAGGTGTTCGAAGAGATAGTTGCGGTTGGTTACTAATGTCGACAATACAGATATCGAACTTCTTTTACATTCAAAGTAAATAAAACTAATAGTGTATGATGTGGAGATCGTGTTGGCCCAAGGAAAACCAGCAATTTGTGTCGTGCAATAGACAACACAGACCACCAAACATTCAAATCCTACACAGAGTGGATGCTACTTATCTAATATTGCACGCGAAGTGCTTCAAAACCAGTACCGACTATTGCAAGTTACCCAACAGCTTCTGACCTATTAATGGATTTGAATTGCTGTCTCACAATTCAGAAACTAGAAAACCTAGTTTTAATTACTAACCCTTCACTCTGTAGCTTCCATAGTTGAAAAAATGAGATTGAGAAAATGGTACTAGACTTCATATGCGCTTACTTCACTTGTAGCCTTCAAATCAATATAGTCAACCAAAAGAACAAATCTAGACTTGTAGCGCAGCTTAACCATGTAGAAATAACAAAATAGGTGACCAGACACGAAGTGAAATGCCTATCAGTAAAGATTATATGTCCTTTATACAGGGTGTATAATATAATCTCGATGGTCTTACCTTAGCAACAATCAGTTTTGATAGATCTATTTCCAGCATTGTTATTTGAAAGGAGTATAACTGTATTAATATTCTAATCACTTTGAATTTTTAAATATATTTAGCAAACCTGCACAACGTAATCAAAAATGTTTGTAAAATGTATGCATTTCCTCACTGCAAGAAAGCAAGATTTGTCCACTTAATTTTTATTTTTCTATTTATCTTAATCGAGCATTGCAAACTGCATGGAAAAATAAAGTTACCACATAACTACAAATTATATAAACCTCATCTTGTAAGCCTCTCAAAGGTACAAAAATAAAATAATTGAAAAAAAAAATTCCTTATAAAGTCAGAACCTTATACAAATATAAGTTATATCATAATGACATGGAGCAATCTGATGTCACATGCCACAAAGAAAATAACTGAAGTATAGTAGCGATAAATTATATAACAACAAAAAATATAAGCAGCAATAACACAACAATTCCGCTGTTTTCGAAATCAACAATTTCAAACCTGGATGATTCTTAATTCCCTTTGCAGAAAGCAAATTTTTAATCAGCTGTAAAACACAATCGTTCAGACCAACATATAGACAAAACAGTGAAAGTGACACATACACTTTCGCAACAATAGTTCATTCATTTGATTAAATCACCCGATACCAAAAACATAATCTGCTTTAAACTAAGTTTTCTGTAGATAACAATCGCTGAACATATTTGCTACGCATTAACAGGATGTTTTGAAACAACAGTCTTAAAATTTAATTTTTCATAATACTACGGAAGTTGACGCAATAAGAGTAGTAATTCTAATTAAAAATTTTTTCATTTAGCTGATCTATATCTGTATATCATTAAACACTTTTTTTTTTTTTTTTTTTTTTTTTTGCAAAAATTTCTTTACCGTTCGTATTTCCGCAGTCATAGAACCTAAAAAATCTATCAAGAAAGATATTTTCGAAACCTTTCGGTTACAGCAATAATAATGTAGATTGCAATATCCACATGAAATTCATTTGCTTTTCTTCAGCGGAGCTTCCTGATCATATTTCGACTTACTGCTGTACCATAGTATAAACGGAATAACTGTTGATGGTGCAACCAACATCAAAAATACCAACCATACACCCACTTTCGCCGAAAACTTCCGATCATAATCTTTCCTTCGATAAATATATCCTGAAGATATTCTTCAATTCTAAAAAATCAAGTTTCACTTTCCGAAATGTGCATTATATGCTACTATACTTATTTTCGCCTGATCGATGCTGCGTGTCCCATCGTTAGAGTAAGCATAAATACGAATCTCTGTACTACTTCACGAAATAAAAACATCAAAATATGGCATCATTCATTAAATGAAAATAAAAAGACCTTCTCCCGGAGCCGTTGTATAGCTGACGCGCACTTCCTTAGCATCTTCAGTTGGATAGTAAGTTATTTGAGCTGATGAATAATTAAATGCACCAACAGCTCGTGGACGCACTACTACTGAATGTGAAACATTATTGCCCGGAGCTATTCTTTCCCAACGTACCTCAAATTTAAAGTTTTTTTCATATCAGCAGCTTTATTATAATAACAATATTATAACCAGAAGTTAAAGATATTTAAAATTATTAAAAATATCTGCGCACTAAAAAACCCGATGAAGTGTGAAATTACCTGCAAGAGACCTTGTATAACGTCAAAAGTTTGCGTAGGGAAACCATCTCGATCATCTAATGCTACACGTAAGGCAGCCTGAAAAACTTATTCAACAAGCATACTATCACTCCTTCTATTGACTATATCTTTTAAACTTATTTAAATATAACAACAGTTTCACAAGGCAAAACAAATGTTCGTCAAGTATCCATAAAACGATGAACGGTACTTGACCTTTGCATCCATTTCTTGTTGGGATCTGGTAAACAGTAATAATGAAAAAACGTTCATTCACTATTAATAATGTGAAAACTTATGCAATGAAAACATTCATTATAATATCCATTCTTACCTTGTCACCGACGTTGTATAGACGATAATCAATAATATAATCCATCCCTTCAACTGCATATTGTGATAGTGTAAATTTTGATGCAACAATATGTGCTGAGTCATTCATATCTGTATCTTCTCCATACGTGATACTTACATACAGCATTAAAAACGCTGACAATTTCCACCTCATCTTAAAGCACTGATAATTATATATAAAAACAAACACACTCCAAAACAAAATACATACATTTTCACATCATCTGAAGAGATTTGCAGGGAATGGAACTAAAGTGAAAAACCCTTAAAGTACGAAAATTATTACATGAATATACTCTATGAAGCTTCAAGTCAGACAACAGAACAGCACATATAAGTATTTCAACCAATGAATGATCAATAATCGGATCATTGATCGCCGCTACCGTAAGCCTTGACCAAAGAGAGAAGGACCACACTCCAGTCTCATTTATTCAAAAGAACAATTTTGCTACGTAATTGCATAATAAAATTTACCAATGTTTTAATAGTTTACTTGGCAACACTAAAATCTCTCGAAAATTTACCGAAAAATCATACTATAATTAATAAAACTTCAACTATACGTATATATCATTTCCATTAAGAGACATAGATCCAAACCAATGAACGGACGGCATTTCTTTCAGTACCTCGTCACTACATCCACACCAATATCAGCCTCTACATACCCGCTGCGTCTTGCCTTCATGTGACGTCGACAGTCCGACGTCTCCTCTCTACCTGCAGTACATTTATAGAGAATTTGATGAAATGCACATATGAGCTACACAAACTGCAACTACGATGTGCAATTATTACGACTCAAGAATCATCACTGGCTTACTGCCGTCTCAGTGCGAAATGCGATTACTACTAGGTTTTGGTGAGTTGTGTACCTTGTTTAGTTTGGTGAAAATCGGACAACGACGCGACATTGCTAAAATTCACATGATCGGAATGGTATGCACCACCAGCTTCGGTAACGGTTAATTTACCTGGTTACACCGTTAACGCTCACACAGAAACTGAGACTGGAGGGGAAACAATAAGAGATGGTAGCGCACGGAGAGCGAGAACACTTGGGAGGGAATAAAAAACCAACGAAAATAATGATAAGAATATGAAGCAGAAACTAGATTGCAAGTTAATTGATTTTACTATGGAAAATAAATCGAATCTATACATTTAATAACTGATAGACGCATCACGGATTCCACCACATCCATATGGAATGAGTGGATGAACGAATGTATAAAACCAATGAAGGTAATAAGTTAATGTTATTAAAAAAGATCCGCGCCATAGGGCCTAAAGATTATGGAGTAAATCAGAAACGCTGATAACTAGAATCTTGTCTTGATGTGTTTTCACTTTTTTTGAGGAAACCAGTTCACAATTTATACCATAATATACTTTGGTCATGTCAAAGTCTTCGTTTTAAATGGCTCTTGTTTAATACCACTTTGTTTGCTTTTATATCATCTTAATTTTATCCTCTTTTCCAATGCTTCGTTCTGTTTCAGTTTAATTTTCGTTTGTCTTGTTTTTCTAAGAATGAGTAACACAAAACATAATTCTAGTTTTCAAGTCACTTTAATAAAAGATTCAATTTCGTCGAATTTTCCCTTGAAGTAGTGTCGTAAGATTCATAAATTTTCTAGAGATTTTGGATAATCATAGAATGTAACGGCAACAAATATATGAAAGCCACATCCATATCAAACTGCACTAAAATCTATCGAAATATATCAACGCAAGAAAAAAAAATACTAGCGCAGCATATTATATCAACATATAGCTTTTCGACTTCCAAACACAGAACCTGCACGCGCCTATTAGCATAACTATAAAAATCTAAACATTCGCTTGCTAAATATGTCGTAACGTTTATCAGTAATTGACAAGAGCTACTGGATTTTTAATTATTTTTGTTTGTAAAAACTTCAAATACATATTTCCAAAATAAATTAGGAAAAAAAACTACGATGTTCATCAAGCTTTTGGAGGAATATCACAAGTGTTATCTTTGTGATGCTTCATCATGTTGGTCAGCTTTTTGTCAACATAGTTTGCTGGAACAATGTATCCAGCAAACGAACGACGTCCAATAGCTTCACCAACAAAAAACCAACAAATTATTTCCACTGCAATACATGTTCGCACTAGTGTATCCTATAAAACGCTCCTATAAAACGCACTAGCGCATTATATATACAAAGTGAGTCCGTTTATCAAAACAGTCAAATTCTCTTCTACCGAAGCAGTTCCTATCCTTGAACATTTATGGGAAAAAATCTAGTCAGTGATAACTAATAAAATTGTTATGCCGCACAGCCGCGTTTTCGTATAAACATCATATTCATCATGATAACCTCGGCAGTATAAGGCGACCCCATTTTTAATTTCTTTACTTCAAAATTTATTTATCCCGTTACAACAAAGTTTTGAAATCTATTGAACAAGTTCTGGTCTACAAAAAGTGATATGAAAGGAGAAAATAGTAATTTACCATGACGGTCCACTGAATATATGATCTGCTTGTAATGGCATCCATCATTTGCTTGAAATCTTTCTTTATAGTAGGCCAATCTTCCAACGTTGGTGGTTTTAATTCCTTATGCCAACAATCTTTCCACAATACTTTTCTTCGTGGAAGCTTAGAAACAGAACGCTTGCAAGAGTATTAAAATTTCAATAATCTCAAAAAGTCCTGACAGAGAACATATTCCACTCTGAAGACCTTGGCACAAAAACCCCTTTTTTTAAGGCATATAAGATGTTAAGATCGTATAATTTACGAAATCATTCTTTTATCTCTCCCCTACAGTTACAAAAGGAATCAACATCTTTCCATTTTCACTAAAGTAAAATAAATAAACGCTCAGTGTAATCACCCTTAACTGTTCTGTTGATTACCTGAGTCAGCTGATAACGGTACAAGTAGCCCGCAGCATTTGCCAGTTTTTCGATGAGACCTATGTGTTTTGACATACCTAAAAAGTGAGTAGTTAAGGCAAACAACACTTAAAACTTAACAAATCCAAACTGTAACCGACGAAGCAAAACACTGAAATAGGCGACCTACTCGAGTCTTACATGATTGCTTCAGGTATACTACATACTTAAGCTATCAAATAGGATGATTGGTTTAGGTATACGTTACCTACTTAAGCTAGCTCAAATACATTTTAATCTTATTCCAACGAAATAGCAAACTTCTTCGACAGTTGTCCTATGTCTACAATGCACATCTCTAAAATAACAGGTACTATAAAACGGGAAAGCATATCGCTATATATTCTAACGAACGCTTTCCAGGACGATTTTTTCGCAACAATTTAATGTCTGTATAAAAAAGCGGGGTTCTGGGACGGAAATTAACACTACTGAGAAAAAATGTCGCTCAGTATTTCTGAATATATACTAGATTTGAAATGACAATACAAAGAACAAAGAAGAAAAATAAAACTCTTCCCCTTCTCTTATCCCCGCCAATCACTCTTAACAGCTCCCAAGAACAACCAAATCGTTGCACTGCAATACGCGCATCACTCGTATAGGCCCAGTCGTATCCGAACAATTCTTCATAAAATTCGAACTCGACTAGACATGATGCTTACCAGAATACAGACGGGTCAGTTCAGTGTGGGTCATCGTAAATGAGAGTTGGTTGAGCGTATTTCGTGCTGTTATAAGGTGGAATGGATGGAGTAAATATATTCGTCGGTTTAGTTTCCTAAATGTGGCTATTATGAGCGTGGATGGGACCACTGCCTTGAAGAATTTAAATAACATTTACAACAGCATCCACAACTTCATCGCTTTGTAAGTTATTTCCCTAATTTCTCACTTATTTTAGATGGAATTGCTTTGACGGCTTTATGCTAAACATATTTCAGGATTTCTTCGGTTTGATGGTTTCATCCTAAACATATTTCAGGGTTTCTATGTATAGTCATGTCCAGCACGAGATGCTTGCAAGAAGCGTGGATTTATTTTAACCTTTTACCCTATTTCAGCTGCTTCCGTTCCACAGTTCGAAGCATTTAAGTTCAGTGACTACTCTCGCCATTTTCTGTTATAATGTCTTAATTGAGGTTCCGATATAGCTTGATAAAGACGGATAACAGCTTTCAAATTACAGAGCTGAAAAGGGAAACAGTTCGGATATCGCATTAAAGCTACGTCACTTGGAAGCATCACTGGAACAGTTGAAAGAAGCCATTGATTCTACTTCTGATATTATTGGGTATGACAGCTTATGTTGTTGTATGGTGGCTTCCATCAGAAACGATTAAAAAGAAACTGCAAATTTTTTCTTTTTAGGAACGAAAATTACCAACGTGCTAGGATAGCTGATTTGAATCGACGAATTACATTGAAAGACGGTTTAATCAATTCATTTCGAAATGGACAGTGCTCATTCGGCACATAATATTGACCTTGTATTGTTTTTTCCTTTAGTTGCACTGAGAGGTTCAACACTTTTCTCCTTAAATTTTACTAAGATCACCAGTATTGCCGCCAACTTCCTAAACTTAGATATTTCAGAATCTTTCTACAAATAACCGAAATAAGCTTCCCATTCTTTGCATGCGATGTAATTGTGCAATACTGTCTCCTAATGTTGCGTCTTTTGTGGATGCCAAACCATTTTCGCTACCGTTTTGTCGACAGGCAAAAAACAGCACTTCGATAAACGCAGAGGTTATCAATTCTTGGTGTGTTTTTTGTGAAAACATATTTCGATATCATTGTCTTAGAAAGCATAATACTGTAAATTCCAGCAGCACAAAATTCCAATGTACCAATTTATAAAAATGAATGCGTTATGAAGAAGTGAGTTGCAGTTTACAGCTAACATGTAATGTTAAAATCGTGTAAACCAGAGATTGCATCATTAGTATTGCCAGCGTTTAGCGTAACATTTTTTCCAGCAGCTGACTTATTTTCTAAAGGCATGATTTCTCTCATGATAGCAAGAAATGAAAATTTTCAAGGGAGGTGAGTGAACATATTTCAAGGAAAATAGGTGAGCATAACCTCTCTAAGCTGATTGAAGGTGTATCTCACTGGTGTGTTACTGGTATTCATTATCTGCATACCTTGTAAATAAGAGGTATATTAAATGTTGCACTTAGAGATTTTACGAATGTTATAGGTGGCAGGTTGAGAGAATGTTCGATTTTGAAAATATTGGTTTTACACATGCTCGCGATGGTGTCAAATATTTGATATGCGCGAATTGTGAAGATGGCCCTGTAGGCTATCTATGTCCGGTGACCAAAGCGCACTTTGTTGCTGTATGTCGTGTCAAACAAGAATAATTTGTTAGTGTTCTGAACAGCTCATGATTCTCTTTTCTCCATCTTTGTTCGATTGTCTGAACAACATTCAGTGATTGACGGTATTGCTTTAATAGCCTCAGATTTGATCTATTTTATGCTTTGCAAATTCTGATCTTTTTTATTAAAGTTGGAAGCTGTTTTTTGGAGTCAGACTAATCTTCTATTGTCCAAACATTACGATTGGCGTTGTAGGTATTTATCGTTCAAAAAAAAGAAAAGTGAATTGGGAAGAAAACTCGTTTTTACATGCAAGAAGTTGGGTGTGAGCAGCTCTGTAGTCTCGTTCAAGGTTTTGTCTCTATCATTGTCAATATATGAATATTATGTTGCACATTACTTTTTGAATCGATTAATAACTTCTGGATATGAATGCTATAATTCGAAGAGCTAAACATGCTTCCATTAAGAAGTAAGGCTGTAGTTGAGTCCAGTTACCATTAAAAATTGGAAAAAATAAAGTATGAATTTATTGTAAATAACGGAAAACATGCACGCCGATATATTCCTTTTTTTCCTAGGAGTTTCTTGTTTTTTACTTCCGAAATTCTTGTTTCTAAATTCCAAGTGTGAGCAGCTCTCTTATAAATTTCAAGAAATGACATGCATATGTCCTTCAAAGAATTGAAATGAGGCGTTTTTCGTGACTGATTCGTCGTTAGTGTATGTGGTATGTTTTTAATATAAAATATATATATGTTCACTATAGTTTCGTGCTGGTATCACGGATGATAATGTTGCTAGTTTATTATAATTTAATGATATCAATGATAACGTTGCTATGTTTTTAATTCATAAATTGCATGCATTTCTTGTTTGCTGTAATTTAATAATGCTGTTGCAAATTATTATTATTTTTTGCTATTTTTTTAAATTAAAAATTGTATTTCTTATTTATTGCATTTTTACAGTAGTATCACAGATACATATTTCTCTTTCCTTAATTTGAAAATTGCATCTGTTTCTTATCACATTTTTGCAGTGATATTATATTTGTTGCCATGTTTTTCATATAAAAGTTGCATATATTGTTTATTATTTAATAATGATATTACATATTCTGTATGTTGGTATGAAACATATTTGTTACTGTTCTCTGCACATAGTTTTTCTGCTGTATTGTTGAAATTCAGAATCTGTTAGGATTTTCTGATGTCCTTTAAGTGATTGATTATTGGCTTTTCTTTTTCTGCTGAAGGTCTTAATTTGTCGTGCTGTTTCGATGTTAATCCATGTTTGTTTTATGGATTATAGGAGGTGTGCTGTCCGACTGTTTAGGATGGCAGCAGAACAGGGACAAACAAACGTAATTTTTTTTTTTTTTCGTTATGTATCTCCTAGTCTTATTTGTTTAAATTTACCAGTTATTGATCACTTCATTAGTTTTCAAGTTTTATTTATAGATTGTCAGTACAGGTGTGGAAGAGCCATTGGATTTAATTCGATTGAGTTTGGATGAACGCATTTATGTGAAAATGCGCAACGATCGTGAGGTGTGTGTGTGTTTGGTTTTTGTTTTCAAACACGGAGTTATTAGAAACCGCTTTTGTGGGTAGTATAGTTATATGGTGCGGGATTTATCGCTTGAAAGTTGCTCTTCTGGTTTTTTATAAGAAAATTAATTGAAGTAATGGTTTCCTGAATCTGTCGTGCATAGTTATGGTCTTTAACTTTTTTTTTAGTCAATTTGAGTCGTTTTATGGTGGTTATTTCGCGGGTTGTTGATTACATAAAGGAAAAATACAAGCTTCAATAGTTGTGAACATTAAATTTCCAGGTCCGAGGTCGTTTGCATGCCTTTGACCAACATTTAAACATGATATTGTCACAAGTGGAAGAAACAGTAACCACTGTCGAACTGGATGAAGAAAATTTTGAGGAAATGCATAAACAGACGAAGCGTCAAATACCGATGTTGTTTGTTCGGGGTGATGCTATTATACTTGTTGCTCCACCTTTGAGACATACATAATTTCTTTTCGGTTTTTTATTGCATTGATCTGACTATTTGATATCTGCAAGCTCCTTTGGGATAGTTTTATATAATTTTCGATTCGCTCTGATAATTCAAGTTTCCTGGTTATCTCATTTTTCACTACCGATTTTGATCACACTGCTTACTGACAGAGTCTATTGCATCACTTTATTTGAAATTATCATTTCCTCCATCAGTTATTCATGACTGTGCACTTGTTCTCCTCTTAATAATTTCGTTGTCATTTGATCCATTTCGAATAATTTGTTATTTTCTGTAAGTTGAAGATGCTTGTTGTTTTTGATGTTTTTTTTTTCCTTTTTGAGTGGAATTTCAATTCAGAAGCAATGTTTTATAACATTGTATGTCGCTTCAATAGTATTATTTATGAATTTTTTAATGACCTACCTTGCTTACACTTTTTGAATTATTTCCCTAATTTTATATACTACTTACTGATCTGTGGATTATATATTATGAAGTCTCGGTATACAAATTTTAAGAAAAGGAGAAAATTGAGGTGAACTTTGTGCACTTATAAAATTTTTTCCCATGAACGAGTAAAAGTTTTTGTGGTCCTTTATCGCGTATATGTAAAGTCACTGTTCATATGAACATCTGGAAAGAGACCACAGTTGCTTACACGAATAGTGAGTTGCAAGTTGAAAAGGTGTGTTGTCACTTTATTATATGAAGTTAGCATGTGACGTAAGACAACAGTGCACTCCAGCAGTGTTATTCAATATGGTGGCGTGAGATTGCTGACTTAAATTGTGTTGTCACTTGTTAGGGTTTTTCATTTGGCATTTGGTTCTTCATGGTTGATATGATAAAAAAAGAAATGAAATTGAGGTAACTGCGTTTCAAATAGAAGGTTCAGGTCATATTGGAGTTCTTCACTTTTTGCCAAGAATTTCTATTTAAATTTACAATTTGGTCGCAACAGTAATGTACATTGCGTATTTTAAATTCTTGTAGATTTCTTTATCCAAAAATGTCTCTACTTATTGCTTGTATTATTTTTATCAAACAGTGCCTCTGAAATGTCAATAATATTCTTTGATGAAGAAAGCGATAGTTAAAAAGCACGAACTACGAGACAATTTCTTCTTTTGTAGTGTTGAAAACCGATGATTTCGAAAAGCACAAGATTTTAGTTCTATTGATGTCGATGAAATTAATTTCTTTCTAGCGCCATGCTTATTGTTTGCATAGATCTGGGACTAAGCGCAACTGCAACTGCAGTAAACTTTCTTTTAGGTGAAAAGTTACTCGAAAAGCATTGCTTAAAATGTTTAGATTTATTAAATAATAGTGGTGTTTTATTCAACACAAGCATGCAAGACTAGTAACTGAAAGGAAAGAATAATGATGAAGTTGTGTGGAGTAATAGTATGGAAGAAAGAGGATACCAGATTTCGGATTGATTCAGGAAATAATTGTCTTTCATGACTGAAGTCATATTCTTTATTTGTTTCTGTGGAGCTTGTAACAATTAAAATGATTGCCACTGCACATTACTATAGATTCAAGATCAAGTCGAGTAATATTTCTATTTAGGAGTCAGTCTCTTAAAGGGGTAACCTAAACAGCAAGCAGATGAATAATAGAAAGGTTTTGTCGAAAATGTAGCTGAATAGTTATTTTGTAAGTTTAAAGCTTAAAAATGGTATCTTAGATAATTTGCATGTTTGATAAAAGAGAGGAAAGAAAGAAAAAGAAAGGCTAGACATTTGAAGACCTTCAAACTGAGATTACGGTGTTTCATTAAACGATAAAATGGACGAGGGAATGAAAAGAGAGGTTAGCGAACAAATTTCTTCAAACAGATAAACATTACCAACACTCAGAATGTAATCATGTAAAATACCTCCTTCTTAATGTTCAGATCAATAGCTTTGAACTTTACCTGCTCGCAGCTGAAAACCATTTCATCAAACAATATATTTTTCTCATGCATCATGTTTTTTAATCACTTACACCTGAAATATATTATACTACAAATCAAAATGAAATTTTCAAAAATTGTAGTAATCTGTGTTACCTTTTGGAATCCTTTAGTCTATCAGCATTCTTGATTTCAGTTTTAGCTTACATCGACTGTTACTCCGATATCTAAGTTTCTGCATTCCGATAACCTGGAAAACTATAAAATTTGCAGCACTTGTACGAAGCTGAAAAAATAAATGTAAACAGCTGCTTGTTTCCTATTTATAGGTGGATGCATGCTAGCTAATGCGGTATGACTTGACGATGAAAATGCCAGTGGAAAACAACTATAGAATAACTGAATTCCGTTTACAACAGTCAATCATTCAATTTAGAAGTTGCATTCTCGATGTAAACAAAATGCACATCTTTTCTTTTGATTGTTTGTAAAATAAAATTCATTTCATATTAATAATGAAACTTTTTTATTGCTTCAATTGATAGAAAAGTTGAAAATCAGTCAAGAAGAAAGGCACAACTATGATGAAATACATTTCAAACATACCAAAATAGAAAATTTCAAATCTCATTTCCATTTTTATTGCCAACTATTTCCTTTTTCATATCAAAGACAATTCGAGATAAAAACGTTTGCAATATTATAGTATTTTCCTGAAAGAAACATCTTATTGCAATGAATCTTATCGCATTAAGATTATTCTCCAGAAATGTCGAAAATGCTTTTTGAAGCAGTAGTTGTTATAAGTAGAATATTTTTCTAAATTTTTTTAAAACATTCAATCAGTATTCTTTCTATTTTCTTCTTTCCTCCTTCATATATAGATGACCTTTCTGTCGTAATCCAATCACTATTCACCTGCAGAATTAATCGGGATTTATTAGTATATCAAAAAGAATTCGGGATAAAATGCCTACAGTATTACAGTAATTTTCATGAAGAAAACATATCATTGCAATGAATGCATAAATATTATTTCCCAAGCGTAATCTTCTTGGAATGCTTAATTAGCATTCCACCTACGCATATCAATCACCTTCCACTGTTCATATAAATTATACTTAATGAGTAGTCCATGTTGAACTTCGCTTTAAGCAGTCATAATGGTAGCAGTACTTAAAACCGATTATACCATGTACGACTACAATTACATAAAGTTACAATGTATACTAATAAATAGTCCATCTTGAACTTCGCTCAAGTTATCGTCTGTTAGAAAAAAACCCTAACAGTTTCATTTATTTTTATATTTTAATTATAATCCAAAATAAAGCATTTTGGAAGAAGGCTAAAGTTGTTAACTACTGAAAATCGGTTTTTCTTAAAAATGGTAATGAAGACAATAATGATCATTGAAGTGGACTGATATTTATATTGGACTCCGTAACTTGTATCTGTCACTTGAAATAGAAAATATGCTGCATGAAATTTTGACAAATTTGGATAATTGAAAAGATGGAACTCTTTAGATTTCGTAATAATTTTTTTTTTCGGAATTTAAAGAAAGTAGCATGCTATCGAAAAATTACTTCTAAAATATTTTTTTGTGATAATGTCATCACCAAAATGATTGAGAAGAAATTAAAAATACATGTACTTTTCCGAAATCGACAAATGACTTCCTTTATTTCCATAAGTTTAAAAAATGACTAGATATGGCAAATAAAATAAAGATAGCAAGTAAACATGAAATTGTCGGACCAATACTAAGTTGTTACTGATTATCTATGATTATAGAGGTGATGAACACTTTACCTGCATTATTTCATTTATCAATGCACATGAAAAAGTTGACATGGATATTGGTCATTAAATAGTTGAATATTAAACTTTATTAATTTAAATCTTCTTGTAACACAGAACTGATGAATAAATGAACCAAACATTGTTGTTGCAATTGGTTAAAAGTTATTTTAGACTAGTTTTGAAATCTAAATGAATTTTGAATCTGTAAAAATTAATGGAATTTTTTCGGTGGCAAGTTTGAGTTATTCTAGTGTAGTTAATAAAATTCACTTTTCTAGGCTTTCAATAGCAAACGCCGCAAAAGAAGAACAAAGAATAATGAAACCGAAAAAAAAGTTCCTTTCAAAAGTAAGTAATTATGCGAAAATTGTGAGTGTAAAATATTATAGTTTGAAAGCACGTATCACTTTACCTGCATTATTTCATTTATCAATGACACATAAACAAGTATCTGTCAAGATGTTTACACAAATTCGTATTGAAATGATATCATACTGCGGATTAGCAAATTCAATAAACTGATTTTAAGCAAACAAAAAGAAAAAAAATGTTGTCAACAAAAACTGATTTCCAAACAGTAATATTTTTGTCATCTTTACTAAAGTACAACTGTTAGTGATATAGTTTACTTTAAAAGTACATATGAAAATAAAATGAAGCTTTAATGACGGAAATATATTAAATTTTGCAAAGTAGGTTATTAAAGTAAAACGTGCATAGTACCATGATATTGGGGTTTACATACTCCTTAAATGAAAGAATAGGATGAATAAAAAAGTTCATGGAATTAACTGATTTTTTTTTTGTTCATCTAAATGATATCTATTCCGCACAAAATTCCTTATGTATCTAAAAACCTTTTAAGAAGAAAATAAAATCCAAATCTGGAGTTCTAATTTTGAACAGCAACATAGCTGTAATTCACTTATCATAATCCAAATGTTGACTCCATGAATTAGATTGCAGAAATACATAGTGTGAAAATAAGCAATGAATTTTATACCTATGTCAAAATTACCTAGTTCATAGAAATTTATTCTAGAACAGTTATTTCTTACTTTATTGTCAGGTCTATTCAGTAATAAAAACAAGACATAGACATAACTATTCAATCCTGTATGATTTAAGCTGTGCTGCAGTCATTTTTATTTCGTTTACATGATTGCACATAATACGATACGTCTAGAACACATTACAATGGATCAATTTTTGCAGTTCGAAACAGAAAGTTCAAAAATTGGATTAAATTGTGAAACGTTTGAAGATTAAAAGAATCCAAAAAGATAATTTACAAACCTTATTTTGCAAATAAAAATCTTCATTATTACCGAGTAGGTCTGACGATAAAAGACAAGGTTGGATCGAGGTCTAAGTAGTCGAGAAAGCAGGAAACAGGTGGACACTGTCCAGAAGCCTTTAGTACGGTGTAATTGTGGTGCAAGTTTTGGAAAAATTAATGGAAATGCTTGAAAAATAAGTAAATAAACGAACACTTCACATGGTTAAGATGATGGCAATCGATGACTGATAAGATGAAGTGAAATACCTGCAGTGAGATATGCTTTCTGGGCATATACGATAGAAAGTTGGTAGGCGGAGGGTTGGCTTGAACAGAAAGGCGGAGTTCGATAAGTGCGCACAACCAATCAGCTCCGCACAAACGATCGTTGCCTCCGCTATGCAACCAAGCATTTTCGGACATTGCTCATTCATTTGACCATGGATTGCTCCTTGTGGCCTCGATATGCCGCAGCAGCTGCCTACAATCCAGCAGGAACCACTGTACCGAATCCAACTGCTGGTGCCGCAAGTGCTGCTGCCGCTGCCGCCGCTGCTGCTGCTTTTTATACTCAACCATTTACCAGTAATAACTCTCATATTATAGTGTACTTTTAAACAAAGCTGTTGCTGTATATATGCTGAATCAATTATAAAAAGCAGTAAATATCTTAAAAAGTACCAAATCCTCAGTAAGCTTATATATTTTGTAGTCAAAACCCATTATAAGCACGAGTAATAAGCTACTACGATGTCTCTTCTGAATGCATTCACTTTATTCGTAGATATCAAGAAAACGACTCGCTGCGAACTTGATTTAAGAAATTCTTCCATTTAGCAGAATAAATTACAGAAGTTCTAGAATAAACTACCGTTTCTGATATCAGGTCACACAGGCGTCAATCAACTCGGAGGAGTTTTTGTTAATGGACGGCCTCTACCGGATCATATCCGGAATCGAATTGTTGAATTAGCACATCAAGGTGTTCGCCCCTGCGACATCTCACGGCAATTACGGGTATCACACGGGTGTGTATCGAAGATACTTGGCCGTTACTATGAGACTGGATCCATTCGACCAGGTCCTTCCGCCTTTTTCTTACCAAAAATTCAAAGAATATATACAATACAGTATGAACTCAAGTTCTTTCTTCTTAAGCGTTCTATTTTTCATTTGTTTATAGTAAATAGATTCAGAAATTTTTAATTCCTAATTTCTTCTGTGAAATGTACCTAATATCAGAGGAACACAGAAATTCTTGTTATAACAGTCTAGATTCCAAGTCACACTCATTGCAAAAACCATATTGCACGATGACACCCAAATTCGAAATATTCATATTTTTGGAGTTTTATAATTTATTTAAGCCATTAAAAAATAAATGTTATTTCTTGATTTTTTAGATTATCCAGAACATGGTATCATAAAATTGTTAAGTTTGAAATTTTTGTCCTTTTATTTACGCATTTTAGGTGTTATTGGCGGGTCAAAGCCGAAAGTAGCCACACCAAAAGTTGTTCAAACAATTGCCGCTTATAAAAGAGCTAATCCGACAATGTTTGCCTGGGAAATTAGAGAAAAATTGTTAGAGGTAATTATATTTTGATTTCTTTATTCATTTTCCAGATTTCACCTTGCTCTTACTTTTCTGAAACCATGAGATCTAGTTTTTGAAAAGTAATTTAATAGCTAGGCAATCGTTACTATGCATTTCACGACTTTTTCTATTCTTTTCAATCTATGTCCTTAAACAAATCTTTGATAGCTATTAAGCACCGTGGAACTTGCCCTCGAGTTTCTTTCGCAACTTAAATTAGTTGTTCTAACTTAGGATACTTTGTGTTCCCGATAGAATTCTTGGTTTTTTTTTTTTTCTTTTTTGTTAAATATCAATTTTGTGTATTTCAATGTCCTAAAGACAACAGAGAAAAACGCTTTTTGGTGTAAACCTCATCTAAAACAAGGATCATTAATTATATCTAGGAATAAGCTTTTCACTTTCAGAAAAGCACGTCAGCAAAAAAAATTCAAAACCATTTTTGTATCGGAACTTGCTACTTAACTTCAATTCGATTTTATCTTTAATGATTTTCAACTCGAGTAAAATTCTAAATTAAAAATTAAGAAAAATATGGAAGCGTCAATGTTCATTGAAATTTTTGTAAGAATTATTGCATCAATGGGAACGGAAATTAATAAACTTGAATATATGAATCTTCTCCTTAATCTGAAGGCGGGTATTAACGATATGAAATGCACTCCTAATTCGATGCTAACCAAATTTAGGAACGAGTGTGTGATTCAGAAAATGTGCCAAGCGTATCTTCAATTAATCGGATCGTTCGGAATAAATCATCCATGGATCGCTTATCAGAAAGAACCCTTCAGCAAACAGCTTTTTTAGCACCGACAACTCCCTATTCTATCAATGAGCTCCTAGGTTTCGAACAGCCTTCTAAAGTCTGTTTTCTGGAATCTCCCATTGCCACTTCATTTTGAGAATGACTAGTTCTGGATTTTTCTCATAGGTTCTCATAAAACGTTGCAACCTCAATTTCTAAAATACACAACGACAAAATAATTCCGCTTTTTGTTATAGGAAGAAAATTTATTTTTTAGTTTAAAATTTTCCCTCTTCTATTTCTTCCCCAGTGTTCTTTCTCCCATTATTCCTCTGTAGTTAGTATCACCGCCCTTAGATAGCCATCAGCCAGCGCAGCGTATGCGTCTTCAGCTTCATCACTCATCTGTTTGCAAATTAAATTGTTTCAAGAGCAGCGTGGACAATTCCCAAACATCGCAGCAGTTAGCAACAAATTTTAAAACGACGAATAAAAATGCATTTGGTTCACGTCTTCACGTTTCTCTAGGTGACCTCTTACGTTATATTCGAATATTTAAACTTCATTTTTAAAAATTGGAAAGTATAAATTGGGAAGTATCTGCAATAATCAAGAATTGAATATAGTGAACAAAGTGCTCAGTATTGTCATAAATAGTGCCTATTTTCGACATAAATAGTGCCTATTTTGCATAAATAGTGCCTATTTTGCAAATTAATCGACATAAATAGTGCCTATTTTGCAAATTAATTAATTGAATCTTATGTGGTGTTTTTTAGACGTATGATATTTTTAAATTATTATTTTTAGAAGCTTAGTAAGATATGAATGCCTTAAGTAATTATTTTTGCCTGAAATTTGTTAATTTAAAGTTGCAATTAATTTCAAAATCTGTAAAGTATTCTTAAATAAAAAAGCACGCTTTCCTATTGTAAACAATTTTTATAGAAAAAGGCTGGGAAGGAACAGGTCCTACAGTAATCACATCATCAAATACAAATTCTCAAACATATTTTGGTAAGTGTTCGAATTTGTTAGTCGTCTCGTCATTTGTCGCTGTCATTGCAGTTGTACCATAAATAAAGGGAATTTATGTAATATTACTTAAACTGTAATTTTATTTAAAAAGTCTTCTTTCACAAAAAAACCCCATAATTATCAACCCTATATTTGAGGAATGAAGAGATACCGATAACAGAAATCGGAATTAGCAATAATAACTGTTTAAAGTAATATGTAATTAATCAGGCTAGCTTATTTTGTCCATATGAAATGGTTCCTCTTCTGATTGCTCACTCACCTCTATAGGTTAAAAAAACATTTTGCCCGTCTGTAGCATGCAGTTCATTGAATTATGATATGAAATCCATTACTTCAAACTAAACCATTTCTTATCGAAAGATCATTGATTCCGTACTTGAAATAAATCATATATATGGACATCTACTCAAACAATTTTTCACCTATTTTGGCGAAATTATTGTGAAGATTTATAACTGAAATAATAATTTTAGACCTGAAAAACTGGAATAGTTGGTTGATCAGTTAGAACGTCTGTACTATTAATTAACATGCTAGTCTAGTTTTGCCCCAGTTGTACTCTTTTCAAATTTTTAAAAACTCCTGTGTATCTTTTTCTTACATTTAGTCTACTAGCTACTTTATCATGTGAATTTTCACTCTGACCAGAAGTCGTCCTAGTAGCTTCATATATTGAAACATTAAATTATTTTAGTAATATTAACGGTGGGAATAAAGAATCTGTGACTTATTCAGTTGAAATTATTAATCAAAGCTTTTTCTAGTGAATTCTTTAAGTGTTTAACAATACTAACTTCTATTTATCATTCCTATTAGGCATGCAGTGTGTTCGTTTCTAGTTCATGAATCTCAATATCTACTGAAGGAAAAATTTTTAGACGGATTTCTCGGTGATCACTGGGCTGATTCGACACGAAATCCTGAATGCATGCTACCAGGCAGCATTAACCTCAATATAAACTCGAACAACAGCCGGAGTAATGCTAACATCAGCATGCCATCTGCTACATCAATGCGAACATCTTCGTATGTATTTTATTCATCCACAACCGCCGCTGGTTCGTATTAAATAATTGTTTTATTGAATTCACATCGCTTTGTTTTGTTTGCCTATTACTAGATAATATTGTATCAAGATTTCCAAATATGTAGATTTTTGTGGAAATAAATGCATTTATTGATTTTTTCTTTAGTTAACTATAAAACATAGTATTTATGGATATCCATTAGTTGCAATTCCTACATCTATTTGAAAACCGGAATCTAAGTCTAACTTATAAGTTAAAATTATTGATATTAAATCATCAATAGTTTATCACTTAAACTTCAAACCATGAAGTTAGGGACATGAAAGTGGAAAGAATTTTAAATAAATTTCAAAATTTAGATAGTGGAGAGTGATGCATTGTGCAAATTATATGAGGTGTGCTTGATGTTTCAGAGAAGAACAAAAGGACGGGATACCCATCGGGGATTGAAGCTCATTTACTTAACGTATTTCTACTTCCAAACCACCATAACAACATTAGCGCCTTCTTTTTTCCATCATCCAATTTACTGTTACAATCGCTTCTTTAGTAATGGGAACATTCTAAAGTGCTTTCGATTCATTCCTGAAAGCAATATTTCCTTCCTCCCATCTAATCATCTTCCCCACCTCCCCTCTTCCCTCTTTCCTCCTCCCCTCACATAGCTTTCTAAAATATCTTGATTACTTAAGTTAGAAATTCCAATACAAAAAATATGAAATTTGATTACTGCTCCACTGACTTATCAGCAACATCACAGAAAGATAGTAATTAAGGGATAAAAAGAAGTACAACTTGTTTAACTGTCCAAAAACGAGATCCATATGAAATGGTAAAATTAAGCGATATAGGGAAATGAAAGATGCCTGCCGCATATTAGACAGGAAATGAATAAATGTTGAAAAAAGTGACATCGCTTATGTTTCTGTTTGTACACGACTGTTTATGTGCTTCTGATATCCTTCATATGTTTCTCTTTACATTCACAGTTACCTTGAGCCATCCAAAAAAAGTGTTATTCATCCTCGACGGTCGGTTGCCTAAAAACTGTCAACATTTCACGCTTCTATGGTCAATTTCGATTTTCTTTTTCAAGCAAAATTGCAAGCAAGCTGAGGGTAATGTCTGGTTACTAAGAATTATGAATTATTAATATTATAGCATGGAAAGAAAAAATGATTTCTCTTAGAATAAACGATAACAAATAACTCACTAATTTTTAAAAATTTGTTCGCTTCTGATTAACCCTGCAAAACATTCAGTTAATTCATTTTTTGTTATATCATAATTTAATTTGAATCATCGCTTAGGCAGTTGGCTCATTTTTTTACTTTTGTTTTAACGACAGTTGTAATAAAGCTATTAGATAGTTGAATCGCTTGTTCCTGATGAGATATAAGTGTAAAAGAACATCTGAAAAACAAAGTGCTGATTAAAAAATTTGGATCTCGCTGTTTGAATGAAAAGTGGATATACAAGACTGTGACACAAAAGATATGAATCAACACAAGAATCATGCCAATTCTTGATTCTTGCAAATACAGATCCATCAACTATTTTTTTTTTTCTTTTTTGTTCAGATAAAAGGTTGGAAGAAAGTAATGACACAGAATAGATTTAAACAGTAATCATAACGCCCTCATCGTTCATCCACAAATGTGTTATTTTTGCCTATTTGAACTACAAAATCTTAGCAAAACTAGCCGATATTACTGCATTATGTTATATTCGGTTCTTCCCTTCTTCTCCAATTCCTTTTTTATTTCCCTCCAGTTAAACCTTGTTTTTTCTCCCACTCTACGATTTCAATTTCTTAATCGTAAGTCAATTTTGAGGCATTAACAAAAATTAACTTAAACGTTCAAGTTTAACTTATAGAGGACTGGTGATAAGCGGAACAAAACTTTACAACGCCTCTGTCTTTCTGACGGAAATACCCGTTGCAACTGCTTTAAGAATGAAGAAATGTCTGATTTGTTAACAGTGTTAGGATGTTAAAATTATTTACAAAACTATGGCTTCAGAGAATACGCTTGTCGATTGTTAGTTATGATTATCGGATAATATTTAACTAGAAATGGGCGGAGACCGGGAGGAAAGGGAAACAGTTGGGTCACAACTGAAGTATACCCAAGTAAGGTCACCGACTTTTACCGGAAGTGCTTGGTTGTCGACATCTAGCTGTTAACAGATCAATGGCGTTCATCATACAAATAGATGAGGGATACTTGAAAGTAAATAGTGCACGATGTGAATAAGTGGGACGCTGAAGGGATTTGTCGACAGTCAGAGGATTGCCGAGAACGATGAATTTTAGTCATTGACTGCCTGTTTAATTCACAAACTTTTCATATTACTCAGCCATAAATTACTTTTCTATTATTATTCATCACCGTCAGATTTGTTAAAGAAGTTAGGGAGGTGAAGAAAATTACCTATATCATTGGACGGATATACAACGAGATATTTCAAATTAAAAATGGAAATCACTAAACGATTTTTTTGTTTGAAATGCTATATCCAGTGAATGACTACCGCAGCAACTGTGAAAATCACACTATTGGATTTTTGATCAAAAAAAAAAATGTATGGAAGTTCTGACAAAAATTATTTTCTAACAATCGCATAATTCCAAAGAGTTGAAGAGATCTACTGAAAACACTATTTTTGCAGATATTTATAAGGATCGCTATGATTTGATCATACAAAGTTTAGTCAGAAAATAGTATTTCAAAAATATGATCACTTTTAAGGTCTCTTAGGAACAATTTATGTGAATGTGTTGTCAGTAAAATTTTCACAACAAAGTTGCATGTTAAATTTTGGTTAAAAATTAGGATTCCAAATAGGTTTTATGTTAAGTACTATTAGATGTCGAATAATATATTAGGGTTTCGCTTGTCAAGTAGCGATATTATATAGCTAGAACTATAAGAAGTAAAATGAGTACAAAGGCGATAAAGATGAAGGTCATACAAACCCAGGAGCTAAACAGCATGGATAACTAAATCAACTGCAGTGTATTTAATCACTAATGCAATTATTTTCTGAATATTGACCACAGTTATCTTCTGAATTTTTTATTTAAAAATCATTAATTGGACCAGAAAACCAGTTTGTATAGCGTATCAGTTCATCTAAATCACAGCAAGATAAAGCGCAAATTACAAAAAGAAAAAATAGGTACGATCTATTCCTGACAGATGAAAACCCGAGACAATTTCTAATGTTTTATCAGCAACTTTTCCTTTATTATTACTTAGTTACCACCAAAATTTCTATTCTTTTCATCTGATTGGTAACAGCTACTATAGTTCCCCATATCTCTTTTTTAAAGATAAGCAAATTTTTGTGATAAATGATTTATGGAAAATGAGAAAAAAAAACATTTAACGAAGAAATTTCTTGTAGAAATAGTGCCGTATTTGCATCCAATCCGTATATATAAACATTACAACTTCAACTACTACAACCCTAATAAACCTGTCGATTCAAAGAAAAAATATTATGCGAACTAAAAAGATGCTAAAAGAGCAGAAATTCAGAAAAATGTAAAAGACTTTCAAATTAAACCTGAGTGACATTTCATTTTTGGTACCTGAAGGCCACTTCAATCTTCCACAACTTTCACTCTTTAGGTGAACAACTCCACTATTTGTTTTGAGAAATACGAGAATATACAGAAGCGAGGCACGCTCTTAATGTTGATCCAAATATAGTAGCAACACGTGGCTATTCCTATTTCCACGGCCGCGATAAGTGAAGAGTTGTTTAGCGTAGAGTTTTAATAAGTAAGGGAAATGGGTTGAGGCCTGAACTAGTTCTGGTGGGATTCTTGTCTTTCATATGTAGCATTGATGAAGAGTGGTTCAAATTGCGCAGTTCTAGGTGGTGGATGGAGCTTGTTGTTGAGATGAAACAGGGTTTACTGAAGCGATTAATTTGTGTTTCATTTTACTTCAGTTCAGATCGCCCCTATTTCTAATACAGCATGAAGTTACACTTATAAGATGGAACCTGTATTCACTGTGCTTTGGAAATAAGTAGTGGCGTTGTGATGTCTGTTACTATTGAAATATTAACCACATCTAATAAGTTATTCGTTGGAATTTTCATCAGTTTTCCAAAAACGTGTTGATGAGCAGTTTGATTTAATGTGACATGTCGCGTATACTCAACATATGACTGTTTTACTTGATTAAATGGGAAAACGACGTAATAAGAACAAAGCAGATCGAGAAGATTTTGCTGTTTTCTCCTCTGTTTCACACAAAACTGGTATCTCTTTTTTCCCTTCTCAATGGAGAAAAAACTATCATCGCAAACCTCATTTTTAATTTTGGTCTTTAACTGCATGAGGATTAAATAGTCCGAAATTTAGAAAGATTGAGAGTTATCTTTAAACGTGTTCTGGTTCCCGGAATTTGTAACTTAAACTGTTAGCTATATTGACTACTGGTTGAAATAAGCTATCACATGAATTTGTTTTTTCTCCTTACTCCGTACACCATGATGTAGCTATTAAGAGGTAATAGATTTATTAAAGAAGTCATTTCTCAAAAGGAAAAAGTCTTTGTAATAAAAGAGCGAAGTTTAAAGTGTAGAAAAGGAGATATGGCGAGTGGTTCTTCCACAGAACTTCTCCAAATAAACAAAGATTTAATTAAGATTAAGAGCGAATTGAACGCAACTTCGCATCTCTTTACCTTAACTCATAAATTTGCCAATATAATTGATATATCAACTTAAATTTCAATTCTACAATATTCAGTGCTTTCAGTGGTTGAAGTGGGCAGTGATGGCAGTGATGATGCATCCTGTGTTACACATTTGATACGGGATTATGATACGCGTAGCGCTGGTAAGGAATCTAAGTACTTTACGTAAGCCCAGACTAACAGCAGATTTTAATTTAACGGAATTTACTAGGTTGGAATTACACGAAATATATAGATTTAAATCTTAGCCCTTGTTCCGAACTGAACTTTTTCTCAATACTGTCGTAAAATTGCTGTTTTACTTAGAATTTTGCATAAACTTCGATGAAGTGATCTCTCGTATATCAGTGTATAACATTTCAGATGAAGAGGATTTCAGTGACACAGTGACTACATCCGATCAGCTGGATGGTTTTCTTGATAAGGCTACCAACAAAAAGTAAGAAGAATCGATGGGAGTGAAGGAGTTTTAACATTAATAAAATGTGTTGTTAACAGTTTACTGCGTAAATAATAATTTGATATCTTCTTCTTTTTTTTATTAGTAGTACAAAGCGCCTTATATTTCAGTATATCCATCCGTTTTGCTGCAATGGGTAATATCAAAACTCTATTAACTGAAAAATACATAGCTCTGGACCTTGAAAAATGGACTGCAACCTTAATATATATTACTGATAAAGCGTTACGAAAAACCGACAAGGAAGCGAAAATTGCTGCTTCTTTGTCTATTCTGATCTCCATTCAATTAGGTCAAGTTGATGGAAATTCACTCCCGAATAAATTTCTACCTATTATAGTTAGAAACTTTCTAGAAAGCAGATTCCAGAAACGAGACTTGCACAGTTTTGATGTTGACGAATGTTTTTTTTTTTTTTTAACAATCATGCTGCATCGATGATTCATCAAGAAAATTTTGTCAGTTTTTTGTTAGTCATCCATTTTCAGGAGAAAAGGTTGCCAGTGAAATGGAACCGGTCGTCAGTCTTTTGTGCCAGTTATGCAGTGATCCAGCTCGAAACATCCAGTTGCGTAGCCATTGTGCACGGTCGGTGGCTCTTTGTACTTTTCTGTGCTTGGAACAGCCAACATCAATCCTTGCATCCGTTGCCACACTACGGTCTATTTGGGTTACTGCGAAATCAAATGCTGCTTCTGTAGGGCTGTTTTGTGCAGCTTTATCAGGGTGGTCTCTGCTTATCCATCAAGTAAGAATAAGATATTGAAAGACAGAAAGCGTCCATCAATTTACCCACTGGTGGGAGTCACAAACATATTTGTCTTCATTTGGCTACTCGTGAATCCCGGTTGCATTCTATAAACTGAGTACGGATACATATGGAATGCTGCAAGTTTATGGTTATTCCTTCAGATCAATAGGATTATTCCACTAGTCAAATTACTAGCAACCTAATAGCAATTATGTCTGCAGTTCAACTCACACTACTTGTCGCAATATTTTATCAAATTAAGTTGGTGCATTCGCCGTATTCAGGGAGGATTTTCAGGGAGGACCAGAAGCTTTGAGACTTGCATTACTAGATGAACCCAAGCTGTCTACATTTCTCGATGGGATACATGTAAGTAGAATAGTATCGGTTATCGTATTTTCATGTTTTAAGAATTGAAGTTAACTATAACTACAGGTGCATTCGCTATATTATATTCATTAAAGCTGGAAATGAGACTGAGTGCGGGTAAAGCTTTGGCAGTTTTACATGAAGCTGCCGTAATGACATTCGGTGATAAATACCGATTTCCTAACCAGCAGCATCTTCTGGATATCTTTGCAAATTTGACAACCGATTCGTTGAAGTCCCGAGCCAAGAAAGATCGAAAAATACAAAGGTTCACGTTCAGGCAGATGTATGCGTCTATAAAGGTAGCCTTACATAACCCCACTGTGTTTTAAAGAACTGTGGCCAAATGACATTAAAAAAAGCCTATTTCAAGAATATTGGTTTTCACCGTGATTTCTCAAAGATAAGCATTATTTTGGAATTTTACTTTTTTATTAAACACTGCGTAACGAATTTTAAATAGTCAACTATTCGTATTTGGATATTGCATTTTGTGTTTTAACCAGTGGGTTTAATATGCGTGTCGACGAACTTACACGGTTTTGGTTATAAGATTTATATTACAGAGTAATATTTCAGCAACCATTGGTAAACAGAAGGGAATGAAAAGACCGTGAACAATGACTTTCTGTAAAATACTTTGATCTTTCAGGAACAAGAAGCGCCGATATTTGATGTAAGATTTGGTGATGAAACACTGAGTATTAATTCATGTCGAAAGAAACTTTTATATGAATTTATATGTGATGCCTTACATGGCAACATAATTTCCCATCTGAAAATGAATGCGATTTTAAGAGAGCAGTTCGATTTAAAACCGACGATTGAAATATTTCCAATGAAAATGGAAAAACTGCGACGGGTATTTGCATATTTCACTGCGTATGTTTACTTCGGCAACATTGACGAGTCATTCTTGTGCGATTTTGTTGCAGGTTGCCATACAAAATGCGATCAACAAAACAAGGGATTTGCAGCGGTTAAAGCAGAGAGACAAACGCACCGTATATTGACTTTTAATTTTAAGAAAAGGCTGTGCCTTGAATTGTTTCATTTCAATTTCCTGTTGTTACTGTTGCTGGGAACAGGAGAAATTCAAAAGCAAAACTTGTTCTTTGTCTCGCAGGCACATTCTTTTTTGAGATGTTTCTTTGTGTATGTTCTTTTCTTTACCGTTTCCTGCAAAAGCATAGTGAATTTTTGAACAAATTTTTTTTCGGTTAAAGTTGTGCATATGTAATGCATGCCACATACGAAATCGAATATCATTAATTTTTGAAACTTGTCTTGAAGCCCACCTACAAGTTTCTCAAGCTGTATTTTCTTCAGGAAATACAATCACTACATGTAAGGAAGGGGAAATTGTGTAGATTCCTGTGATGAAGTTCGAGATTTGTTACTAAGATAAAATTCGAAAAAAATTCGGAAGCAATGTAAATTAATATCCCTAGACATAAATACTATAGCACAAATTGTGTAAAAAATTGTATAAAGTTTTGATCCTCTTTCCGTCAAGCAATCGGAAATTGTTAGAAGCGAGACGTTCATCTACGTAGGTCTTTGTTTCTCAAATATTACGAGGAAGAAGTATATATCAACAAAATGTTATCCAAACTGTGACATGTTTCAACAAATGAATTTACCTTTTTGATACCCAAGCTATAATCGTTCGTAAACAGACCGTGCAGCAAAAGACATGCTTTACAATGCTTCTGCGAAGACATGCAGCCACATCTAAAATTAACTGATTTACCCCTGATCATGAAAAAATTATGACAGTTCTGCATTGAGACAAGACTTACCTTTCGCATGTGGTCAGTGCGGGGAGAGAAACATCACTGCGAGCAGAAATTGTCTCGCCGGATCTTATTAAATCCAAAATCGCCTTCGGTTGCAACCTCTCCAATTTCCTAACATACATTCTGTAAGAAGAAATTGCTCTTGCGCCAATTTATGATGATTAATTTGGCACCGTACTCCCGTAAATTCAAATTTAATTGAATAGGTACCTCACGTAATTGCGAAAGGAATCAGGTGCATATCTACATTCGGTAGAAAAATAGTCCAGCCTGTTGAAGTGTGCGTACATCACAATATCTTTTTCAAAGACATATTTTAGAGGTTTCGTTCTAGGCAAACAGCCTTCCAATCCTAAAAGAGATAACTGATCTCTATTTCTAAAAAGTACATAGAATTCCTTGACTACCAGGAACGCTGGGACGTTGATATGATAATGAGATAGAATATGTGGGACCGTATTTTTTATATATCTAAGGTATCAATCTTACGGTAACTCTTAATCACTTCTATTTAGAACCCACTAGTCGCATTAGTTTAGTTTCACCCTATCTGAATGTTCTGGACAATTGTACACTATTTTCCGAAATACTTAGTTACGCTAAGGTTTTTAGCTCACACTGATGTTAGAATTATTAAAAGCTGAAAATATAAAGGAATTATTAGCGGAACCTGTTACAATTTCAGTACATCGTTGTAACCGTGCCAAATCGCCTCGCAATACGTTAAGTAACACTGTTTCTGCCATATCATCAGCATTATGCCCTGTTGCAATAATATGTGCTCCACACTCAATTGCGCCCCTAAAATGCAAGGAATGAATTTCCCCAATCTTAGCATAACTAAATTGAATAAAACTGATGATTCTGGTTCTAACAATGATGGATATAGAAAGTAACCAATGTCATGGATACAAAGATTAGAGCAAAAAAAAGAGTCAGGAATGTAGTCACCTGTCTAGAGCACGTCTCCGAAAAACACCACAAAAAGTGCAGTTATTTCTAGCACCAACAGCCGACACTATTTCATCCATCGTCCAACCATACAGTTGTTTATAAGACATTACAACCAACGGTAATCCATAATCATTTCTGTTTCTTTCAACGGCTTTTAGCGAATCACCACGGTAACCCTAAAACGACGAGTTTGAACCTTACTTAGAAAAAAAAAATTGGAACCTTTGCTAAGTCAATTCAAAGCCTTTTCTTAAACCGAGAATTCGTTGTTTTCACTTTCAAGATCGAGAAAAAAAAACATTAACTTGCGAGCTTTCGAATTTGCTCATTTGTAATAATGGGTAACTCACTTTATCCTTGCACGTACTATAAAAAACTTCTCGATACATTAATGTTATAAAAGATTTCGGAAATTTGGATCGGAAATGCTACACTACATTCTAAATGCGAACCACACATGCAAGAATTCTGGGAATACCAGTTAGAAAAAAGTACCGCGATTCCTTCATCGACTGAAAGCAGAATGATGTCCAATCCATAATCATGTTTTTGATTTAGTTTATTTAATACATGAATTAGTACTGTCGAGTCTTTACCACCTGACGCTCCAATAGCAATTTTTTTACCCTTGCCGAATAAACCGTAACTTTTAATCACGTTATGCACTTCCTGCAGCAGAAAAATAATTTCAAGTAAGTCCAATATTACCCTTAAAACCGTGATTTATAATCTAGATGATGTCTAAATACACTAAAGCCAATGAGGCCACACCAACCTACTTTTATAGTTGCTACTATCCTTAATTTCTCTACGATTCTTAATTAAAAGTTATCCAGTTCCAACTACTTCCAATTGCTACAGTTACTCAAATGCTCTACAGGAATTTTATAAACCTTATCAATTAGTGACTTTTCTTAAGATGGCTGAAAGCATCATCTTGTCGCAAATTCTTGTGTATCGATGGACTACCACATACAGCGTGGGACCTACCTATAACGCAAATATTATCAGGACCTGATCATTGCTTAACGATATTAATTGGCAGTTCAAAACCTGCATTCCTTCTTATAGCTTTTCCCACGAAAAAAAACATCCCATTAAGCATTACTACTTTCCTCCCAATTCTTCCGCATTTCAGTGCATGAATTTCGCAAAATCAAATTAACATCCTTATTACTGACGCCTTACAAACCAACTGTCATTAGCTTGCAACTACCTTTATCTAGCTCGTCTGATGGAAGTCTGTTGAATCCATCTTCCTCAATCAGGTAATTTTACTAAGTGAACTATATTCCACTAAGATATGATCAATGTCTTGACACTAAGACAGCAATCAGCCCGTCTACATAAAAACCATAACAGCTTTAAAATCACAACAAATGGTAGGGACATGCAGACAGCAACTCCCATTTCCTTTTCTTCATGTCATTGTATTTCTTTCTTGTTGCATTCCAGTGATCTACAGAAAAATACTACAGTCAGTATGCGAAAATTTTTAGAATGATTGCTTTAGCTTAAAGCACTAAAGAAGGTGGAGAATATAATTCTCTAAATTTTTATATCCAATTTACCGCTTCGAAGGCATCAGTGAAGCAAACGACACAGGCATATTTACCATCCTTTGACCTCTTCACCGAAGCAGACGCATTGCACTGCCAACATGGTGCCATAGTGTATTCTAAGTGAAGATCATTAGTCGTATGCAATAAAGAGACGCAATAAAACTATTGATCGAATCATAGTACAAATCACTATCCTTATTCCAAACGTGCATTACTGATTCACTACATTCGTTTCTAATGTTTTATTAGATTGAAAGTAACCTCGTTGCATGAAAAGGCTATATTAAGTACGCTGCTTCCAAAAAATTATAGTCCATCCACCTAATTCAGCATCACACTTTTCAACTGTTCAAAAAATCACTGAGTGCAACTTTCCTGAGTCCCTCATTCACCGTACTACAGTATATCTAGGGGTACATAGTTTTGCGAATAATGAATTCATGCACATGTAAAGATTCTATATGCATATTGGAAGAGATAACAAACAGAACCATTCAGGTGAATAGTTTGAAAAATACAAGAACAGTTGACCAAGTATATTAACATGAACATGGAAATACACAGTTTGTATTCAGTATCACTCCAAATTCTTTCCTCTATGCATATAAATTATGCATTATGAAACTGAAGCACTAGAAAGGAAAATAAAACGCATGAAGTATGCTAAATGCATTAAAGAAATCTGCCTCGACGTGGGATACAGCATCTAATTCAATATGTTAAAACAAATGAGTTAACATTCAAAAATATTCAATATTATCCATTTCTTCTTCAATGACGATGCGATTCACCTAGAACATTCAAAATGACTATCAATAAATGAATAGAAAAATTTGATGCTTTGATTTGATGCCACTGAAAATTTGCAAAAATCATGTAGCGCCAAATGTTAATGATAGAACGGGTATGAAAATACAGTACACTTAAAAGGATTAATTTCACAAACTAAGGAAAAAATAATATTTACAAAATAGTGTAGATTAGGATACTGCTATTAAAAGAACCATGAAAAATTTCGACGTCAGAAAAATCAGATAAAATTATTGAAAACTTAGTGGCCAACACTGAAGCTCAGCAGAACCAAAGATGATCAAGCAATCCTTTTTGGACAGTATGGCTCTAGTACTATCAGTTTCTGTTTAACAATGTTTTCAAATTGAGTACAGTTTTCTAGATTTTTTAGAATCCAGCGTCCAAAGAAAGGTCTCAACATTATCATGCCATACACAAAATACCATTCAGACACACTCTTGAAAGACTGATATTTGTAAAACAGCACAGCACAAACCTAGAAAATAATTAAAGCAAACACGGATTCATAAAAAACAAAAGGCAGCGAAAAAAGAAAATTTGTAAACTAGAGAAATTCCAAAACTGTAATTTCTAGCCGAATTCCACAATCCAAGAATTTGAAAAGTCGGATTGTCATAAATAATGGCAACATGAAGTCCATTTGGAGCTTATCGTTGTTGTACCTTGCGAAATCTTGAAAGCATCCAACTGAGAATCCAGATGTACACCTGCTTCATATTGTCTCTTCAACTGACACGCTAATTCCAAAAAGGCATTATCCACATTTAAATTATTTTTTGATGATGTTTCAATGAATATGCACATACCATTTGCATTTGCCAATTCGCTACCTTCATCTCGTTCGACGAGACGTTCATTTTCAAGATCTGCTTTTGTTGCTAAAAACTAGTTACAAAAGCATTTTGCATGAATATCTTACTTACTTCCTTGTAATTATTTATCAAACAAATAGGTGCTTCATTTGTTTTTTATATCTGCAAAACCTTAAAAACGGTATCAAAATGTCCAAGAAATACGCAATGTAACAAATTAAACGACTCAATAAACCTACCAACAAGTATCTTGCAGACATTTGGTGCAGCAAATTTCGATACATCATCCAGCCAACGATGAAGTGATTCAAAAGACTGACGACATGTTAGGTCATAACATAATAAAATGCCATTTGCTGATCTGCAATAAACGAATCATCAGAATAAACATCTGATTTATGTTAAGACATTAACGCAAAAAGTACTACATCCTTTCAATAATCTAGCCTCTGCTTTTTATATTACCCCCTGCTTAGTGTTCCATGTATTGCTGTGAGCATAAAAACTGCTTCTGGAAAGCATATCACAGCACAGTAAAACATAAAATGGCTTGTTACAATACCTTATAGCGCTCTCTTTTACGAAAGGACACCACAGTTTCAATATACTAACCTGTAATAGCTTTGGGTAATTGTGCGGAATCTTTCTTGACCACCAGTATCCCAAATTTGCAACTTCACACGCTTGCCTTCGATAATCATTGTTTTCATGGAGAAATCAACACCAATTGTTGTTCCTTGTCTTTCGATAAATGTTCCATTTTTGAATCTTAAGTAGCTCAAAGCTTCAATTAAATTCAAAAATATTATTTGATTACGGGTAAAAAAGCAAATTATTAGAAACCATTTCTTATTACCGAGTCTTCTTCTGGATGCTGTGTCTGTTAATAGCAATATTTCAGTAATAAATCATAAAGTTAACGACTACATTTCAAGATTTCAATAATAAATAATAAAGTTAACGACTACCATTTCATGTGAAAATCTAAGTCAGTAAAAAAAAAAAAAAAAAAAAACAATAATAATGAAGTGTTGTTGAAAACGTTCAAGATACCTTTGTACGACACATGTTTTACCCACGCCCATATCGCCGATTAGAACTATTTTAAATAAAAAGTCGAAGGAATCGTCCGTTTCCATTAAGCTGCTAGTTACCAATTTCCTGAATTAAAATAAGCTGCATATAAATAAAACTAGCAAGCAGGGAATGAGTGAAATTCGTAGAATTTGTTCAGCTTTATAAATATAGCATAGGTACGGACCCAAGCATTGAAAGTGGAAATAAAATAGAACCAGTAAATCACTATAAACAAAAAAATCAAATAAGGAAAGACGATTACCTTATAGACATTCAAGAAAGAATTTTGTTCAAAATAGTGAGTGAAGTGCATGATAGAAGAGCAACTATGAAAGAAGTCTTTTAAATGACAGGGAATAAAAAACAGTAAAAGTGTAATGCTATCTGCCTATACATTGGGATTATTATAGGTACAACTTGAAATTATAAAAAAAGTTATCAAAAACATAAGATGCAGTGAACAGTCATCATTGATTATTCAAACACTTTTCATAAATGGTTACAATTCTAAAGATTTGGATTAATCATTTTCAGTGCCCGAAAGTTTATTTGAGTGACGTCATGCACGAATTTCAGTTTTTTTCGAAGTGTTCATAAACATCACAATCGTTGTTTGAAATATCAAAACAATGTCATACTTTCGCACCTCAGGCTTGATACTAGGAAGTTCTTTACTATATCAATCTATTTTCAGAATAAGTCTCACTCTCTCATTTGCCACCTGAAGGGGCACTATCATGGACGACGACCGACTCGTCGCTTACCCATCAATTTAACATCATGCAGAATGATATGAACCAGCCAGGAGCACTAATTGGTGGGAGCATATGAAAATAAAGATCTCTCTTGGTTTCTACATAGATGTACATCGTTTTTGATATCGGGTATTCATACGGGGTAAAAATCTAGTGTGGATTACCTATTCTATCATGTAATGATAGCAACGTATTCTCCATTTCATCTTGAACGTTTTACTGACTGACTTACTGCTTATTAAGTAATGTGTACATATTAGCTTAACCACGGACAATTTTCAATTTAGTTAACTTTAAATTGCCACAAATAGCCTGTGCGTGTATGTTCGCATTGTGCAATTGTTCGTTTGACTGTGGAAAAAGGGGTAGAAGTGGTCGTGTGTATTCCTTTCAGTGACTGTGCAGATGAGTGGTATCCGCTATCATGTCGTTACCACAGATTTCGTGTCATCGTACTTTTCATTTTATTTTGTTCTTCCACTTTTATACCCTTTTATACCTTTTCATACTTCCACTTTTAGTTAACGACTTATTTTTAAGGTGTGGGGGTGTGCTGTTCAAGGAATACAGGACAAGTGTAATGGAAGGTGTGGATCCAGACACTCTTCTGGAATGGTTGCAAACGGGAGTCGGTGATGAACGCGATATTCAGGTAATTAGTGGATCTTATTTTCCGTCATATAAAATAAGGATTCCATGTTTTTTTTCTTTTTTTTTAGAAACGGCAAAAACATTTAAAGAAAAATTGGATTTCAGTTAATGGCATTGGAACAGCTTTGTATGCTCTTGTTGATGAGTGACAATATTGACCAGTGTTTTGAAAGTTGTCCACCAAGAACTTTCCTTCCCGCTTTGTGTAAAATATTCCTTGATGAAACAGCTACAGAAAATGTTTTGGAAGTATGCATAATATATTATTCCTGAATTTGTAGTTTAGAAGGTGAAAATGATTGCAGATAGATGTAATGATTATGTAGCTACATATTAATCATAACAGTTCTGCCCTAGGACACGAAAATATTATTTATCTATAAATGGAAAAGTTATGAGCTAACATTTTTGCGCTTGAACACAAAAATTTACATTTTCCTAAATCATTCCAAACACATTAGTTTGCAGGTTGAAAAATACTTAAGGAACACGATATTAGTTGAGTTTAAAAAATTATACTTGGTCTTTATAAAGTAAAGTTCATACAATTTGGACCAAGTAACTAAATCAGTGGAAAAAAAAAGATATGAAACTGTTCGGAACAAGCTAACAGAATCATTTTATAGCCGCGATATCTCCTCACAAATATTTTTTTATTACATTAAGTCTTTTTTCTCACTGAATTCCTCGGACCTAGGCAAAATAAATTTAGGTCACTGCCCGTGCTATAACGTACTATTTGGATGTGTCGAATGAATGTACAAGACGAATAACACAAGTGGATGGTGCTGTTAAGGCAATTTGTAACCGACTAGCAGTTGCGGAAATGAGTGATCGTACAAGCAAAGATCTCGGTAACACATTGCACTACGTAACAGCATTAATACATTTTTTTATAGGTGTATGAACCTAAAATGTCGAACATGCTGTAAGGGCTTTTTTCAAAATTAGCATTTCACATCTCGCTACATTGTCTTGTATTAAGAAAAACAGGAAGAATATATGAAGAATTAATGAAGGTTAATCTCAGTAGGTCGCAACTAGTTAAGTTTTGATAACTTACATTTATTTGTCTGTTATAAGTTGTGGCACTGTTTTTATCTTTTAAAGCATTTTTATTTCAGAATTTACAGATGTTATATAGTATTGTTTATTTGAGATACCTTTTTCAAATTTCCTTTTTTTCTAGCCGAACAGTGTGTGAAATTACTCGAGCATGTTTGTCAGAAGGAAACATCTGCAGTATATGATGCTGGAGGTTTACAATGTATGTTGACTTTAGTTCGTCAGCATGGACAGTATGTTCACAAGGTAATGCTGTCAGAAATTTTACTTGTTTGATACTAAACTTTGAAGGATAAGATGGAACATGAAGTGCTCAGTACTAAAAATTAGATTTGCACCGATATAAAATTTTGCCTCAAAATTCTGATTTTCCTTTTTTTAAACAACTAGCAGTGCTGTAAAAATCATAGTCAAAACTAGAGGTATTCAATCCAAAACAACTGAGTCTGATCTGCCTACACTCTAAATGGTATAGAATTTCAGTAACATTGCAAAGATAATGGGAGTCGAAATAACCTTTTGATCGTAAAATATAAGATGATAATGTTATCATTTCATATTAAAGGATACTATTCACTCAGCAATGTCTGTCATTACGAAACTATGTAGCAAAATGGAACCGAGTGATTCTACTCTGCCAGAATGTAGTGCCAGTTTGGGAGCTCTTCTTGAACATGATGATCCGAAGGTTTGTTTTGCCGAAATTTCATACATTATTTGACTGATTGCTGTCAGACCAAGTAGTCTCTAACATTTTCACAAATTTTGCTAGTTGAAAATTTGAACCATTCTGCAAGTCTTTGTTTTTCCAGAAATTAAAATACTGTTTTCTGTTTAGGTTTCAGAATGTGCTCTTCGTTGCTTTGGCGCACTAACGGATCGTTTCATTCGTAAATTCATGGATCCGGTTGAAATGGTGCAACATGGGAATCTCGTTGAACATCTGCTTAATTCACTATTGCCTGTACACCTGACTAGTGTAGCTTGCACTGCAGCACTTTCACATATGAGAAATACTAATTCAGTGGGATCAAGTGACTCAATGGCATCATTTGGCTTAAATCGATCAGCGTCATTTGTCTCCGTTGTCATTTCATTATTGAGTAATCTTTGTCGTGGCTCATCGATTGTTACCGAACAAGTCGTAAGGTGATTTTTGCGACTAGCCAGTTGGGTGATTGGAACTACATTTTGACACCAAATATATTTTTGATCATATATTTTCGGCGCATTTTTTGATGTATCAGCGAAATTTTAATTTTGCTGGTGAAGCAGGAAAATGAGTATTTGGCAAATAGCTTTTTTTGCAGCTCTCCGGTTCTTCTTTGTGCACTGAAAACAGTCCTGATGGGCAAAGATGAACGCTGTATTATGGATGCTTTGCGCTTTTGTGATCTTCTTATGATACTTCTCTGTGAGGGGCGAAGTGCGTTACCTAAAAGTATGGGTTCCACTATAGTTAATCGTACCGAAACAGGTTTGTCATTTGGAAGCTCTGCTTATTCTATGATCTACTATGATCTCTTTTTTAAAATTTTAAAAGAGATGATCAAATTTCGTTTGCTCTTAGGTCCTAATTCATTTGACCGATCCCATAGGCATCTCATCGATGCAATTCGTCAACGTGATACAGATGCTTTAATTGACGCTATTGAATCAGGACAGGTAAACTTGAAGATTTTTGACATGAAAATTTATGTTGAAAGTGAACATTTTGTTCGACGATGCTAAATAAGTCACCCATTTCTTACGAATGATCTAAATTTTTGTTTTAGTGAAAATGCATTCTTTAATTCTTTCTGCTATAGTTATCCTTTTAATAGCTTGAAATTAATCTGAATAGTTTCTTTCAATTCAAATAATAGCTAAGCATTACACCAGTATTTATTTTGTTGGAAGTAAAAGTTCATTTCTTACAATGTGTTATGTAAGTCATTTCAGATTGATGCAAATTTCACGGACGATGTGGGACAAACTTTGCTTAATTGGTCTTCTGCATTTGGCACTGCTGAAATGGTGACGTATTTGTGTGATAAGGGCGCCGATGTAAATAAGGGTCAACGGTCCTCATCGTTACATTACGCTGCATGTTTTGGAAGGTCAGATGTAAGTTTTTTTATATCCAATCATGGTTTTTTTTTTCTTTTCAAAACTTGTTCCTTATGTAATGCTTTATCCTTATTTCAAGATTGTGAAAATTTTATTGAAATACGGAGCAAATCCTGATCTTCGTGATGAGGAAGGTAAAACAGCACTGGATAAAGCGCACGAAAGAAGTGAAGAGGAGCATCAGCTGGTAGCAAGTATTCTGGAAAGTCCAAGCGCTTATATACAAGGGATTGATGGTGAGATAATTCTTTTAGAAAGATCAACTTTCACTTTTATAGTTTTGATATCTGGTTATCCTGTCAGTACTTATATTAAGTTTTACATATCTGAGTACCTTACATCTTCACACATTATCTCTAAATATTAAAAAATAGCTTAAATATCTAAGGAGTTAATATAAGCGTGGACTTTTTGCCTGAAGAATCAACAAATATGGGATTCAAATACTATCTCGAACTTTGTTTTAGAAAAGGTAGTGAAGGAAAAAACTGACGTCGCGGGAGAAACATCAAATGAAAAGATCGATCCCACGATCGTGCGTCAATTACTGGAACAACTTTTACCAGTTTTGTGCGATGTTTATCAGGTAACATAGTCCCTGATGTACAAAATGACATCACTTATTTGAATGTGAAATCTGGCTTGAAAGTACATCTCGTATCATTTTCTATTATGTCTGTTATGCATTAGTCAGATAGTAATTGTTTTGAGATACTGATGAACAACTACGTGCAAACTTAAATTTAACCCTGCTGTAAGATTTTTTCATGTCTTGAATTAAGATTGTTGTTGTGAATAATATTTGATTATATTTCTTAGCGTAGCAGTAGCATTATAAGCGGTGGCAGTTTTATGCTGTTGATTGGAACAAATTTATCAAAAACTTGCAGCGTTCGCTTGGTGCTAGTGTACATAGATCCAGTTTGTCGCTGCTTCGTAAAGCTGTCTGTCATATATCACCTGAGTCAATGGAATCGATGGTTACAAATGATAGTAATGGAATTGATATTACGACTGATATCTGTTTTTCTCGTGGACAACGGCTTGCTGAAAATCTTGTTAGCGTTCTCATGATGGGTTTGGAACATGAAGACGACACAGAATCGCATGAAAATGTGTTACAAGTATGTATTTAATCGCAGAGGTTACACAGTTATTCTTTAGTGATAGTGCAACAATAGTAATAGAACAATAATTAATAGTAATCTCCTAAGCTGCGTAATTTCTTCGTAAACGGAAGTACTGCACCAAATATGGAAGAGTAAGAACATATATGGTACAACAAAAAAATGCTTTTACACTTAATAAGGAAACAGTTATGATAACCACATAAGATGCTCACTCTTAATAAAACAAATTTAGTTGTCAGTACATCAAGCATTGATGTACTGTCATTAAAATAAGCAAAAAATACCACCAATTAATTTTGCAGATTGTCAAGTCCTTGTTCATGAAAAGTACAGACTTTTGGTTAGAGCAGTTGGTGCGCGTTGGGATTTTCGAAAAAGTTGAAGCTATTGCTAATCAACCAGTAACACCAGTGAAAGATAGTGCTGTGACAACAGTGGTCACTGACGGGAATGGTCGTATGTCAAGCTGTTTATCTGTTACAGTTATGGATAACATGTTTGTGGAAGCAGATGAAGTTTCACAAGGTTTAGCTGGTTATAATTCTTATTTCTGTAAGCAAACGTATAAATATTATAATTCTTATTTAAGTAAACGTACAAGTAGTTGTCACAAATGAATAGCTATAGATGTAAATTGTGGTGTAAAGAATGGACAACATTTTACAGTGAATGCTTCAAAAAACTGGAGTGATGAAAGTACCACATCTTCAACGGTTATATCATCAGCTAAGGAAATAAATGATCACGCAATGGTCAACGTTCCTGTTCATGTAAGTTAAATATTTACGAAAATTCATTGTAAAGAAATGCGTTGTGAAAGTAAATGAGATTTCATATGGTCATTATTTCTATCTCTTAACTGGTATTTCTGGTTAAAGATTTTCTAGTTTTGTTCTGCATTGCACTCATGACCACAGATTCCAGTTCCAGGATGATGATCTACACAATATGCAGGTAACTGTGTCTGCAAGTATAAATGCTTTAACTCCATCCTCTGTTTTCGAAACATCTGAGACTGGTTCTGTCACAGCGGGTTGGTTTTTCTATTAGTTTTGATGCTATTTCAGCAAAAAACTGCTACTGAAATTTTTTTTTTTTTTGACTTTTCTGTTATTCACTGTACTGAAAAGCGTCGTCTCACTGAATTCTGCAGATGTATAATTCTTACCTATTTCTCCTGCTGAATATTGACAGTTATGTTTATAGTAACTTCCAAATATAATACGGGCGTTGATCTTTCGTTGGCAGTAGATGATGAATGGGAAATTGTACAAGGTAAGAGCTATCGATGGAAAGATTGGAGGATGATCAAAAGCAGAGATTCCTTTTTTATTTGGTGCGATGCTGTAGCCGTGGAATTTAGGTCTCTTTTTTTATAAAATAGTCTAGCATTATGAATTCATGAATTTCATAATCAGATAGTAATCTCAGATGAAATTATCTCCATTTGTTCTTATCAGTATTGTTTTCAGCGATGGTAGTAATGGTTGGTTCCGCTTCATGTTAGATGGTCGGCTTAGTACTATGTATAGGTATTTTATTTGTCTTAAATTCTTACCAGGCCGCTATTTTTTCTCCGTTATTGCAACTTTTGCTTGATCACGTACTTCTAGCAGTGGGAGCCCAGAGGCTGGTTCTGACAACGCTGAAACCCGTGGTGAGTTTTTGGACAAGCTCACCAAAGCTCGAAGTGTTGTACCACCAGGCAGCTTTCTTCATTCAATATTTAGCGCACCGGATATTAATAAAACGGTATTTGTTCTTATTTAAACTAATTTGGCAACACATCAGATTACCATGAATTTGATAGTAGAATAAGGTCGAAAAATATTTTCAAGGTGTTAAGCTTATAACAAGTTTGAAGTAAAATTAAATTTGGTTTTTTATTGCTTTAATATTATACATATTTAGATTGAAATTGGCAATTGGATCTTGAGTTCGCCAAAAATTGGTGAATTAATTGTAACAAATTGTGATGGGAATCAGCAACGTTTGATCATTGTGGAGGATTTGCCTGGTTTCATTTTCGAATCAAATCGCCAAACAAAACATTGTTTCCAAGCGGAAAGGACTCTAGGTTTGTTTGAAGATCTTTTGAATTGTTCAAATCTCTTCATTATTATAAATTTCCATGTTATGTGTTTTTGTCTTTCATGTATGTAAATGTTCACTTGTACCAAAAGTAATTGAATGTATTTCGTTTCTTTTTTCTGATATTGTGTGTATTTCCAGGTTTAGACTTTGTTACTGGGTGGGCTGCACGAGGTGGAGGGCGACGCTTGCGCTTCCGTGCCGAGACTCAGAAAGCGAAACTACAAGAAATGGCGAAGGAAATTTGGGACAAATATTTGAAAGAAGCTCAATCAAAGCCACGGGACGCTTTAGTTGAATTGCAGAAAGCATCATCCACAATCAAGGTTCGTGTAAATAATGCATGCAAACAATTATGTATCATGGAAGTGGGTGCGGGTGGAAGCTTATAGTGATTCAATTAAGAGAAAAGAGCAGATATTTTGTGAACCAGTGATGTGGAATCTTTTTCATAATGTTCGGTACTCTACTGCATAGTAAATGTTCAGATTTTTGACTATTTAACTTCCTGGAGTAGGTTAATTTTATTCTTTAAGAATATCTGCCAGCAAAAAAATGATCAGTTATCGGCACATATGCTTTCGGAACTAGAAGCAGCTTTGAAATGCATACATTCTTCCGTTATTAATGATCGTCTGCTGTCAACTTTTGAATTGTCGATATCTGGAATGGTTGGCGCTTTATTAGCGTTTCTGAAATTTGTACAAAGGGACACGAATTGTGAAATAGCAATCATTTTCCGAAGGGTAAAGACATTCACTTATTTTTTCTTTTTCTAAATATTGCATTATTTCGTTACTTTTCTACTTTTATATACCTCTGTTATTCATTTTTAATCGATTCTGTATCATTTGGCTTTTTTTTTTTTTTAACCAGTACCTTTTTAGGTTTTCGTAGACCAGCGTTCACTGTCCGCTCTAGTGTGTAAAATGGTGTCGGTTCTAGATTCTATAGAAAAATTTCCTCAGTATCTCTATGACACTCCTGGTGGTTCATCATTTGGTTTACAATTAATTAATCGTCGTATAAAACTGAAATTGGAACAATTTAATTCGAATACACCTCCTCAGATGCAGTTGCTGGATCGGTAGTTTTTTTTTTTATGTTGTCCCGCGTTAAATTGGTGTTACGCTCAAAATTAAGTTTAAAGGATTCATTGTAGAGTATGGTTTCCAGTTAAGTTCAAGTAGTTTTAAGCAACTCATGTTTAATGTTTCTTGAAAGAACTCATAGCAAGAACAGACTGCACCCTATAAAATGCTTCAACCACGGCTTTATTTATTTTTAGATCGGGTAGAACAATGAAAGTGGAACCATTAAGTACAGTGAAGCAGTTGAAGTGTTATATTTTGCGAATGGTTACTAAACAGTGGTATGATCGAGGACGTCAAACGTTTCATTTTGTGGAAGAAATAAAAAACGCAAGAAAGCATGGAACAAAAATTTCATTCACCTACACTAGTGACTTCGATGATAAAGGTTTTCAGTACTTTTGATGTATGTATCTCTTTTATAGATCACAGTTTTAATCATTGTCTGATGCATATTAGCTGTATCATGCATGCAGGATTTCAGTGCAGTAATTAAGTACTTTTTGGTTGAAAATATATATTGTTTTAGCAAATTGTTCAAATTTTCCTAACAGGGATGACCCTGCATCGTTCTAATTTAAAAAGTCAGGTCAACAATAGTGGGTGCTTGGAAGTGGGCACAAAAGCGTTTTATGTTTTACCGATACTTTTTTCTATAGATTTATACCATTGTCAGGACTTTTTTTACTGAGACTCTTTCAGGCATAATTTATTGGCTGGGAACAAATGGAAAAACAGTTACTGAATGGACAAACCCAGCAAGTGTTCATGTTGTTTTCGTAACAAGTTCGGATGGTGAACGTCTACCATATGGCCAACATGAAGACATTTTAAGTCGTGAAGCTCTCAATTGTCATACTTCTGACGATAAGTGAATTTTTTTTCCTTTTGGAATGGTATACATCGACTTATACTTTATGTTTTCCAAAAAATTTTTTAGGATATTAGTGCTGTAATCTATCATTTACAGGAACGCTCACTTTACGATTGATCTCGGTATTTATTTTTATCCAAAAACTTATACGCTTCGGCATGCTCGTGGTTACGGACGATCTGCCCTTCGTAATTGGCTTTTACAGGTTTAATTAAAGAATCAAATAATAAAACCTCTGGAATGAGTTAATTTGACTAAAATTTGTTCTCATGGATACAGAAGCTGTTTCTTTCTGAACATCAGAAAGAGATTTTGGTTGTAACTTTGTTTATTGTGTTTTTATTTTTGTAGGGTTCTCATAACGGTCGAATATGGGATGTACTTGTGGTGCATGAAAATGATACCTCATTGAATTATCCAGGTTCCACAGCATCATGGCCAATTGCTTGTCCAGAGGAGAAAGGTATGTTTATGTATGATACAAGGGTAGATTTATTTCGATAGATTTATTTTTATTGTGTCTACGGTATACTGAATTTCGTGTTTATTGCAACATAAATAGAGATTATAATATGCTGTATTAGGTCCCTATCGATATATTCGCATTGCACAAAACGGCAGGAATGCCAGTAACCAGAATCATTATTTGTCGTTATCAGGTTTTGAAATATATGGTGATGTTGTTGATGTCGTGGTAAGTGTGTAAGCTTTGAACTTTTTTTTTTTTTTGTTCTGCTGTGATAAAGATGGAGGTTCTGTGTCATCATTTTGTTTTCGAGGGTTCATAAAGAAGAGAAGGATTATTAAGTTGTTTTAAGTTTTATGTATTTAGAAGGAATATATAATAATTTTCGTTAAGAGAAACAGGACAGTTTTCCATATTTTCTTCATTTCTGTGACTGGAGAAATATTCAGGTAGATGGTTTTAAAATTCTGGAAGAAAAGCCAAGCATGAGTAGCAGGCGATCCAAAAAATGTATTACTAGTACTAAGGAAATATCAGCGAAGGAAAGCATTATTAATGAAACATCGCTCACTTCAATCAATACTAACATACATTCTGCGACCTCACTTGGTGATGCCAGTGTTGTATATTTGCCTGGCGGTCAAACCAATAATAAAGTTGTAAGTGGTATTATTGGATGTGATGTGATGCTCAGCGGGACAAATACAGTGAAGAGCAGGTTTGAGAAATTGCATTTTAAAGTAGCTCGCTTTGTTTTTTGTTTAAAAAAAGAAAAAAAAAGAAGCTTTTAAGAGGGTTATAATTGTTGCAATACCTTTTCATTATTTTTTGTAATAACTGTAATACGAAGGGTCAAATGAAATGTAAGACTGAGTTTATCATTTCAATCCTATTTCAGTAAAACTTTTACATTTTCTTCAGAGTATTTTTTGTGAAGTTCTAGGACATTTCGGTATCGGCGTGGTTCGCGTTTACTGGCAGCAAATATAGCAGGACGTGGAATCCGTATAGCTAGCGTACCTGATGCAGTGACTTGTCCGGTAGGCAGTCGCGTAGTTCGAGGTCCAGATTGGAAATGGGATGATCAAGGGAGTAATATGGAAGGCACGGTCATATCTCTCATTGATAATGGTTAGTTTCTGTTTTAACCTTAGCTGATCATCATTTTTAGAAGGAACAGTGAATTGCATAATTTAGGTTGGATTGATGTTCAGTGGGATGATTGTACATCAAATTCTTATCGCTTTGGTGCCGACGGAAAATATGATATTGAATTGAAGTCTGCTGAATGGTCACCGGTAAATTTTACATTTTAAAATATTTTCATTGGATACATTTTACGCATTTGTTTGGCTGTATCTTTCAAAGGGCAAGTTTTAGGGTTTACGTCGAGGTTTTCGAATAGTTGGTGCACGACGAGAGAGTCATGCCGCAGCTACATTGTATCCCACCGGTAGTGGTGAAGTCCCTCCTGGATTTTCGTAAGGAAGTTCTTCAAAATTGTATTCATGACATTCACAAATCTTGTTTTCCGGAAACTTCGTATTTTATTCTCATTTTCAGAAGACAGCTTCCTCCAGTTCCGCGCGGGTTTATGGATCATAGTCCCACAGAAACATTACGAAAGGCGAAGCCCGGCAATGCATCTTTTTCCCGGTATCATCAAAGTGTCAGTTCACGTAGCAGTGCTGAAATGAGTAGTTTGTTTTACTTTTCTGTTTATTATATTAGCCGTTAAATTCGTGCGAAACTGCTTTCGGTAATCATAAAACCGCTTAATATGTATGGTTTCTCAAAGTCTTTTCGATGAACAGCTCCTTCATGATAAAGTGGTTTTTAATGAAATGTAAGATATTTGAAGCTATTACTATAATTTAAGTTTATTTTGAGCTTTCGATCGGAACAAATCTGACTCTTGTCTTCATTGTGGTTCACAAGAACATCGTACAAAAGATTGCGTTAATGGTTTGGACTCCTCTAATTTACAGAAATCAGAAATTAATGCAGAAGACGAAAGTAGGTCTGACAGTCTGTTAAGAAATCACTTTGGTCACTGTCGTCACAACGCCTTTTAATTAAAATCGTTTTCATCTGTTTGAGTAACTGTCTTTTGCAGAGTATTCATGCATTAATTTAAATTAGCATAATTACAGGCATTACTAATGCTAAGATTATTACTACAAATCAGCTGTCCTCAAATATTGCACAAAAATCGATGTCAACTACCAATTTGTTTGATGTAAAAGTTTGGTTTGTTTAATTTGTGTAGAAGTGACTTCTCGGTTGAATAACACTCTTCATTTCCTAGCGAAATTTGATTGACTGTCTGGACTCTATTGTTTGAAACATGACTTTTTCTTTTGCAGTTTGAAATCGTTCATTGGTGGACATTATAAAAGAATATATTAAATTATATCTTCAGGGATCTGAGGCAGCGAAAAGAGCGTCAGTAGCATCAACCAATCAGGCGGCAAGTGCGGAATCTTTGCAACATCAGACACCATCCTTAGAAAATTTATTGGCACGTTCAAAAATATTCGATGACCGTATCCCAGAAGTAGTCTCGGATGATATACCTACAGTTGAAAGTCAGCATACAACTGGTAGGAGCTCCCACTTTGTCAAAGGGTAGCAATTAATTCTCCGTATATCTGCATATTCTGTCGTTAATTTGCCAGCAAAAGCATACAGTTTCTGGATTTTGCAATAGACCTGCAACTCTTATCAGGTTGTCCTTTCCATTCTCCTCTATCCAGGTTGTCCGTTCCAGGCTTCTTTTTCTCTTTGTTATTCTCGGTTGTTCAACATATAACAGATTTTGGTCTGATGAAAATCAGGGTCACATCGCTTGCTGATGTTATTGATGAGAAGCAAATATATAAGATTCGGAAGTACTTTCGGAAGTTTTCAAAAAGATTTATGTTACCTTTCATTTTCAGCATTTAAGTTTTATGTTACCTTTTATTTTCGGCATTTAAGTTGTTTTGTTCTTCATGTTCTCTACAGTAAGTGCATCGTATTTGTAAACCCATTTTCACATTTCACTATCGCTGTTTGTTAATAACGTAGATTTTCTTTGCTGATTAATTTTACATTTTTACATTTCCTCATACTTTCAGGCTCCTCAACAGCCGTCGATACTGATCAGGAAAGTATTTCTACAAATAACTATGCCGGTTTGGATACCAGCTTTGAAAGTTTTGATGGTGCAGTCGCAATTATCGAAAAGACACATGATGTGAATGTTTCTATAAAACCGAGGTGTAGTTTGAAAGATTGGTCCTGAAAAAGTTCAGATGATAATAATGTTAACATTGTCTTTTTTTGGTGATATTTCAAGATATTACTTTTTTTGTTGTGTGTTGAATTAAAGATTTGAAGCACATACGTTGGTGGCTCTCAGCCTATATTACCTGATCAAGATTCTGACACTTCTGGAGAAGCACAAGTAATCAGGCAGCGTGATACGTGTTCATATCCTCAGAACTCGGTGAGATCCAATATACAAAATGATTTAGCTCCAGCAAGTAGTAGTAATACTACATCGCTGGGGGAGGCAAATGCGCGAAATTTAGCAAAGTAAGTTGCCTTTCCTTGTTTTTTCTTTCTTTCTGGGTAAATAAGAACAGATGTACAAATATGTAATAAGTGTAACGTGATGCTGAATGAAAGTTTGTGCTAGGTGTCTTTGGCTTCTTGTGCAGCTGATTATATCAAAAGTGTATACTATGGACTGAAACTTCATTATTATTATTATTATGCCTTTCGTTTATTCTAATGTTACTGTTTATATAGTATGAGTGTCAGCGCTCCAAATTTGGTTATTTTACGACAGCTTCAACAGTCGGGAACAGCGTCGAATACTGATCAAATGTTCTTATCCGGTGACGATGATTTAGTGCGGAATATCTTGCAAGATTTGGCCAGCGATCCATCGCGGCTTCGTAGCTTGCGTCGATTTGCACTTGCAAGAAGCGGTTCAGCTATGATAAGTGATGGTGATAACGGTAGGCTTTCTTAGGAGCTCCATTCCGTTTATCTACCTACTTTTAATATTAAATAGATAACAAATTTTTGTGCCTTTTCTTCATTCTGTATTCCCAGGCTGCTTATCATATAAAAAGCTTACGTCTTTTCTCACACTTAGTATGTGTTTAAGCGTATTTGCATCAAGGACTTCAATTTTCAGTTTTTTTTTTTTTTTTTTTAAATTTCATGTGAGTGATTAATACATTTTGTTTTATCCATCCAAATGGTAAAAATGTACCAGTTAATCAAAAAAGACAAAATACTCTTCCATCTCTTAAAAGCACGTTCAAGTCAACATGTATAGAACATTGTATTATAGCTATACATGATTCTACTCGGCGGTCTTTAATCAATGAAGAATACGGGAGAATAAGGAACGAATCGTTTGGAGCACTGACTCATGAAATCATTCGCAAAAATGCCGACATGAGTAGCGAAGTTAATGAACATATCGATGCTGTCATGTCACTTGCTGGTAAATATTTCTTTTTGAAGTTGATTTGATTGGTGTTGATATTGTAAGGTATAACTGTTAATTAAAAAGTAAATATCAAGTTATTGAAACAAGATATTTCGAAAAAAAGTTTTTTTTTGTCTCCGTCTTCATCATGTTTTAGATGGTGAATCGAATGAAAGCAAACTAGGAGACAGTTGGAAACAAAAAGAAAGAGGTCCCTCAGAGATACAAGGAAATACATTTCCCTTGGAGCCTGTGAAAATCTCGTTGGTGCCCATGATGTTGCAGTCGTTTAATCCTGGACAGAGAATAATAAGTATTGGTTATATACATAGCTTGGAACTTCTGTTTTGCATATTATCTTTTTTTTTTTTTTGAGGTCTTTAATATGATCTGAAATGTATGAAGGTGATGAATTAGTATGCTATCCTAAATACCTACATGCAATGACAAAAAAATATGAATGTACTGTATTCTTTTTTGCTGTCTTGCCTTTGTATTTCGCCGTCTGTGAGTTACAGCTGAAGAAAATAGTAGTAATCGCGAAGTGGCAACAAATATATCGATTGCTGATAGCACAGTTTTTTATACAAATGGTCGCAAAGCGCCTTTAACTTCTTGCTTACCAGAGCAGTTAGGTCCGTATTTTGTGTATTTTTTTGAAATTTAAAAAAATTTATTTTGTTTATTTGAAACTAGGTGACTTCCAGTAACTTTGTCATCGGATATATATAGAGCAGACATTCATGATTGCAAACTCTTTTGATCGTATATTTTGTAAGTGTTGGAGGTGAACACAACAAATATCACCATCTCAAAGATTTTCGATGTAAAAATGGTTTTACCTGTCCTACTTCATGTAATCTCAAGTCTTTCGTGTTTACTGGTTTACTGGTGGTCAATTATGTACAAGTTTTAGATGACGATGTTTCTGATAAAATGGATGCTTCGATGGAAATAATTGGTTCAAATCAGCCAGGTGGTTCCCAAAGAGCACTTGGCAAATCTTCGTTTGGAACAGGTTTTCGATCAGCTTCTGGGACACAGTCTTTGTGTATATGTTTTTATCCTTTTTAAAATTACTGGTAAACAGGAGTACGAAGTACATTTTTTCTTTCTGTGCTCATGAACTATTCTATCTCTTTGGTTTTCAGTTGTTTTTTATTTAGATGTCTTATTAGATTAACTCTGTTTTTCGAATTTTGTTGTGACGAAGTGTCACTATCAGTTATATTGTATAACTTTATGGGCTCAAAGTTATTTGTTGATTCACTATAGGTGGAATTATCTTGCATTTTAGGCTCACGACGAAGTATGCAAAATAGTGGAGGTAATTTCCCTTCACGTTTAGGTAATTACGCAGATGTTCTACGCACTGTTGTCATGCAACAAATCATTGATTCTGGTGGTTCGCTGAATGGTCTCGAGTTAGAAGAAATTGAGGTCTTCATTAAATGTGTTGTCTCCACCTATTTCAGGAATAATTGATTATAGCTTAACATTGCAGTTCAATAAGCAGTGATATGTGTTTCGATAATGCGGTTTTTTTTTTAATATTTGTTGTGATGAACAACGGAAGAAACTGTTTGGTGCATCGTAGTGAATCAAAATACTTTTCTGATAAAACTTAGGGTTATTATAATTTCTTGCTGTGTAGATTTCATATCTATAACACTTCGGATCGTTTTAACTCGTTATTTGCATCCCTTTAGGATGACATATACGATGATGAAATGCAAGATGAAGGTAACGAAGATGACTGTGATGAGGAATATGCAAATGGTTTATCTGTAGAGGCACTGGCGCAAGCAGCAGCTGCTTTTCATAAACAGTCCAGTGGAGGAAGCACTGGATTGAGTGGAGAACTGAAGTTTAACTGGAAACAGGCATAATTTTTACCTTGTGTTCAGTCAATTTGCTGCTTTAACATTTTTTGTGATTGATTTGCTTTTAGTTGTCAGTAAAGAATATATTTCGAAATAACCAGGTCGCAGTTTGAATTCAGTTTTCAGTCTTTGTCCGATGAATTATTTTTGATTATTACTTTATTATTTATTTAAAGATTGTAATGGGTGAGGCTGGCAGATTGATAGGTGATCGAGGTTTACGATCATCAACCTCGCCAAGTAACAACAAACAGAATCGAGGAGGTGTCAGTCGGAATTGGGATGATGAATTCGTTTTGAAGCACCAGTTACCCGCCTTAATTCCTGCATTCGATCCTCGTCCAGGCAGAACAAATGTCAATCAGGTAACTTGCATTTATTGTCACATTTGACGATTTGCTGTGCATTAAAAGCCTTTGGTAACGCTACTGGTAAGTTATTGGTTGCTTTTTTATATAATTCATGTATGAAACCTTGCAAGATTTACTTTATTACGAATTATTACTGTAGCTGAATTTAGTAATGATACCTCCGATAATGCTTTAGTTATATGACCATTGTTACAGATCCAGGATATCGACTTGCCAGATGGTATCAGTGAGTCTCGGAGTGAAGCGGCATTTCATTCTGGGTGTTCAGTGCCGCATACGGAAGAGGTAGTACGATTTAGAGTATTAAATTTGCTACAGTTATGTATCCGATGTTGTTTTCAGGTACCAGAGTTGCGTCTATATCTTCAAGGACCCAATTTAACAAACATAAGTAATGCTACTATCGAACTGGTTGATAATGACAGATCGATATTTTTCTATCTTCAGCAGCTTGTTCAAAATGTCGAGTGGGGACAGGTAAAGCTATAGAGAGGTGTCCTTTTGCTGTGTACTGATAATGATATTATAACAATATGCAGTTGTTGAATTTGATAATTTGCTGTAGAACTACACCCACTTGGTGTTCTTGGATTGCACTGTTGAAAATACTTGATGACTTATCATTATGTTTAAATTCGGACGTTGGTTTTGATCTCACATTACAGAAAAATGAAAGAACAAGGCGTATTTGGGAGCCGACGTATACATTGATTTATCGAAATGCATGTGATAATGATGAACTTCCGCAAACAGTTAATAAAACGATTGCAGAAATGAATGGTTTCCCAGAAAATGTTGCTAATGTAAGTTCAATTGTTTTAATGTGTTTAGATTTTTGATTTACATATTCCAGTAGTCAGGCTTTGTTCGTTGTCGTGTTTTTTTTTTTTTTTTTTTTCTGATTAGGAAAGCAGTGTCTGATGAAAAAATTTGCTGTGTTGGATCTTATATCATGCACTGTTTACTTTTTATTTATTCTACTAAAGACGTCGGTCAGATTAAGGATCGTCATTGAACATGAATTCCAATGCTAATTAAGCAACTTTTAAGGGCAAATTTCAGACTTTGGTAGTTCTTTCAAGCTTACATCAAATTGGTGCAAATGTAATGAAATATGAAATGGCGACAGATATTTTTGTTAGTGAAAAATTGACTCAAAAACTGATGCAAGAGTTAGCAGATCCATTGATTGTTTCTGCAAGAGCTTTGCCTTCTTGGTGCGATGAACTAATTTTCAAATATCCATGTTTATTTAGTGTTGAAACGAGGTAAGCTCTACCTTGAATCTTTTGACACACATTAGTGCTGCTTGTTTTTATTGCTAGCTGGTTCTGATTAAAATAATGTAATTTCTTATACTTGCTAATTCCGTTGGCATTGTACCTTTCGAAGACTGAAGGTTTTTTTTTTTTTTTTTTCAAAATTTTCATGCATAGTGATGAGCAAGGCACTGTAAAAATGAGAAATTGGAGCTCGAATCCCTAAAATCAGGAGGAATTTATCATCATATTATGACTTTATTATGATGCAGTTGATAACAGTCGTTATCCCACTTCATTTTTTATAGGACTAATTATTTTCGAGCTACTGCGTTTGGTACTTCGCGTTCAATTGTATGGCTACAGGCTCGTCACGATCAGGTAAGGAGTTTATTGTCGTAATTGATATAATTAGCACTCTGTCCACAGTGTCTTCATGATGATAGTTGCAGCAATGTATTTGATTAGTTAGTCAGAATAATTTAATGTGTGATTAACAGATGCTTGAACAGTCTCGTGGTGCAACAAGTGCTGCATCGGTATCGAATCTTACTGGAACTCGTAGAGATGATAATTATCCCGAGTTCCGCATAGGCCGAATTAAGCATGAACGCATCAAGGTATGTTTTCAAAAAAAAAGAGTGGATTTTTAGTTTTTAAAAGTTATAGAAACAAATTTTCGAATGTTTTAGCCACCACTTTACTGTTTCATGTTTCACTAAAAATTGCAAGCATTTGATTCTAGGTGCCACGTGACGATGAGCAGCTATTCGAATATGCTGTCCGATTATTGGAGTTTCATGCTTCTAGGAAAGCGGTGCTGGAAGTTGAATATATTAATGAAGAAGGAACTGGATTGGGACCAACACTGGAGTTTTATGCTTTGGTTTGTACTACAACCTTGTCTCGTGTTCTTTTTTTGTTTTTCTGGATGTTGGTTCTTTTGTCTTTTGCATCTCGGAAAATGAGTGTTCATAATTTAGATGGCCGCCGAATTTCAACGCAAAGACTTAGAAATGTGGATCTGTGATGACATGGATACTGACCAGATGGAAGGACTAGATCTTGGGGAGGGTATGAAACCACCGGGGTAAGTGTTGTTTTATTCTTATCATTTTTTACGCATACTTGCTAAGGAATTTTTCTTTCTTTAATTTGCATAAAACTACGAGAGCATGTTATGTATCAATATCTAGATACTATATTCGTCGCCCTGGAGGACTTTTTCCGGCTTCAATACCAATTTCATCTGCAGAAAACTCACGTGTTTCTCAATTATTTCGAATTTTCGGGATTTTCCTAGCTAAAGTACTACAGGATGGTCGTTTGGTGGATTTACCACTGTCGCAACCATTTTTAAAAATAATTACCAACCCACAGGTATCCTTTCTTTGATTTGAGTAAAATAGAGTTATAATGCCATTCAGGAATTTTCATAATTGGTTTTGTATTTCGAGATTTTGGTGAAACTATTTATGGAATTATTCAATTTTTGTGTAATGTGGATTACATAATGTAATTTTATTTAGCTGACTGAAGGAAATACTGTTGATTTGAATGGTGTACTTGATTTGAATGATTTGGAAGAAGTATACCCAGTCAGAGGTCGGTCCAACTTCAGTTACAAATTCATAAATTATTTCTTTATTGTCTGCTGTTCCTTTCTCGTAGCTGTAACTAACTCTTTGTATTGATAGGGTTGCTAGTATTCTTTAATATTAGTTCTGGCTACGTCAACAGTTCCTCATTGTTTTTTGCTTTTTATGAATGAGGCTGATTTTTAATTGAAAGTGATTTTGGTTTCCTTCCAGAAATTTGGTGATAAAAATTTAAGTGATGGAATTGAAAGTAGTTTAATTAAGCGACCCTTTATCTATGTATATATTGAAAAGTCGATCGCAAGTGTTTAGTATTTCAGTTGGCAATATTAAAGAAAAAATTATTCAGGTCGTATATTAAAAGAACTAGATGCATATATCGTGCAGAAACGTTCTATTGAAGCTGACAAGAGGTTTGATCCAGATACTCGACGCCGAAAGATCGAACAACTTAAATTAAATATTAATGGTTCAGAATGTACAATTGAGGATTTATCATTAACTTTTTGGTGAGCATTTCTGTGGAAATCTGAATTTTTTGTAATTGAGATTTTTTCACTTTTACCGAGATATTCTGATTTTGAATACTAATTGTTTCAGTGTAAATCCATCGTCAACCATATTCAACTATAAGCAAATGGAACTGATTGAAAATGGTATGAATATCGATGTCACTGCTAATAATGTTGAACTTTATATTGCTTCATGCACAGATTTTTATCTCAGTTCTGGTATTCTTAATCAGGTACAAGTTTTGGTTGAATTTCGTTAAGTTTCGGAGAAATTGTCTTGTTGCTATTTTGCAGACATATTAGACCACGGATTGATTAGCTAACCTCATGATTTTATTTAGCAGAATTTCTTTCTAATTTATGCATACTTTGTTCCAATGCATGTGTTCAGTTCAGGTCAATTTTTTTTTCAGTTGAAAGCATTTCGCGAAGGCTTTGATCTTGTTTTTCCTTTACGAAATTTAAGGATGTTTGTTCCAAGAGAATTACAGGCCGGTTTAAAACTAGAAATTTTTTGCTTCTACATTAATGTATCTAATAGTGGTGTTTATTCAGATTGTGTGCTGATATTACATTTTACACACACAGATACCTGATATTACATTTTTTCCTTTTTGAAAATGGAATCCAGGTTGCAATCCTTTGCAATTTCAAATTAAACTGGTTGGTTTGCAGACTTTGCTCTCTGGTGATCAGTGTCCGGAATGGACTCGTGAAGATATTATTAGTTTCACTGAGCCAAAACTGGGTTATACTAAGGAATCGCCTGGTTTCTTACGCTTTGTTGATGTTCTAGTAGGAATGAATGCTTGTGAACGCAAGTCCTTTTTACAGTTTACAACAGGTTGTTCTTCGTTGCCGCCAGGTTCGTTATATGAAACATGAATCGAGCAGTTTGTTTATGATTGCATGTCATTTTTCTTTTCAATTTTTTTTTTGTGATAAACAATTGAGATTTTTTCTTTTTATTCAGTCATCCATTCATTATATTTCTCACGCTTTTCATTTCATATTTGTAGGTGGTTTGGCAAATTTGCATCCACGTTTGACAATTGTTCGAAAAGTTGATAGCGGCGACGGTAGTTATCCATCTGTGAATACTTGTGTTCACTACTTAAAATTGCCCGATTATAGTTCTACGGAGATTATGCGTGAACGTCTTCTAACAGCAACTAATGAAAAAGGTTTTCATCTAAACTGAGGGGAATTTTTATACCATTTATTGCTGAATTCATCTCTTTCAGTAATATTTCGTATTTTTCTTTGTTCAAATTGGTGTTCGGATGCATTGCTGAGTATAGTTGGGAATAGTATGCAGTTACTATTCAATATTCACCATCCTTGTAGAATTGTTGTTCTTACTCGAGGAGTTCTTATTCGCATATTCTGTTTTAAATTTTTTATGTTGAGGAGGCAGAACTTTCAAGATTTTGCTATTTGAGTTATTAGTGCAACTGTACAATGCAGATATGAGTTATATTGAATCAGCTAAATGTGTATTTTCACTATTGCAGTTGTAAATTCGTATTATCTTAATTTTACTTCATAGTGTTCAAGTAAATTTTCTTATATATCCGTTGTTATCTGAAAGGAAATGAACAGGTTTCACAAGATTACAATTCGAGGCGGATTCTGAAAATCCTAAATTTAGATGAGAATTCCATTGTCCATCTTCGTGAAATTGTTCCTGAACTTTGATTCATTTCATAGCTTTTGGGACTTTTTCTTGTAAATGAATTACCGGAATCTGTATTTTGACTTAACAAACAATCAAAATCTGGACTGTATATTCAAACTTGCACAATATACGGTCGAGACCGTTATAGTATTGATTTTTGTCGTAGTTCTACTTGAGAATCCTGAGACTTCTTGGTGAACATCTCCGACTTGAAATATTATCTTTAGAACGTTTTATTAATGTAATCATTTATTTTCAACTTTGAAAAAGCCTATGGTTTCGGAACTTTATGAGAGAAAATAGTGAATGCTCTACAGAAGAGGAAATGAATGTTTGCAGGGACGGCGAGTATTATATTGTATGAACTATGAGTTGTGGTTAGCACAGACGGAACTTATGTTTTGATTGCACATGCACTTCACTTTTTTGCAGAGAAAGAATCGTTTAGCACATCAGTCATATGAACTGTATTGATATATTTGGTTATTTTTCGAGTTCAAACAAAACCATTTTTTATCTAATGTAAATCAACTTTCACTTTTGTAGCTAGATCCTGTCTATACGGGATATTTGTATGGAAACAGTGTTGTTTTTAACTCTGTTTAGGTGCCATAAACAGTTTGTGGTAATGGAGTTACATAAATACATTGAATTGCCGTAAAAGTTGCAAGTCATCCTGGGTGGTATGGAAAGGCATGTACTACTACATGAGATGCTCAATAGTGATTATGCATACAGAACGAGAATGACTTAAGACGATTTATCTTTAGTTTGGGAAGTGGTTGAGAGTACCTAAAAAATGTTCAAATAGTTCGTTCACCAAATTTTTGCTTTGAACGAAATAAACAAATTTTTAGTACAGAGAATTATTTAGTTAATTGTCCATGAGAGTTTTTATTGTGGGAAGCTAACTGGTATTGGATGGTTTAGTCAATCTTTTATAGAGATAACGCTGAAATGATCACGTAAATGCAAGGATTGTATCAGGTCAAATATTCGGAAATTGTTTGAATACAGCGTTTCAAAATACGGCATGCCATAGAAGTTTAACATTGCTGAAACTGGTTTTGCGATCGCATCTTAATGACAGCACTGTATTGCAACCGAATTATACATTGATCAGTTTTGTTATCCATACACCATATACAGTTTACGAATTGCAGAATCACCACATTCGTACCGTTCAACGGCACGTGTGGAAATTATTCCCGAAGCGAAGCAAACTTCCACCAGAAAGCAAGGCAAGAAACTTTCATAGAACTCGTGATCTGAAGATTTCTTGCCAGAATTTCTGCATTATATTGTATTAATTAAATATATACTTTAACAAACCCCATCTCAAGGCAACCTTCAATTGATTTTGTTTAAAAACTCTTCTGTCCAATCCGCATAAAGTACAACTACCGAATAACACAATAAGTGTTAATCATCTGAACAAACACAATAATTCATTGATATAAACAGTGGATACCCCGGTTGCTACTTCTGTTGTCTTGGGTAAACAATATACGTGCGACGCGTATAAATACCAACGACCATAGCTTTAACGAAATCAACATCAGATAACCTATGCCCACCTCAAGATACACAGCCTTCTAGTTGTAAATTTGTAAATTAAATAGCACCGGAAAAAGACACTGAGGTAAAACAATAGAGCTTGACTATCTTGATACATAATAGTGAGTTCTCAGGAATTTCATCCAGTTAGAAAATTTCTCTTGTGACAGATGAATCCCTAAGCTATTAGAGTTAAGGTGATGCACGAAGTCTAAAAACTTGCCAAGCAAAAAAGAAACCTTTATAATTATCAGACACTGCTAAAAATAAGAACTGATATTCTTACGTGATGAAACAGAACCCGGCGAAAAAAAAAAAAAAAAAAAAAAAAAAAAAACAGCACTGCTTACATTTTTATCATACATATATGAATCGACGTATTGAGTTTACTACATCGTACCGACCAAATATATGCTAAACGTCTATTTATACGAAAGAAAAGAAACGGACGGAATTACCCTGAGGAACTTATGAATTATCCAAAGAACTACAATTATCATTGTAGTTTAATTATGATCAGTATGCAAAACCGACTTTCTCCTTGACAATTACTGAATCTTCACTATGAAATAATCCAACTGCAGTTGACTTAGCTGACCAATAAAGTTCATCTGATATTTGAACAACGTATCAATTACTAACGAATCTGACATAAACGGTAAAGAATGACACAGCTGCAAATAAGATTAGGTGATGTGCCAACAAATTCACTAAAGAATAGACGCACTTGACCACTAGCAAATAAAATCATATAAAAAAGTTAAATAAAAATCAGGACACGAATTTCCTTTAATATTTCTCCTTAATTCCAATTTGCTTCGATTTCTTTTTTTTTTTTTTTTTTTTTTTGAATTTCTGCTCCTTAAAATTTAAAATGCAACCGAGGAGATATCAAAAACTTTAAAGCAAATTCTTGAATTAAAACAATGAATTAACAAAGTGCAAACATCAAAATCAGAAAACATCAGCCAACTGCATAAGGATATTTCCGGAGAAATTCTGAGAAAAATTGAACAGGTTTCCGAATAACAAATCTATTCCATGCTTTCTTCATCCTTTGCTAACAGTTCTTTTGCTCGTAACAATGCGGCACCTTCGTTGTAATGCATCCTTCTCTTTTTTTCGAATTCACACTTATGGGCTGAAAGCGAAACAAAATTATAAACAAAAGCTGCACTCATTTTATTTCAAAATATACCTTCAAAGACTGAACCAGACATCTCTCTCACAGTAACCACTAGAAAAGAACTACGCTTCAATTTAAATACCATTTGTAATCAACGTTTCTGGAACTTGAACAAAAATTCGAGAGTGTTGTTGCTCGAGAATCTTGAATTAAAGAATAACAGTAAAGAATTAACAGCAAACACGGCAAATTCTTTACTGTTCTAATGAGATCCAGAATTTAACCATAACTGTCATAAGTAAAGCTTTCAAAGACAATCCATTTTATCCAGAATGATGACAGAACACAACTGACAAACGGTTAATAACAACAAGAAATCAACATACCAATCTGCTCAGGAGTAAGTTCAACCTCGCTCTCATCATCTGGTAAAATTTTTCCGAGACAAGTTGGCGGAATAGATGTGCCAGCTTCAATGCTTTCAGCTAATTTCACTGGATCAACTCCAACCAAAGAAACTCGGCGAGGTGCCTTTGTAACGTGATTGTCTGTATCATCTTCGCTATCGCTATATCCATGATATGGAGTCTTCGGTTCTTCAATCTTCATATGCCTAAAACATGCAACGAAAGACGGTCAATAAATCAAAAAACCTAAACAGTTTCAATCTGGAAGATGACACTAAAAATGTATTAGTAAAAAGCACATTTTCCAGCACTAAACTATGATTTATAGGATGTTCGAAAAACCACGACTAGAGAGAATAAATCTGAAAAGAAATGATAACACACATTGGATTTAGCAAGCATCTGAAAAATTCTGAAAAAATTTGAAAAACTCAAATAATAAGCATTAAGCAAGCAGTACTATACCACAGCGAACAAGATTAGAACATGAGTACTGTTCAAAATAGCAATCTTAGCACCTTATTCTTTGGTGATACACATAACCTGCTGTTAACACTATTTGTTTTGATGGAAATGTGATATTCTGATAATTTTTAAGAGACCAAAAAAGCTGGTGTATTTCTAATAAATTAACTAAATACAAGTAAAACATTCAGGAACAAGATCTTATTTCTCTTTCGAAACTGTCGAGAACAAGAAAAAATTACAAACCCATATTCTTTATCAATTGGATGATGCGTTGCGATAATGTTCATTTCATCGAAGTGGGCTCGATCTTCAGCAATACGCTTGCTTTCTTCCGCTGATGGCTGCTTTGCAAAAAATATAATTTTGAAAATCGTATACGAGAAAAACCATCTCCATCCCACAATGTTAAATGACCAAAGGAATTTTAAGAACAAATCGGTTTTAAAAATGAAACCAAGAAGTGGAAACAGACACGATGTATATCCAAATACCGATGCATTATACCGTAGCAGCAGGTATTTTTAAAAAAAAAAAGAACCTTGAGAATGGACTTTTTCGGTTTTAATTTCAAATACTCGCTTGGATCAAGCAAATGTGCTTCACCAGAAACTTCCTGACCATTATTCATGATAGAGCTAAAACAAAAAGGTTCGGAAAATGCTAATGGATGACGGAACGGACAACAGCAAAAAAAGTATTGGAGGAAAAGAGATCAGTGTCAGTAGTACGCATTTTAAGCCAACTGATTTACTGAGTAGAGAAATTTTTGCTGCTTCACCAAAGAATAAGCTGTTGAAAAAAAATGTTATTTTCAAGTTCTTCATCTCTGATTTCTTCATTTTTCTAAATTATTGAAAACTGAAGTTCCGGATGTTAAAATTGCAAAACGAAACAAGGTATTAACTGAACTGTTTAAAACAAAAATCTTAGCAAAGCCTTTTTTTCGCAATTTCTCACATATCTAAAACATTTCAAAAAGCTGACTTTGGCCCACGATGGGTAACGCTCGACTGGAAGTAGAAGTAATCAACAGAAAATTTGTCTCCTCAATCTCATGGAAGTTTTCAAGAGATATGATGCCTAAAAATTAGTAATAATAAACGGTGAGTAACTCTCCAGTATCGTAGAAAAAAGACAAAGTGATAAGATGGAGCAGCTGCAAGTAATCAATTCAACAAAGCGATAACTGCCACTAAAGATAAGAAAGCTAGGCCTATTTTCTCATTCTTCTTAAGTGCTCCATCAGCTTCCTCCTAACCTGTAAAAGACAAAAAAAAAAAATTGTCAAAGCAAACCATACAAGCTGAAAATGACCTAACCCTACACCCGACGCAGATCTGGAAGTTCATGGTGAATGCCGCCAAACCATTCAGCTCACTTACCCGTATTCCTCGGTAGACCACTGCTCTGAAACGTCTCAAACCAAATGAATGGCCTAACTGCTAACTGCCTTAAAATGTTAGAAGTTGATCCATTGACAACAGCGATGTCGATGGTCATTCGACAGTGACATGGTTTGAACTAAACCTTTTTTTACACATTTCAGTTTCACGAAAACCGCTAGGTATGATCCACGGCTTAATACATTGGAGCCAGTTCCAGAAAGGAAGCACAAAGAACCAAGAAACTCAACCCACCGATCCAGCCTACAGTGAGTCGAACTGCAAACTTTCTAAACCAAAAAGTTGACGCACTCCGGAAACATTGCTTTAAATCCTGGGTCTTATATGATATGGGCTTCTTTTCTTTCCTTACAAAAGGGAAACCAGGCTTTTCATTTGGAGACTGAACTTTTATTTAGAAATCCGGATCTTCAAAATACGACTTCCGACACATTAGTTCCTTTTAAGGGTTACTGTAAACGTCCAGGAAACTTATTGAAAAAAAACTTCAGTAAAAATGAAGAATCTTAGGAATATATTAACAATATAAACGAAACATAACTTTTACAGCCAAGTCAGACTGACTAAGAGCCCAGCTAAACGAAGTCCAACCTATTCTCCAAAATAAGTCATTAGAACAGGCTCCATTCTAAATCCCTGGATAAGAAGAACTGGTGTTTTAAAAAAAAAAAAAAACCTTGAGAATGGACTTTTTCAATTTTAATTTCAAATACTCGCTTAGACCAAGTAAATCTGCTTCACCAAAAACTTCCTGACCATTATTTATTATGCAGTTAAAAGAAAAAGATCCGGAAAATTCAGGTGGATGACGGAACGTACAATAGCAAATAAAGTATTGGAAGATCTCCCTTAATATAACTACTAACAAACAGCATTACATCATCTATTCAAATGGTTATTTGCTTGGAAGAGAAATAGTGTCACAAGTATATACATGTTAAGCAATTTAAGTTGGTGGGTAGAGAGACTTTTCCTAGCTCACGAAACCACTAATGCTTCCTTGAACATAAAACGCAGATGTAGCCTTGACTGTCAGGACAATCATCAATAATGAGTTGTCATCCTCGTTGCAAAGTGCAAGAACCAATCTAACTATTTTGAAGAAAATTCGGTTGCTGTTGTTAGGATAGTAAGGAACAATTCCTCTTTTACGGATACTGTAAAAAAATGTGTAATCAGTCGTGAAAAAAAGAGAACCATCCCAATACTGATAAATATAACAAGACTACCGATATATGGAACAGAATTTGGGATCTTGAAAATTCTTATTTTTAATGCTTATGTTGATCTGACTGCTCTCTATTGAATGAATGAAATTTTCAAATTTGTGAGCTAAAACCTACAAGAAACACAACGAAATGTTCACGCATTAAGAAATATAGGAAATAGATATATACATACGGAAATTACTAACCTATCTAAATTGCTCTCCAATATTTTGCATCTACCTGTTTGATATGAAGAATCTTTACTGAAAAGCCATATTCATTCTGTAATTTCAACTAAATAAGTTGGATATTAAAATCCACTCAACCGCTCAAAGTGAAACCCTTTATAAAACTTCTAAATAATATCTACAGCTAGCGAAAGTTAGTCGCTTTAACACTGAAGAGCATCACCTAATCTTCCTGGCAGGAACGAAAAAAGGCAGAGGGAGCTACTATAAACCGACCTGACTAGCTTAACTATGAAAACTTAACTACTTTCGAACTATTTTCAAATTAAATCTACATCCTTTCTAAATTTTACACCAGCTATTAATGTATCACCAACTACTTATTTTATCTTTTCACCTCTTGAAGGAATAGCAAAAAAAAAAAAAAAAAACGAATGAACACTATTTCATTTATTACTTTCAAAATTCATTTCTCTTGGTCACAAAAAACAAGGGAATTTTTTCACATGATAACCAATTTAGAATACAAATTCCGTTACTTCCAAAGTATGAAGGGATGATGAGAACTGGAATGCATTGGGCATGCAAATTAGAAGTAGAAATTTTGTAGAAATTTTGCACTGAGTCAACGGTAACGATTGAAAAGTTTAGTTGACTAAGCTTTTCTGAATGCAAAACCTATCTTTACCCATCCAGTATCTACTTAAAGCCAAAAGTGAACCAAATAACGGTAAAAGCGTTGGTAAGAATAATGGCAGATAGATTGCAAATTTCTGATCATTCGGGAAGTACAACAACGAGAGCAAACTTTTGTCATTCAAAGCACTTTCAGCCAATGCTCGACCTTTAGCAACCGATGCAACTTCAATGTGGCCGGTTTTCTCAACTGTTGTAAGAACTTGAGAAATAAGCTCAACCGCCAGATTAGTTTTACTTGCCACCTAAAAGTTTATTATAATTATTTGTATCAAAGCTACTGACATAATAAAAAATAACGATAAACTTTGACCAAGTAGTTCAACATTTTTGGTTTGCTCTTGTGCGAAGAAATGGGCTAAAGTGCAGAATAAAGCTGCTGTCTTCTTTGATTATTCCCCTTCAGCACAAGACCGTTTGAAGAACACTTTTAAAAAATAGTCTAATTTTTTAAGAATATAATCATTTCATTCCGGAAAAAATCATTTGTAACATATCTCTTCATTTATGACAATGTTATCAATCTGTGAGATTAATTTGTGAATCGCAGCAATTGACGAGATCCCACTTATCGAACAATCGATAAATGACCGTAATTTAATGCGTTTAATTTCCCATTTTGCCACTGGTAATGATAATCGATCAAATGATACTGGTAAGTCTGTATCAAGGCCAAAAAGAACACGCATAGCAGCAACCACTGATTGATTGAGAGCTAAGCGTTTTTCGCCACCATAGGAAAGTAAAGCGCCCCAGGAAGCTACAATCACACCATTGCTCTCATCACCCTGAAAAACTTAACCTTATTTTTCATTATCAGTTTGTCGAAAAGATTTGCAAAAAACCCTATCCCTAATAAGCTTATGATTAAAAAGTGCAAACCATCTTGTCTCAGGTCAAATATATTTCCGCTGCAGGATTATAGATCCTCAGTAATTATTCTTTTATAAAGCTGTAAGAAAAAAAAAGTTCCTACTTTTTATGAAAATGGTTATAGGACTGTCCTCTTTTCAGCAGTGATTTAAATAAACAAAAAAAGTAAAATCGAACATCAGCATGAATGGAGAGTACAAAAATAGACGGTTAAAAGGCTTTAATGGATATAGTCATTTTCATAACAAGTTGGAGAACTGTGTCAAATATGTTGCACTAAGCAAAACGTTTAGAGATCAATCCCGATAAGAACTGCCTGAAAAATGCAAAATAAAAAAATATATACCATGTAATCAAGAAGAGTAATTGGATGAGGTGCATCCAGTACTACTAATTTCATAACTGGAACAGATGACTCAACAGTACTGGTCTCCTGTTCGATCTATAAATCATAGCACCAACATTACACCAAAAAAAAAGTCAAAACACTTTTTGATTATGAAAGTTACAAAAATTTCTAGACCTGCAAATAATCTTTCGATTTTGATGAATTAGCAAAATTTCTTACAGCAGTAACTATTTGTGATATGTCATCCATTCGAATGCTATTTCTTTCTTGCATATTTTTTTTTAGCCATGCGGTCAAGTCAAAATCCCAGAGATGTTCTGAACTGATAACCAAGTCTGACACTTCGGCCAATTTTGTGGCAAATCGACGTGCATGCAAAATAATATTCTCCGCTGAATAATATTCGTTGCTCTCATTATAACCAGCGTGTAAGAATATTACTTGCACAATATATCGAGCACTTAAAGCGACTGAATCCCAAATCAAGCGTTTCTGCAGAAATAGGACAAGGAAACATGCAATAGAAAACAACTAAAATTTCTACCAAAAAAATTTTATGGAGGTTATATATATAGGTTATATAAGTTATATATATAGCTTGTCTAGCATTTCCTTCATTAGTAACAACATACATTTACTTCCCACTTAAATGCACAATTTAATTCGAATTTAAAACGGACAGAAACCATGATATAAAAGTTAACCTGCTGACTTGATGATAAAGTAACAACTTCCGACGATAGTATTCGCTGCCTCAGATCACGTTTTACAATTGCTGAAAGATGACCGGTATCCAAAAGAACATCTGTTATGGCTGCAAACATACGTTGCGCAACCTTCGATTCATCTTGATGGTTAAGGATAAACGACCACTGGTCATCGAAATAGGTTGTATATCCAGAATATGGCCATACTGTCTCATTAATTATTGCAATATGCACTCCAAACAAATCACTCTTCTCCGTATTAATTGTTGAAACGAATCCCAAAGCATCCTGAATAAATCTACCTAACAAACAGATTAAAACATTTATGAATTTAAAGCAACGAATACAGCTGTAAAGTAAATAACACAAAAAAAACAAAACAAACCATATCTTCGTGATTCAACCTAAATATGAAGCGCAGTTGATCGATTTTTGGAAGCTTAGAAAGTTCATTCAGAAGTAGACCAATTGCACGGTCAACATGAGATTTCATAGATGAATATGAGCTAGCTATTGATATATAAACCTGTGTTACAACATATTAACGCTTTTGAGAACAACTGTCTCATATTGATTTTACTAAACAAAAGATTTTCGAATGAAATGAGTCTAAAGTAAAGGTACTACTAAAATTTGTAAAAAGGTGGAAAACATATAAACTCAAAAAACGTACTGGCAAGGTGATTTGCTGGTTAGGAGGAAAAGTACGAAATGGTACTCGGTATGTTGAAGTTGTTTGCCACCATAATGGTAAGCCAAATATGAGCATAATAACAATAAATGTAAGTGCAGAAATCCTTCGGAAAGGTAATTCTGCGCGTTCTTCAGCAGTAAGCATCAGAAGCTAAATATTTTACAATAATCAATATTTGATTTGATTTTGAAAATTAAATACTCATACAATTACCTCGCTAATTAAAGAAAATTTGCAAACATTAAAGCGAATATACCTTTCTAATGCGCTCTTCCTTTCTTTCTTGATAAAAATCATGTACTGGATAAACGTTAACATCACCAATGGTCATTCCGTTTTCTGCCACTTATAAATGAGGGATTTAATTAACTGCTTTCAAACTTACAATCGCACTATGAGCCTGAAAACGACATCCAAAAAGGCAAAACTGAAATAGCAATTCGTACATTATTTTAATCGAGCGAGAGAAATCGAACCCATGAATACAACTAGAATTGTAATCTTGGTGTACAGATATCAATGGAAATAATATGAAGCATAAGGGTCAAAGATTCACAAAGAATGGATTCTTGAAGTCCAATGACATTTCGAAACTGTCATTTATCATTTATACTTTTTTACTCTAAAAAACAAACTCCCTAAAAATGGTGGGGAATTACGTGCTCCTCTTTTGCTTCACTGGTCTTCCTTTCTTAAATGACGTTCCAAAACCATAAATTAAAAAACCGTTCTTAGATACTTTGAATTGCACTTACATCAAGGATTTCTAATTTGTTTATGATGCATAGTCTTGACTCGAATCAACAATAAATCAGAAAGTATTTATCTAAACCGACGGTATTACATTCCAGACTAACTATATATTTCGCTCTTCAAAAAGAATTCATAAAGACCCTCAATACATTAGGCAGTCCTTACCTAAACACTAAAAGTTGTGTGATGTGTAATGCTTAGCTTGGAAAGCCTTCATTTACTCACGGTACTTACCCATTTAAATCGTCGAAATGTAAAAAACATACTACCTTGCGGAGGTTGATTTTCAGAGTGAAATGGACTTCATATAAGGCTTATGCGACTTCATCTTGAGCAGATATGTTAACTAGCACTGTTATCATTCTCAAAAGTCAATGTTCGAACTTTTAGGACTGTATACGTTACAACAGAGAACGACAAACTTTTCGAAATATCGTTCTTTTGACTGACAGACACCTGAAATATGCTTGGACACAGAATAAACGCAGCCAAATTTATTGAAAGTCAGCGTTAAAACAATGTACATATTATATAATAGCATGCAATGGCAAAATGTTACATAAATGTAAAAAAAAAACTGTAGTAATTCGACAGGATGTCCTGCTTGAATATATATGTGGTGAAGAAAACGGCGACTAATTATTTTCAACAATAAACACACGAACAAAAATAAACTCAAATCTCGATGATATGAATCTTGATAAACGAAATATTTCGTGAATGAATATCACGCATGCATATTCAACAGAATTTTGTTAGAAGACTGCATTTTTTAAATCTGTGCTATCTGCTCCGATATTAACTAACGCTTGTACAGCTCTCAATCGATAAACTATTTAAAAAGTAATATCTAAAAAGTAATACCCACAGAATACGGTATGAAATGATTTAACATATGTACTTTTACAAATATAGAGTGTTGAACTAATTTTATGCTACTACTGATAACTCACCAAGACTTGTTTTTCTGCATAACAAATAAATCAACACTGACCCTAGTTACATATGCTTTGGAATATAAGGTCGAGAAAACTTTTTTTGAATCGACTGCATAAATTTTACCAATAAGTATGAAAGGAGTAAGGAATGTAAGACAGTAAAAGCTACCAAATCTAGGAAGAAAGAAAACAACGATTTAATGCTAAGCTTTTATATTTTAATGCTAAGCTCAGCGTGACAACAGAATGTAAACAAAAAACCAAACACTGACAAACATTAACAATATCACTTTGTCAGAAGCTTATGATAAATCACAACCATTAACATATTTTGGACATTTCATGTCAAATGTATTATTCGCTTTTGATTTCATCTACCGGTATACCACCTTGCACGTTGTGCAAAGATATCGCTACGAAGATTTTGAGCAAACAGTATACCCAGAATCTAAAGAGGTATTGCAAAATCTGACTACAAAATCAACGAATATTATATGCAAAGAAAGAGGCAAAAATCTTCCCCTAGATTTAAACAGTGCAATAGGTTTGTATTTGTGATGTGCAGACAAGAGAAAGCAAATCTCCGACGGATTTATCACATTAACTGTAAATTATTTGATTTAATTCACTCATCTCTTCGACAAAATCAAGAAACACGAAACTTACTTGAATAACTGCGACAAGAACCACTGCAATGGCAACGTAAGTCATATTCTGTGACAAGTAATTTTCAATTTTCGGTGTACATCCTTCACTATGTATCGTGTCACTTAAACCCTGCATACAGATACATACTTATAATCAGAACACATAATACATCAAAATTTTAAAAAACTGCACTAGTTAACAGTTCTTCTCACACTGATTATATTAGTTAACTTCTAGCTTCTAAATAAATATTATAACACTGAAAGGCGGAAATTTTCGGACTATTTGAAAACCTAAGAAAATATACAAATTACCTCTTTGAAAAGTCTAGCACCATGGCCACAAAAGAAATTAATGGGACCACCATCTAAACCACGCATCTTTTTACAGCACGAATACGGTACGCCACCAGCTTCAGGTGACGAAAATTGTTGTGATGATTTATTGAAATATATATTCATGTCCCAATCATTTGGTGATCTCATACCACAACATTTGAAATAGATTTGCACCCAGTCAATGAGGGCTTGCAGATCTGGATCATCTCGATACATTATAACCTGAAATTTACTGGCAAACTTCCACGCTTAGTCTAATCTAATGTTCTTATATCTAGAAAGAATGTATGAATATTCTCTAACTGGAATAAGAATATTATAGTTTGTAAACTCATCTAAATGCTCATTAAATCTTATTCATTACAGCGACACGAAATAGATGTAACATTATATATGAAATTCATTACTAAGCCTTACGAATTTCGATGTAATTCTTATTAGTTTAGAACAGCTAAAAAAGTATTGGATTAGTAATAAAAATAAAATAATAATAAAAAAAAAAAAGAACATGACTTCTAAGAACCAACTTCTTCACAGTTGTACTTTTTTGTTAACTGAAGGGCAGCTAACGTTACAATAATTAAGCACAAAAAATACAAACGACTGCGTTAAATATACCGTGTCATCCAATCTTGTAAAAAATTCTTGAGTGATCCAGTCTTTAGAAGCAAACACCAAAACAATTAAAGCCATCTCAGCCAATAAAAGAAGACCGATAATCGTTGAGTATAAAGCCAAAAAACATGTATTTTCTCTTAAGGCCCCAACACAACCACTGAAACCGATTAAGAATATGAGACCACCTGAAATATTTTAAATCTTCGACAGAACTTATTTAATAACTGCATAACTGAAATAAGAACTTTAATGGCAAAAAGGAAGAGATGCTAGCGGTTTTTTTTATGTCTTTTATTTAATGAGTTTTGGTATAGAGTTTGACAGATCCAACAAAACCGGCTTATTTTTCAGCATCTTGACAGGAAATAAAAACACTGAAACTAAAGTTTGTGAAACGGTAGCACAAAATCTAAAACAATGCATTGAAGGAAACCTATTTCCTACCAGCAAAAATAAGAAATATAGCTGGATCAAGATAAAATCTTGATGCCTTATTCAGATGAGAATATGCACTGTTCTTCTCAAAATGAGCCCAAACACCAACTGCGAGAAGCGCAAAACCAATAATCCAGAACAAAACGTTAAACCCAAAAATTGTGTATTTGACACAACAACTGATTTCAGACGTGTTATAATGTTGAACGAGCATTAACTGCAAACAATGACAAACATATTACAGTATCTTCGCAAACCGAACAAAATTCGGTGAAGCCATCCTATAAAATAGTTTGGAATGTATATGCAGGTATAATAATGTTTCTTTGTGATACTAACAAACATTTCTACACCAATACTGTACAGCAAATCCTATGACGCCCATCCTCCCATCCTTGAAAAATCACATCAAAAAAGTAATTATTAAACGCCTAATTTCCCAACACAGAAATATTACGAACGAACTTGATGGCGACTCATCATCGCGCCAGAATGATGGTGATGGGCGCTTAAACTAACTGGTCGATTTCTAGTCGTTCTTTGCACTGGAGCCATACTCTATCAAATATACACTTCGTATCTAGTTCGCTTAAGCCTGAACTGAAAACCCAGGCGATAAATCTATCTATAAGACCATGGTAATTTGTAAAATAATAAAGAACGAACAGCCTCTATCAGACTAATTTCCTAATCGCATGAACGATCAACGAAACTTTTTGTAAATCTTATAGAACAAAGTGCAGGGATTTGTACCACAGAGATAAACATATACGTTTCTGTGTAAGAATCAAAAAAGGAATAAAATCCACCTGATTAGAAACAAAATAATATATGTATGTGCAACGGTAATATGTAATCCAGAGAGTCAAAAATCAAAAATTTATTTTTTCTGATAACTGAACAGGAAATAACAGCAATCAAAATTGAGTTTATGCTTCTTCAGCTCTTTTTCAAATATTTGAAGGATACAGCATCTAAAAATAATTATAGGATAAAGTGAGAAAATGGAAAAAATGAAGTCAGTGCTAACACTGAAAAAAATATTTGCTTCCAACGACGAATAAACTTGTTTCAAATGATTCGGTAGTATTATAGCTCTGGCTATACGTCAAGCACCTGACATTTCAAAACTTGCACATTTGATAATCACAGAACATTCTTGCGAAACAATACTGGTTCTATACTGACCAGAAACAGCAGCTTTTAAAAATCCTCTAAGCCTTACCACGCGCACACGCTTGCCCATCGCTTGTGGTGGGAGATTTCTTCGGAATTTTGCTTTCACTGTACCTGCATTGCCATGTACTCGAGTTATTCTACCCCAGATTGCTCGTACGCGACTTGGTGTTTTTCCATGCACTCTTGTTTTTTTATGTGCTTTATAAACATAGAGAACCCTTTTTCCAACATACCTGAAAATAATACTCCAGAACAATTGCTGAAATGGCCAAAATTTTGGATTTACTATTTAAGATCAGCTTCCAATTAGAGATCCTAAACCTCTACCGGATTCTAAACGAAGATTTATTAAATTACATAAGAATAACAAAGTCACGATACTATAACAACAAAAGCGAAGCTCTCTTGTCATTCAATAAAAGTAATTCTCGATAAAGAAAAAGCTGCATCTAGTGTTTACATTACCCAGTTATTACATTCCCTGCAGTGCAACAAAATATCCAAGTTTGGTTCCAGCGGAACACACGGAAGGGAATTACAGTAATTTCATGTCATAAAATAAAGATACTGTGAGTGCAGAGAGAAACAAACCACTGGGCATCCTGCTTGTTGTAAACTCCTTCCAGTTTTAGAAGTGATGTATGTTCACGCTGATTTCGTTGCGAACGTTTATAGCCAACAAATACTGCTTTCACGTACAACCTGTCATAACAACAATAAAAAACATTAAAAGTGGTTCTCAGAAATGCAATGCTTGGTGAAACTTAATAATTAAATGAGATACTTCATATTTCTTACACATCATCAATAATTTTATGAATATCCAAACTAATTTATCTTGGGTAGTAGTACTTCCAACAGTACTGAATTCCAGTTGTCAGTGCATTACTGATAAGTGAAGTCTTTCATACTTATAGTGAATGATAGAGTATATATCAGAGAGATCTAGTTTAAAGGATAAAAAGCCGCCAATAAAAGAAACCTTAAGTTAATTTATTAAAGAAACATATAGAAAGATACCTGCCAGCAGGTTTGGGCCCTTGTTGTCTAACTGTCTGATCTTCGCTCATTTTCCTTTCAGTAATCCAGGCTATACCACTCCTAATGGAATAATAAATCAACTTTTTAAAACATATATCAATCAAGACTAACAAATAAATCCGTACCAACCCATCATCCGAAATACAACCCACAACACGTGCGGCATAAGAACGAAGCGGAGAGTGATTAACCGCGAAATATAGACTGGGCCCGACTAGTGCTAAGAGAACTATTTGCCCATGCGGAAAGTGGATCTTGTTAAAATGTAGTAGTATATAGTCCGATACGACAGATGACTGCTATCACCACCATCTCCTTATCGTCCTATTAAGAATATCAATCTTTCCAAAACAATAGGATTATTTTCATAGTGACCCTTTCTTTGCAGTCTACTTACACTGCTTTGGATATGTGGTCTGTTGGTGAAGTATGGGGTGGGAAGCTCAAAGTAGGCTCTGCTCAGATTTTTAGGGGGGGGGGGGGGGGAGAATCCAAAGACTGGTTGAACCTGACAGTAAGTGGTGTGCCAGTTTCCGTCGTCATTGGGATTTAATTTTCATGATTTATGAGGGTAAGGAAGTAACATAAACAATTATGGGAGGGTTTTTTGAAAACACCGGGTCGTATCACTGTGTTAGTTTTAACAGAATAAGTTTACATAAATATTCTTGTAATACTCAGCTATATTTTAATAATCGTAATAACCAAGTTATCAGCTGACAAAACCAGAACATAACTGAACATGACAAATTTTGTTTTGCGGTAAAATACTGTAGTTCCGAGGTCTTGTCTGTTGTTTCAACTCCAGTTACATGTGGTTTGCTTGTACTGTAATTATAAAAAGCGATTTGGATATTCGTTTACAGAGTTAAATATGAATTGATTAATGCTATATTTTGAAACACAACAACCTCGAGCAGTTTATTTTGCAAAATTCCCTTCTGCTGTCTAATGTTCAGCGCAGGAAACCATGGTGATCTGTGGTAACCAGAGACTCAAAATTTGTATGGATAAATAAGTTTAAAATTGAATAGTGTATTGGACAAATTTTAAACTATCGTTTGTATTCTAAACTATCCCGGAAGTCCCTGCAGACTATCATATTCTGAGCCTCAAATTTTTACGAATTGTAAAATCTAAGCCGGAAACGAGCTAACAATGCGGCCTGTTTAGATGCAATTCACAGCCAAAATTCAGAAATTCAACAACTGGCCAATCAACGCACACAAAATATCATCTTCACTGCCATTGACATTAAATCACTACCAGATGCGCGTGTTTCGTTTCACATACATGAAATCAGTTCCGGTTTCGAAAGTGAAGAGTAAGCTTTAACAAAAAGGAACTTCCTGCCAATGCAGTATCTCAGAACGGCCTTAATTACAATCATTCTGCCTCTCATTTATTGGTTTTGCAGCGAACATTATCCGTCGCTCTTTCCTTCTCCTATTTCCTTTGCTTCTTATTCACCGTTTCGATGATTCACACAAGACTTGTTTTCGAAAAGGATTCTGATTTCATTCCGTCTCTTCTTGCCTTTTCTTTTTACCTGGGTTCAATCCGTTTAAAGAAACAGGATGACTACAGCGCAGCATGAAAACATTTACATTTGACACCAGTTTTCTGGTAATCAACGATGATCCACTTATTCGAACATCTCCGAGTTATCACTGTAATCACTGGTTATACCATAAAGGTGTGTGGTAACCGTAAAGAGTGAGGTTAAACAGAAGTTAAGTAGAGCTGAAGAAGTCGAAAATTCATGTTAAGTGCTGGAATTGGCACTGAACAGTACAATTGCTAGATCTGGCTAAACACAGGCAATGCAATATGACTGTCGTGTCATTTTAACCAGTAGTTTATTATAAAAACAATAGCATTTGCTGACTGGATAAATTGTTTAACTTATTTATGAAGGGATTTCTAATTTCTTAATTGTGCTACAAAGTTTTTTAATTATTGACGAGACAATAGCGTTATTAAAAATCTAGTTTAATAGATTCCGACTACACATGGTGGTTATAAATATTTGCATGATCAGTTTTTTTTTGTGCATTAAGATCACTTAATGTAGTGCCTTACACTGTAATGCCATTCAATGAATTACTGAATAGAAATGTTGCAAATTTTAGCCGTACCGAAACTGTCTCTTAAAAATGAATTTAAAACTGCTTTATAAAAGACAAACAATCTATTTCTTCTAAAATTAAAAATCTCTTGTAATTCACATGGTTGCGAATTTACGAGAAGTTAAATAAAGCATATTGATTGTGGGGCATCCCTGATTGTGGGACAAAGATATCAATAGTAGAGTATGGGGATAGATATCTGGCTAATAAGCTAAGTTGTGGTTATCATCGTTGTCTTCGCCAGTTTCTGGATCTCTTCTCAGAACCGTGAATCCCATGAGTACATCAACGAACTAACAAAGACACAAAATGTGACCGCTGGGATCATTTCTCAGTGCAGCACTGCATTTCAATTTCCGAAACACCAAAAATTGCCGAGAATCTCATTCAGATCTGTCATTGAAGATGAGCAGAAAGGATGGATACGGACAGACATAGATCCATACACATATATTCATTCTTCTTGAGAGGCGTACTGAATTCAATTGCCAACTTCCAAACCAAATCGTCAATCCATCAAATGCATCAGTTTAGTTCTACTTTTCGAGTATTTCAGAATTTACTCCCAATGGATTACAGGAAGCAAAACAATTGAAATGAATTGTTGAATATTGAGCGGTTGAAAGTTCCAAAATGCTCCTGTCCTTCATAGCTTTTTAGTATACTCCAGTTGAAACTGAAATTTAACTCTTACAGTTAAAAAAAGGATTAATTTGAAATACAAACTATATTAAATGTCAAAAGAGCCAACGTTCTAAATCAAATATTTACATTTGCCACACTTTAGTAACTCTTTTCTGCTATTGCCCTCACCTTTTGCTTTCGCCTTTCGGTTGACGTCTTCTACAATATATTGAAATATGAAGTGTGCTACTAGTTTAGCTCTTGAAATTACTGACTGGCATCGTTGATAGAAAGTGCCATTCACAGTTATTAATTAAGCTTTTTCATTAGCAACATGCAATCTAGTAATTTAAAAGTTGTCGTGAACGAGTTTTTGCACGTTGGAACTGTTTCAATGGATTCAATCGGGGATTACAACCCCTTGACCACCATATCAGAACAATTTCAACAAGATACGCAAGAATCGAATTATACAATATGACTGCCGCTTAGTGATACATGTATCTTGATTTATGATGCCAGATTCGTTTTTAGAGTGAAAAGTATGACCAGATTTAGTATTATATAAGCATTATATTTAGACTTTAGCGATACAGCTGAATATCTTTCCCAAATAATATCGAGTATAACAAGTGATATCAGACCATTCAAGAGTGGATTGATCGGATGGGTTATGAGTTTCTTTTTCTTTAAGTATCACAATAAAAAGCATAAGGCAATTATTCGCGTGAATGAACCTGCTGCTGTAATGGACAGAAAGAAATGCTCAGTTTACTACCGATACTGCAACGGACGGTTATGGTGAGTTCATTCGTGCTTAAAACATCAATTTCGGTTAAATTTATTCCAAGCTGCTAATTTGGCACATACATTCACATCCCATCAAACGGTTCCAGAACATGCACAATTATGTGTTGTATGAATCTGCTATTTCTGTAGCTGCCCAATCAAACAGCAGTGAGTCATGATTTGATGGAAAAAAAGATAAGCGTGGTAAAGCTGGGATAGATTTCTCCTTCCTATTCTAGGCTATCCTCTAATTCCACCGATAAAACTATTATATAAGATAGGAAGAGTCACAATTGCACATCTCCCCTTATTTGATTCATTCATTTCTGTCACTTTCAACTATGAAATGCATTAATCTGACATTAAAGCCATCTCTTTCTCATAAATTTTAGGATCTATATAACTGTTCTCTGCAACAATGTTCTTTAGATTAAATTTGAAGCTGTATTCTTTTTAAATAATAATATGTACGAGGTGCATGAAGTTTGGTGAACGAATAATTATACCAGTATATTGATTATATTAAACAGTATATCCTGTGAATATTCTTTCCGTAATCACTGGCTTTGCTTGATCTAGTTAAATTGAAAAAGCAAATTTTTGTAAGAGTAAGGGAAAGAAACTAAAAAGAGAAATTTTGCAAGTTTTTTGGAATTGTTAGTAGTGATAATAATAAATTATTTTTTGCGAAAAAGGACAGTATGAAATAGGATGACAGGTTAAAAACAATTTAAAAAACAGATAATCGTTCATGGCCAAATGTTCAACTAAGTTTTTAAAGAATGCCAATGGTCTACCATTAATTTTGCATTTGAAGGCTTCAACAAAGAAGGCGTCAAAGATCACTACTCACCAATAGTGCCTGCAAGGAAATGAATCTAGTTAAGACACATTGACTGATTTTCCCTTCTAGTGTCATTTTCAACTTCAACTTTTTGATTTTTAATAAAGATCTAACTTTTTAAAGGGATTATTCATTTAAAGGTCGCAGTAATAAGACCAATGAGTTTAAGGTATTGTCCTGTTGTTAGTCTTTCAATGAATAAAATGCTATAAACATGATTTACCAAAAATAACATATATTAAATTCATCCTTTCATGGAAAACAGGGGATGACGAAGTCCTGATCGCATCATTATTCAAATTCGGCTTCTAATTTTTGGTTATTTCCTTTTTAAGATACAAAATTTGATGACTGTGGTATTTTCCACTTACTCTATTGGCCCAGCAGGGTCAATACGACAATGAATTTCTATTGATGAAAATTTATAAACAAATCAAGTATATTTACAATTTTTTCGAAATAGAACTTTTAAGGCATTTTGAAGTCTTAAACTTTTCTCTTGAAACTGCATTGAACAATAAAAACTCTTTGTGCTTACAACTTCATTGCTTTTCGATTCCTTAATTCTAACGGACATTTACTATGAAATATATATTTAAGTGATGGGATTTGTAAAATTTTAAATCAGATTGAAATAAACTCAATATCTCTCGTATCACAAGTGTTGCAGTGAATCGGATGCATGCTGGTGTTTGTTTATATATCTCTACAAAATTCGTAACAGAAACTTTTCCGTAACAAATATTAAATCTATTCGAAGAGCTGTATTTACAGAAAATATCGGCTGTTCTATTTTTCGAAAGTTTTCAAATTTTCCTTACTTTAAAAATAACATTTGCTGAAAAGCTTACATTCTCTCGCCGCAGTCAAAGTAAAGTATATAAAGTATATCGCAAGAGACTTTAAATAGAATTTATATTTGCGGCTTTTTATTATTTCATATTCTTATGATGCTTGCTTGCTTGTTCATTTGTACTATGTAAGCATTTCATCTACTTTTTTTATTGAATTGGTTTAATCACGAAACTGCTGATAATCAGTGCTGTGTAATGTTATAAAAGAATAGAATGAAACTGATTCTGTGTGAAAACACGAATAAAAGCATTTTTGCTCGTTAAGTTGATCATGATATGTGATAAGATCGCTTTACCTGATTAAACTGCAATTTAAATCGAGAATTCTAAATACATGAAACAAATTTTCATGGCTTCCACATGGACAATGCCGACCGAGCTGCTTTCTCCTGCATCAACATACATAAGAAAGCATTGCCAAAGCAAACAGGTTAATCGAAGTTAATCGAAAATGATTTGTAAAAAGGTGATATGTTTGCTGATGGGTCAGTACAAATGGAAGGGTCCAATTCTCAAAAGTTAATTTTGGTATAACAGCCTTTAACTTGAAAAGAAATCTTTTATTTGAATAACTGCTCCAAAAAGTTTCGGAAATATGCTTTTTTTGGAAGCATTTGAAAAAAAATATGGTTAGATAAATATGAAGGTCTTTCATCGTGATTTATTTTAATAATTTGAAAAAAAAATGTATGGGGAAGTACAAGGACCTTGTCCAGTAATGCTTACCGGATGGTTGAATAAAAGAGTTTAACAAGAACAGAAAAAGGACAGAATGAGTGGAAATTTTACAGTAAATATTGGTAATTACGTGGATAATCAATGGATATTCACTGATGTTTATATTTCAGTTGTGGGTGTCATCGAGGGCGGACTCCATGTGCACTTCGTGCCAAAGGCGGATTATAACATTCAGCAATAGTTTGGAACGATCGTCACGATCAACTAACTACTCCTTTTCTCATTAGAAAGCCTGATCATTTTTTTCATCAAAGAACTAATTTTTCGAAATTGAGAGAAGCAATGAATAAAGAACGATTTTCGACGTGGGCCGCTTCTTTGTCATTTCATTTTTTGAAAGCTAGTCCGTTTTTCAGTACCATTCAGCTTTACATTAAAAGTGAATGGTTAATTGGCGATATTCCTCTAGTAAATAGAAAGGCTGACAGGAACCTGAGACATGTTATAAACTGGAGACATTTGACACAATTCCGGTTTACTGTGTTGTTCTAACTGATATGAAATTGAGTTCCATCCATTAATATGGTCTGACAGGCACTTTTAAATCGCTTACTGTAAACAAATTCTATAAAGTCAAGTCAGAAATCAGTAACACAACCGGCATAACTTTCATTGGACACAAGTCACTAACGGCTATTAATAATAATGGAAAATAATATTATATGTAAAAACCCGTACCCAATAGCAAGCAGGCTCAAAATTTACCCAGTTCTAGAATGATCAGTCCCACTCATAGCTATTAGGCTTTCTTAATTTTTAAATTCACGCTGATTTTATTTCAAAGTTTTCCTTTTTTCTCACTTCTTTCCTATCTTAGTCGACGTTTCTAACTCCGATGATTATTTGAATAATAGTCGGTTATGTCATTATATTAATAACTAAAGTAGTGAATTACCCAGACACAATGTCCCATAAAATTTGATTTAACGTGGCAGTGAAAAGATTTTTTAGGTTTTCAGTCTCAGAAGTACTACTAAGTGCTTTTTTTTTTTTTTGAATTTTTTTTTCTGAGCTAGAAGACGTCCGAAATTTTAAATAGCACAAGTGCTTTGGTAAAATATGGATAGTCTGACAGCATCTAGCTTTTAGAGAGTCAGATTAAAAAAGAAAAAATGATTACAGCTCTTAATACGATTAAAATTCTTTGTTCTAATACGATTAAATTGCAGTTCCTATGTGATAATCGAACATACGTAAGCTAACGCAAACAGAACATTTACTTTTCATTCATTTTTTACACTTATTATTTGTTGTAAATTAAGATTGCAGTGTGGCATGTAAAGTGATCGATGAATATATATAGTGAGTGTATCACACCCATTTTTCAACTTCTGGCAATTCAAATACCAAAACAGCATGCGATAGGAATACAATCTACGCAAGCACTTAAACCATTTTGAAAATAATAATTCATGGCATTTGATTAATTACTTTGAAAAACTATCGAAAAGTATTCGATGATCTGTTTCTGATCCTGGTAGGTTTAGCCTAAATAAGTTCCATTAAGTTAGCCTGATGTATGACGATTTCTTGTGGTTGATTTAAAACGATCTACACCAAAACATCTTGAAATTTGCAGGAAGTGGTCTTCCTGAGACTTGAAGACTATTAGTTCAATTTGTATGATTCTTTGTAAAACGGAACTATTGTACAATCCGTAATAATATGCTGAGTAAGCCCTGACAGAAGAACTGGCAATAAGTTGGAAATTGCAGGGAACTTTGTTTAACTACGTATGCTATTTCGTGAATATAGAATAACTTGAGATTAAATATGTCGACAAACACGATCTTTGCTTTACATGCCTTTCTATGAAAATTAGAAATTATGGTCAAAACATAATTACCAACTTGTAATTAGCGAAGGAATTTGTATTTACAGTATTGATGACTCTCAGCAAGGTTTCATAGCGTAGAAGGTAGAATAACTTATAAATATTATAGAGAGTGAACGGAGATACCTGGTTTCTAATATTTCGCTATTTTACTGTCATAAGCTTTAATGAAAATTTTAAGAGAGAATTCTTGGGCAAACTTTACATTTACATTTACTGTGTTGTAATGGATCCGATTGTTGGTTAATTCGTACTTACCATTTAATTCAGTTGAACTTGGTTTCACATGTGAAGCGGTTAGAAAAAGGGATAAGGAAGGGTCAGGAGGAAAAAGAGCATTAGATTCATGATGGATTAGGATGAGCGGCGAGCGTTTATCTAACATTGCCTCTCTAGTTACTGTGGATTGAGAAAGAGGTACAATGGGGTCATTGAAGTGACAGTCGTAGTATGTCCTATTCGAAATGCGGTACCGGGACAACACATAGGATGAAGCATGAAATGGATTCATTTGAATATTTAATGAGGAAAGGTCAGCAAATGGGAATGAAAACAGCCAATTCAATAAACAAGTTTTCATTAAATAAGCTTCGGATTAATAGTTGCTTTGTTTTGAGACTTTGTTATATTTCAATGATCCCTCTCGGTGAAGTAAGTCATACAGGCCATTCTTTAGAATAAGTATTGTCTTCTATTTTTGGAATCATGTCTTGAGATCATTCAGCTTATGCATTTTATAAGAACTGAAAGAAATGAATAGCCTTGCCCTCAAATCCTTGTATTTTTCGCACCTTATTTATATTTTTAGCTTTTCCTGTGGATATGTATCGAGATTCTTTCTGATTCTTCGAAGCACTTTCAAATACAACTTGAATTTAAAAATTGTTGTTTGATATTTTAACTGCGGATTTTCGTAAATGGTATATGGATTGAGATTACCGAAATTAGTTCACTGCAATGAGACTCTGGCAAAAGCATCGTCAATTGTAATTAAAAATCCGTAATTTAAACTGAAAGGACATTCATGTTTTATAATATTTGGAAACATAAAAGGGAACCATTGGAACAGCCACCGTACCATATTAATGGCTACACACTTCAGATCACTAGAAACCAGTTACCTTCAACGACTACCGTATGCTACCACTCACCTGTTGTTAGCGCGTTTTGTGGTTATTTTATGTGAGATTTTTATAATTGTAATTTAATTCTAAAGGGAATTGGAGTGGTGACTTCACAAGAGTTGATTGGTTGGATGAAGTGGAAATATAATGTTAATTCATGAATGAAATGGAGAAACCGTTTCTGCTTAAACTTAAGCTGTTACATTTACATCTATGGAGATGATTTTCCAGAAAAGTGCTTCCCAAAATATCAGTGTTTTGCAAACACTGGTTTATTTCGCTGGCGAAAGACGATGTACATCCTTAATGGATTATTATCACCCTGTTTAATGTTTCCATACTTTGTACGCACTGTTTCATACGAGCGCTGTATGGTCTGCTTGCGAGGATTCCTTACAAGGTTTTAAAACTGAAATTTCAGCAAATCAGATGTTCATTAATTTTAAACGATCCTGCTCGTTTACGAAGCATGTGTGTATTTTCGTGTGGAATAAGGGAGCTGGATACATGCATATTACTGTGTCAGTGTACTGTATACCGTAGTATAATGGTGTATAAGAAGAGAAGCACGTATCTGCGTGCACGTCATTCCATATCACGCCACTAAAGGAGTACTATTTGATGAGCTAGCAACAGCAATCCACATGTAAGTAAGCATCCAGAGCGCACTGGCACAGAGTCCTTCCAATGTTAGCTCATTTACCGCAGGTGTCCGTAAAAAGGAGCTGATGTAGGAGCAGGTATTGATTGGATGACGGTGTCTGCCGCATCTTCCTACATTCATCCAGTAATGTCGGAAGAAGCCGAAGAGTTCCCGCATCGAAGCATTGGTAGGATTTCAGATGTAACATACGTATATGCTTATATATATATATATATATATGTGTGCGTCTTTGTGTGTATGTGTACGCACGTGATGGATGGGATGGTTGTATACTTCGACTGGCCAACGACTCATTAAAGTTGCCCCTGAGGCTTCAATTCAAAAGAAGCACACCGTAGTTGGAGCAGCCCTATTGCAGCCTGCGAGGTACTCAGCAAGGTAGTGCACGGTGTGTTTTGCCTCCTGGGCTGAGAATTCCGAATTAGAATGAAATGAGTGGATACATACATCACACCATAGACTTGCTGGAGACAACATCGCATTCTGTCCACATTCCTTTCTCACTTCCAAAATTATTTCACGTACGTCACTGTTAATGTAAGCCATTCTATTCTTTCCAGTGTATTCTAACCCGAGAAATGGACTTTGACACTGTGTCCTTATTTCGTTATTGATGATAGTAGAAGTGGCGATAGTAGTAATAGTAATAGTGAATAGTTAGTAGTAGTAGTTCGTGACAACTGTTTTCGAAGATATGGGAAAGAAGATACCATTGTGTGAGTTCGGCTTGTGAGAACTAATAAGCACTTCAGGAGCAGGTCCATACGTAACAATGAGATGGAGCACATTAACAAGAGTATCAAGTGATTCACACCACCAAAATTCCTTGACAAGTAATCAGTTCTACTTTACCCGGATCGCCTTTATTTTCCTTGAAATTGAGCCCATCCGTTTACTTTCTTCCCCTTCATATGTCTTCCGATTAAGCAGTTAGCACCTGTAAAGGACTTATCCAATTACTAATTTTTTTGTTTACACTTTCCTTCCCCTATTTGTCTGTTTGCAATGGTCTAACACTATCAGAATCATTCAACTGCTGGCAACATACCGCCGAATTCTCCGTCTCCTTCCACCCTCACACTAATAAACCTGAAATGAATCGATAAACATCTGCATGGATTATGCCATCCCCACGACCTTCTAATTTTGACTTCGATGGATGAGTCCGTAGATACCAATTAAATGTCGAAATTTGTGCTGGATTGGTGAGCATTAGTAGAAGGGATAGTCAACTAATTTAACAAAAATGCAAGATATCTTCAGAATCCGAGGAAAAAAGTGGAGTGGACTGTTCGTAGACAGTATGCAGCGTACTTGGTAAAATGGTGTAGGAATATATGTTTGTCCGTTTCTTCATTTGAACGGTGGATTGGTTGAAGTCATAGTAAGAAGATTGCATGTGGCCAGATGGGCTGAGGCTCAGTGGGTCGGAAGTTGGAGATGGTGGGAGAGGAGGGAACATTATGGCATTCTCCGCACCCGTGTGCTCTTCAATCGTACCTTAATCAGGGCCAGAGAATGGCAGCAAGAAAAGGACGAGGAGGAGGAGGAGGAGGAGG